AAATAACTTTTTATTTTAATTCAATATGGGGAGGTTCCTTTGAATTGCATCAAAAATATCCGTTATTTTTGCATTGACTTTTATAGCAAGCATCCAGCAACAAAATGGCGTTATTTTGGCATAAATTTCGCCGAAAAAAGCCATTCGGGGTTAGCGGGCGTAGCCCGCTAACCCCTTTTGGTTTGAGGTACCCCCCATACGACTCTTTTGGGGTCCTTTTCCGGATTTAAAAAAGAACCAGGCATCGGATCGCAAAACTGAATACACCATGGAAACCGGCGACACTTTTTACATACAATAAGCTTTTAAAAATTGAAAAAGAGTGAAATTTCGAATTTTAACAGCCGATTTAAATTGCGTTTCGAGGGGGGGGGGTCTGCGTGTGTTTGTCTGCACGGAAACCAATGTAGCTGTCAAAAAGTGCCTTCCCATTGTCCGTTTGGGCTGAAATTTTCCACATATATCGACTTGATGTAAATGAAGGTGAGGAAGAAGCGTTTTTTTCAAAATAGGCTTTTAAAAAATTTAAATTTAATTTTTAAGTTTAAAAGCAAAATTGCGGTCAAAACAGGGGTTAGTGATGTCCGTTTGGGCTGAAATTTTGCTCAAATATGCATTAGACCATGCCGGAATAAGTAAAGAAGAAATTGCAACGAAAGAATGCTTCTTCTCTGAGATATTATAATTTTAAACCTTCGCCATACGGGGCGCCACCCTCCCCTTTGGCGGCCCCAGTCCCGTATCAGGGCGGGCGTGTCTAGCTTCCCCAAGACGGGCCTCCAGTCTCCCCGTTGGCCTAGTGGTTAGCCCGCTGTACTGGAAGACTTGGCTCCCGAGTTCGAACCCCACCGAAGCATGGTTTTTGCCGATTGGCCCCCGTGCATCCTTATGGTTTCTGGTGCCGATTAGTGTTGGGAAATTAGCTCGGCTCGGTTTCGGCTCGAAAACCGAGCCGAAAACCGAGCCGCTCGGTTCTCGGCTCGGTTTTTCGAGCCGTGGAACCGAGCCGCTCGGTTTCGCCGAAAGCTCGGTTTTCGAGCCGGCTCGGTTTTCGAGCCGAGCTAATTTCCCAACACTAGTGCCGATACAAAGCGCCGCGGGCAAATTTTTTTGAAGTCTTGCGTACAAGAGTTCATCTGAATGAGTATTCCTTGGCTTAATTTACGATATTAACAATAAGATTGAGGCAAAAAGGGCTAAATTCTCTCTAAGGCTAAAAAGAGTCTTTTTAAAAAAGGGCTTTTGGTTTTCGCAAAAGAGAGGAATTCTCGTGGCAACAAAAAGAGCTAAATTCCTTTCAAGCTCTTAAAAATGTCACAGAATGTGGGATCAACCAAAAGTTGCTGGCATCTTATTAAAATGGACAGATCTAGTTTCTGGCGGTTTCGGCTTGCAAATAATTTCTGTATTATGATCTATTTGCACTTTCTTGAAATTAATCTGTGGACCTGACCTCTGATCTGGGATGGTACCGAGTTTATTAAGGTTTTAAATAGCCAGCAACTTTTTGTCGTTCCCGCATTCTGTGGCATTTTTAAGAGTTTGAAAGGAATTTAGCTCTTTTTGTTGCCACGAGAATTCCTCCCTTTTTGCGAAAACCAAAAGCCCTTTTTTAAAAAGATTTCTTGCTGGATCCTGGTGGCAACGAATGTGTATCAACGGCAAAATGTAAAGCGAAGTGTAAAAAAACTGTTTTTCGATTGAAAACGTCTTTCATTGAACATCCAGGTAATGTGACATCGGTCAGCCCCGAAATAGAGTTCTGACTTGAAATTTGCCACCAGCGGCCAACCATCTTGACGTGAAATTTGCTATGTTTGCTCAAAGTCAAAACGTTTCGCCGAGGAATTTTCGCTCTTTTCTGCCAAAAACGTTGACTTTACTTTTTTTAACTTTGCACTTTCTATTTCACTGTTATCATATCCAATTCCATTTTAAAGTTGTTTTTACAGGCGCAAACAACAACCACCGGCGCCATCGCCCGCAAGAAGGACCAAATCAAGGATATGGATCAACGTGAATAATGATTTTTTTTATGAAATGGTTTTGTTTAGTTACAAGAGACAGGAAGGAACGTGAAGCAGCCGCGGGGCTTGGAACGAAGCGCAGCTACTAATGGCGTAGGACAAAATTTTTGAGGTTTGCGTTTATGGTGGCTTGCTTAGGTGCTTCCATGTTAGCGGGGAACAAGTCAATTGTTTTATTTATCGAATACCTGTTTAGTGATAAAAATTCATAAATTTTATTAATTAGTAGTCGTCAACTTAGTAGTTGCCGAACACTACCAGATCATGAAAACTTTCTAGAACACCCTTGAAATCCGAAATCTCAAGCTTTTTCCATTTCCATCCCCATTTTCGAAGTGTTGGATGGTGATAATTATAAATGAAAATGGACTAAATATTTATTTATCCCTACAAAATTAGCGTTGCTTCCCCACTAACACAGAAGCGCCGTTTTCTCATTAACTATTATTTAGGCGGCATGGAACCGACGACACGCGGAGGAACAATGCAAACAGGTATCTAAAGTTCGCTTTAGGTACGCGATTGCGGAAGCGCCGAATAGCACAAACGCAGGAATTAACGAGGCAGGAAAGATATGAAGGTAACAAGCTTCTCGATTGTTGTAATGCATGGGTGATCTAGATCGAATCGGGAACCAGTGAAGCGAGAAGGCGGAAGCATGTGCGCGACAAGTGTGAAGCACAAGAACAGAAGTCCGGGTCATCTACAGCGATTGTGTACGAGCGTGTGACATTCTAAAAATTTCGCTTTAGATAAATTGAACAACGGCTACGAGGATTGCGACAGGTTGGACCCCGGCGAACAAAAGATTTGCGGGCATTACATCAGGTATGTTGGGTACTATTCTATTTCGCCGGGGTAAAAATCTACGCCGGGTGTAAAATTTATGTCTGCATCTATTTACTTACGTTGTTTTGAGCCAAAATGAAAACTCTTATTTTTTGGAGGCTTTATCGAAACGCCAAACGAATTCGGAAACTTTAGGCATCAGGGTGCACCATCGCTGCCCATTCCTTGCCCCTCCCCAGCGTAGATCACCCCTGCGAAATCCAAACAGTACCGTAAATTGAGTATAGGGAATTTTTAGCCAACTTTTATGGCCTGTGGCAAGAATCGCAGCAAGGTATTCAAGACCTTGCGTTATCACCGGCCCATCAACGGTAGCGACCTTACAGACTTCTTGTTTTGAAGATAGTTTTAGATGGAAAGAGCGAACAGGGTCATCGAGAAAAAAAGAATTTTCCTTGCCTGGGCAACTCTCTGGATGATGAGGACGAGTGTGTGACGATACCGTGCGAAAAAGTGTGCTTGTATTTTATCGTGGGAGCCGTAGTCAAGTTTTTTGTTTGGCGTATAGTTTCTTGCCGATAAATGAATGTATTTTAATAGGTTTTTTGCCTAGCTTCGGATGACTGAAAATACGGAATATTTATAGGATATTTCCAAAATTATGACGTTTTGCTCATTGGGGCCCTTTCATCTTTCGAGCAAAAAGAAAAAAGCATACCAGTTTATGCGAATCATATGGTTAAAACCCCGCGATGCTAGGAAACAGGGCCGCCAGGAGATTATATGAAAAAAGTTGACTTAAGAAAACGAAAAGAAATCCTTCTTTTGACTAACCTTGTTCTAGATGACGCCGGTGGCAAATCGTCTACACGGATGTGCGTGCAATGGTCCATCAACCCGCTGGAAGCGCGACGATGGGCGACTACTGTTGAATTACGGCGGTTAGTGGGTACTTTAAATACTTCTCCGGCCGATTGAGGTGCGAGTACGAGCCGAAGAGGAGCCGTGGGCGGGCCAAGGACAGCGCAACAAAAACTCAATAGCAAGAAGCTGAAACAAGTAAAATTGGTTGTATTGATATTTTCCTCTGAAAATGTTATTTCCAGGAGCAAGTGATGGGCTGCGTGTTCGAGAGTGCGCCCGGATCCGTGAAGCCTGGTGGTGATCGTGAGCAAGCTGATGAGGAGCACCGACTACGCTTTTGGGATGGGTTCTGGACTGTTGGCGGCGGGCAAAATTTTAGCGGGAGGAACAACATTTTTCCCAGTATTCTTTACGGCCCTATTACGAACTATAAACTATTTTTTTAGCATTTTACGTGATTTTTAGACAAAAATAATATAAACAATTTATAAGAATTTTCGACGATACTCTTTTTGGTCAATATGTTCAAAAAGGATCTTAAAAATTAAAAATTAGTTTTTGAGATTTAGCTGACAATCAAACACTAAAAAATTAGATATTATCAGGAAGTAGATATAGGTGACAAAACAAAAAGTGGTCCCTCCGCAAACAGTCCAGGTCCCTGTTTTTGAACAGGCTTGGCCGTGACAGGATCTTCGTCCCGATAGCTGCGCAGCTGCAAGACATGCTCGTCAAACGCGTTCGACGACGACTATACCGGCAAAATTATATAAATGATCCGATTACCGGCTGTTGTTGTTTGTTTATTTGTTATCGAATCATTTTAGCAACTAGCTCTTTCTGATGTCGACATATTTGAATAAATATTGATCACTTTCCAACTATTACACGGATAATTAAAGCTTTATAGATAGCTATCATTAAATTAAATAGCTTTACGAGCAATTGTCTTTGGAACGCTATTGCTTTATTAACTTGGCACCATCTTAACAATTGCCGAGGTTCAGCTAGATTAAATCGGGCTCACAATAGATACCGGAGATGTGAAAATTGGTGGCGCACCTGGAATGAGGTCGATCAGGACCTTTACAGCAATCTTCACAACCACGTAATATACGCGCCCCTGCACGTCCTCTACTTCACCAGTAGTTTAGACTAGAAAGGCTGCTTTAGAGACTGCATCCGTGCAACAGTCATGGTTCTCGCCAGGAACATACTCACTTGTGTTTGGTTGTTTTGAAAGAAATCTAGCGAGGGATGCTTCATTTTTTCACTTTCATATGCGTTCTGATAGCCTTTACAGTGTCGCATTGGTTCCAGATGCGCACGGCCGAGGACATCTACTGGCTCGTCTACCAATGCTGGCGTAGGGGTGCCGAGGCCACCGGGCGAAGGGGCTTCCAGGAATACCGCCGGCTTCTCGAAAATGAGGGGTTGTACGACCTTCATCGTGCCGCCCACATTTTTGTGACTCACCGGAGTAAGCTCTTTGTCAATTTCCATTTTCTTTTAGTGGATCGACGCCCATTCCACCAGCTTTGGAGAGCCTTCCAGAAGTTCGGGTGGAACCCAAGACGTTTCCTCGATCTGTTGCGCCTAGCTGGTGTGACGCAAGCGGAGCGCGCCGAAGCCGCGGCCGCAGCGTCGATCCGTAATGGCCGATTCGTTAGTTTTTTTTGACGAAAATTTTTTCTTTTTATGTGTTCCCCTTCGCCCTTAATTCTTGCTTTTCAGAGGGTCTCGCTCCTGCCTTGATGCCGTGAAGGGGCTGCAAAATTGTTATTTTGTTATTTTTTTTCCTTATAAATCTTTTATCTAGTGATTTTGTTTGACCAAACAACTGATCAATATGCCACAAAGTCTTTTGAAACCTTTTAGTTAATCAACTTGCCCAAAATCGACTGTCGGGGCTCCCCTCCCATCGACCACCTACATGAACACAGGTTCAAACGTGGCATCATCGAAAAACGACTGTTTCTTTTGATTACGGTAGGAATCCACTCGAGAGCCGGTCACTTGGCAAGTTGCCAGAACAGCCCAGGAACGCTATCTGGCTCTGATTTTTGTAGAGTTTAGGTTTTTCGGGACGCTGAGTCGAATGGCATCATCGAAAAACGCCTGTTTCTTTTGATTACGGTAGGAATCCACTCGAGAGCCGGCCACTTGGCAAGTTGCCAGAACAGCCCAGGAACGCTATCTGGCTCTGATTTTTGTAGAGTTTAGGTTTTTCGGGACGCTGAGTCGAATGGCATCATCGAAAAACGCCTGTTTCTTTCGATTACGGTAGGAATCCACTCGGGAGCCGGCCACTTGGCAAGTTGCCAAAACTTTGTCTCATGGCAAGTTCTAACGAATTTAGCAAAAAGGGTGAAATTCTTTGGGCTACAAAGAGTCTCACTGGCCTAAAAAAGGTTTGGTTTGAGATCTGTAAAAATTGAGAAATTGGGAAAGATGAAAAAGAAAAAGGGACATCTTTTTACCCTGCTACACACTTTTTTCGCCTGACAGGCAACGCCAAAAGCACCAACCTGGCTTCCGGATTTACCAGCATTACGCCAATTTAATAATTTCGGATTTGTTAACGTCGAAATAGGTTAGTCTAATCGGTAGGGGAGAATTTTAGTTAATTCCCACTGATGCATGCCCAGGATTAGCTACCAGTAAGATGGTCTGCAATAAATCTGCAATTACTGATCTTTTTTTTGTGTGCAATTGATATCTAGGCAGGACACTTAACACGTCATTACTTCGAAAAGTCATTATTTCGAAAAAAATGCATAGCAACTACTCTAATTGGCGCCATTCTGCCTTTGCCCGCCACGTTTCGATCAAACGCATTTTGTATACGGCGCATTACAAAATCGGTCAGCTTTAAACTTTATCTTAAAATACAAATATATGGTTTCCGGCCAATGGTAAAGCTTAGATAAGGAGTGTTGACCATTTTGTAGATGCATTACATGGATTTTTTGGTTTGCAATATCGAAGATGGTTTTCAGAGGTGCTTTGGGTAATTGGTAATCTGCCCGTACACTGCTCTATCCTCTCTACCAGCTCTTCTCTTGTTAGCCATAAATACCGCCCCTGGACGGCGGTCAACGCTGCCCCTCTATGCACGGCATTAGGGCATGAGGGAGCAGAGTTGCGCATGCCGTTTGGGCGCCAATTGAAATCCTAACCGAAGGTTTCATCGAATTTGATGTTTTTGACCGAGTTTCGAGGCTTAGTTTTCCCTCTATTAGATATTTGTTAGATTCGTATTACGGAACATTGACCCACGCCGCATTCGACGGTTCAATGGCACCTCGAATGTAGAACGGCCGAAACACGCGTGGGTCATTTTTGGAGCATCCTGTGTATTATGCAGTACAGGGTATCTCCACACAAAGCCCTATCGAATGGTTGCCGTCCAATTTCCTTATGGCAGCCTGTTGGGTAATCTACAGTCCGCCGTCAATCAACATCTCGATTTCAAAACTAAAAAAACATTGAGGAGTACCAACAAGGTTCGTGAAAGGGTGTCAGTAGAGCAATAACCAATTCTTTAGCTATTCCTCGGATTCCCAGTCGACTCGTTGTTGTTAGGCGGTAGATGGCCATTGACGGAGTTTGCCGTGACAGAACCGGTGGGTCATCTATTTATCTCTACTAGATACTGGTCCGCTAATGAATTTCAATAACAAAAAATTTGCAGTCATTTCTACATCCTTTTGTTTTTGAACAACAAATGCAGCAACAAAAAGCGTTTTGTTGCGTTTTTGTGGTAATATAACAAACGTTAGCAGGCTGGTTAGGAGCGTTTCTCACCCTGCAGCAGAGATCTTGGTTACTGTAGGTTGTGGGGGGGGCGCAAAATCTTTTCTCCGAATTTCGTTATTTTGTCGATATTTTTGCAACACTAGCCGATAGAGTGCCAAAAGTATTCTAACACACAAATTTTCATTTTTTTCCAAAGTAGCGTAAAATGGAAATGGCAGTGAAAATTTTTGAAATTGAGTTGGAGTGTGATTTTTTTTACCCTTTCGCTATGTTTGAAATTCAAACTTTGAATATTCATACAGGGTGTCCCAAAAAAGACCCCTCTCTAGCGGTCCGCAGTGATGCCTGATTTTGACGATTTAGGTATCTATCGAAAGCCCTCCACTAGGATTCATCCTTTAAGAAAAACGCGCACGAGAGGGGGCGAAGGGGCTAGGCTACGGGGCGCTCCAATACCCCTCGCGTAATGCATTGTTAAGCTAAGGGGTGCTATCTTTTCCACTTTCAACGGGCTATAACTTTTTTCTGAGAAGATTTCATAATCTACTTGAGTGTACAGAAAAATAGAACAGCTTCTGCTCTATCTTTTGAGCAAGGTTTCATGAAAATCGTACACGGCAATCGGGCGCCCGGTCGGTTTGAAGTTGAAAAAATGAGGTACCTAGGACAACGGGTATCATAGGGAAGCTAAATGTTTGTGCATAGCGCCCCAATTGCATTTTTTTTGATAGACCATAGATAGCAACTATCCAATAAAGTGCAAAATCGCATCACCTTGTCATCTACATCAGGCTTCAATAGAAAGTTAGTTAAAATTTTCAACTGGCTATAATACTTTTTACTGGCTGTTCTGGAATCTGCTTGAAAGCTAGGAACACAGAACAAACTTCGCTATATCTGCCGCAACCAGTTTTAGAATGTCGTAGCGTTGTGATTTTAACAGCGGTCGATTTGGATATATGTATGAGTCCGCTGTTTTTCTTCATCCATTCTGCGCAAAAGAAAGTGATAGGATGCTTCTTGATTCGTCTAGAGTCATGACATTCCACTAGGAACACTTTCCACAAAAAATCAAAACCAAAATGCGGAGGCCTGCGAACTCGGGAACCGAACCCGCGTCCCCTGTCTCGGGGCTGAACCGCCGCCTTAGACCACTACACCACGCCCCGACCACCCCTCCCGTGCGCGCTCTGAAAGGCCGTGGCCTCGACGAGCTGAGGAGATATGTTGTTTCCAATTGGGGAAATTCCCAAATTTTTGACCCGATTTTCATCGTTTTTGGGCGTAAATTACGCAATTTTGTGCAAAAACTCAATTTAATCATTTTCAGTCCCATCCAAGCTGTGTTTTCTCAAATGCCTTTCAAAAGGCCGACCTTGGGCTGCCAGAAAAGGTGCAAAAATTTGCAAAATCGGGGTTTTTGTTAAAAACCATGGAATGGGGAAAGGCATCGAAATTCAGTCAATTTCGCAAAAATGTTAGTAAATGTCATAAAAATGTGGGAATTTCGAAAATCGGAAAGAACAGATCTCCTCAGCTCATCGAGAGCTTGCGATAGATACCTAAATCGTAAAAATCGGACATCACTGCCGGCCGCTAGAGGGGATCTTTTTTTGGGACACCCTGTACCCTGATAATCAGGGGGCGATTCTCGGCTACGATTCGAGGGTCGCGTGGCGCATCTACATTAGCGACATCTTACATCCACCAAAAATACACGTGGAGGTTGATTGCGAAGTGGACGTGATTTGCCCCGATATTAGCTGTTACATCGAGTACTTCGTTGGCGGCCGGCGCAAGGACTACGAGTTGTTGCTCAGGTCAGTGCCCATGGCTCTTGTCAATATCAATGGCGCATAAAACTCAAAGTTCAGCCGGTATTTATCCCTTGTAAGCTACTAATTTTTAGTTAAATAAATAAAATTTTTTAATTCTTACCATGAAGGTAAGAATTTACTCTACCCCGACCCATGCGCGTAGCCACAAAAAAATTTCTGGGGCGGGGGGATATTTGAAACAAAATTGATCCCTTGACAACAAAAAACAAAATTTCAGGCGAAAAATTTTGGAAAGCATAGCACCAAAAATCGTCTTAAAAATTTTAATAAATAGTAGCGCGACAGGGCAAAAATTTTTAAGGAAAAATCGGTTCTACACCGGTAACATGGCCTTTGTACGGAATCGTGGTCTTTGTCCGTGAAATCGCGTGAAATCGCCACGTTTTTCCAGCGATTTGGGGGCTTTTCTTGAAGTTTTGGAATCGTGGTCTATAGCCGGCCCGTACCTGGATTCCTACATTCCCATTCCAACACACAAAAAAGCCGATTTTCGATTTCTAAAGACCCCGACCCCGATGGTGTAGCTATCACTCCGATTGGATACTTTCAGAGGGCGGAGGGGGGGTGCCCTGTATTGGGATATATGCGATATATGCCCTGTATGCGTAGGAACTATGCACGGCCAATCAGACAGGCCCAAAAAGGGCAATTTGCTGAGAGGAGAAAAGCGTCCACAGGAGCCGGGCGTAGCGCGCGTCAAAAAGTTTAGGCTCTTTCAACTTTTTCAAACCGACTTAATATTCAAAACCCAATATCAATTATTGCCGAGTAGAATTTAACGGTTCGAATGATGCCAAAAACAGCAAGCTAGCCCTCCGAAATACCACTTTGCACAAACCGCCAATCAAAAGCGTTTCGTTAGGATACTTTCTAAATTCAGTTTTGTTGGTGCTTGGTATCACTATAATCGCCGTGTTCCATGCTACAAATTTGGAAATCGGATTTTTTTAAATAGACCGGATCTTAGAAGATATAAGCCTCCAAATTTTTGGCACCATACATTTTCTTGACGAACGGAGTGCTTCGTTGCCTAGCCCTTACACCGCGCAGGATTTCGGGGGTGTATGCGCGCGTAGGTGGCCCTGTTCAAGTCGAGAGCGCGCCGGATGGTCTTTGGCTTGAGCCTCTGCCGCGGGTCCGAAAATATCCATTTATGGTCGGCCGTTTGGGCCAAACCAAGCATGATGGTGCGGACGGTTTATAATTGGCAGAATGAAAGCGGGAAGTGCCTCTCATCTACGGATCCTCGACAAGCTGATGCTGCGCCTCGGAGGTGCCGAGTTGCATATTGCACTGAGCCCGAATATCCAGGTTCACTTTCGAGAGGAGCACAAGCCCGTATATGAGTTATTCTAGCCGCCACTCTGGATGAACCAGCTCAGGGCGCTTCGCTGCGGTACCGTCACTATATATCCTGTATTTGGTAATGGCGCGCAAAGAAATGCTGATAAGAGGTTGGCCGATTTCACCCGTATCGCTACAGGGTTTCCCAAAAAAAAACCTCCTTAGCTGGCCGCAGACCCGTCCGATTTTTACGATTTAGGTATCTATCGAACGCTCTCGAAAAGGCCAGTCCAGCACATGTCATCGATTCGCAACATTTTTACATTCATTTGCTAATGTTTTTGGGCGGATTTTCTGATGATTCCTGAAACAAGCGCTTTTTTGCAAAAATCCCAATTTAAGAATTTTACGCTTTTTCTGGCGGCCCAACGTCAGCTTTTTGAAAACCGTATGCGCAAACACAGCTTCGATAGCGCTTGAACCGGCTAAATTGCGTTGTGGACAAAAAGCGTATCTTTTTTTGCATGAAAACTGCCGAAAACCAAGGAAAAAAAATTCCGACGTTTCGAAAATCGGCGAGACGTGCTACTCGCCTTTCCGAGAGTTTTCGATAGATATCTAAATCTTAAAATCGGACAGGTCCGCGGCCGGTTAAGGGCGGGGGGGGGGGGGTTGGAACTCGCTGTAGTTCAGCTCCACGGCTGCGTGGCTCCTATTTCGCCAGCTGGAGAATCATATCTAACAATTGCTTGCCTTAACAGATTCTCGATAATGAGTTTTACTGTTGTTTTACGTAGCCATGCATTTTTGTTATAAAGACACCGAAAAATGTCCTTGACTAGCGCAAAATTACCGTTATTCGACCTAACAATTACTTTTCCTAGACAATTTTTTAGGCTTCACGGTTTTACAAAAATTTTTCGGATCCGTTAGCGTTTAAAAAACATTTAGAGTATATAAGTTACCACCCTACGAATAACAACACTTTGAGAGTAGTCATCTACCCCCAAGAAATTGAACATGATGCTCTCCCAAATTTCCGCGAAATTTCCAGCTCATGCCAAAAACTCCAAACAAACCCCAAAAACCGAATGCATACGCATCATATGCAATAATTTTCAGATACCTCGAATTAGATGACTGGCTGCCGCAGGATATTCCACCAGATCGGGTGAGCACCCCCCTATCGGCCATCGTCCACTCTAAAATCATTAATACTCCGCTTTACCCCAAAGCAGAGCTAGTTTTTGCAATGATCCATGTTACATGTCGAAGAAATTCTATCTAGAGTCTTCTGTTTAGGCCTACGTTTGTGCCGGTGGACCCCGACCTCGCGACTACCTTGAAATTTATCTCGACGCGTTTCAAAAGGCGGGTTCTGTGACCGACTGTGGTTAGAGTAGATAGATGTTAAGGGGACTCCATAAAAAATGGAATTTTTCTACTGGAATCGCTAGATACCGGGTTCTAGCTTTTCGGTTGAACGAAGTTACAGATGTTTTAAAAGGCCATCCGCGCGTCGCCCGGACAGCCCCAGTCAGGCTTCACAGTTTTTGTTTACCCGCGCTTTTGGTACCATCTGATAGAGCATGTTCGAATTTGGTAGCGCCGCAAAGTTAAAGTTTAAAAAGTGCATTTTTGGGGTTGAAGCAGGGTTGGTCACGAAAAGGGCGGGAGCTGATTTGCGAGCCCCGCTCCAGAGCGGGAGCGGGAGCTGAAAATCCTTAGCTCCCGCTCAGCTCCGGCTCTTGAGCCGGCTCTTTTGGAAAAGAGCGAGAACCGAACCCCGCTCAACTCAAAACCGGATTCTGCAAATCAGATATCGGTTCTGTTCTATTTCGCGGGGGGAAACTGTGCGGGGGGGAATATGCTTCGCCAAAACTTCTATCTTTTCGCTATTTTCTCGGGATTTTTGCAACGCCATTCGATAGAACATCAAAAAATATACTAAGAGTTTTTGTTTTAGCTAAAAATATTGTAATATAAAAAAGTTATAGCAAAAACAAAAAAACGATTGAAACTGGTGCCGAAATGTTAGTTTTGGGCATTTTCGCCAGTTTTTCGATATTTTGAACCCGTGATTCGATAGAGCATCAAAAAATATACTAAGAGTTTTAATTTCATCTAAAAATATTGTTTTATAAAACAGTTATAGCAAAAACAAGGTTTTTACGGTGTTTCCACATGGGATCGTGGAGTCGAATGCTAGTTTTCGACATTTTCGATATTTTTTAAAAATTTTTTTCATGCCATTCGATAGAGCGTCAAAAAATATACTAAGAGTTTTAATTACAACTCAAAATAGCAAAATATAAAAAAGTTATAAGAAACCGAAGAACATTTTCCCCCCCCCCCCGCACAGTTTTTTCCCCCCCGCGAAATAGAACAGCACCCAGATATCTATGCAAATAAGGCAATTCAAGGCAAAAATTATTCCTTTTATTGGAATTTTGGAAGATTTGCATAAATAGCTAATTTGCAGCATGCTCCCGCTCTTTTCCAAAAGAGCCGGCTCAAGAGCTAGAGCTGAGCGGGAGCTGAGCGGGAGCTGAGAATTTTCAGCTCCCGCCCGGCTCCTGCTCCCGCTCAGCTCCGGCTCAGAGCCGGCTCTCAAAATGACCGGCCCTGGGTTGAAGCTGCATACCTCGAAAAACCATCGCGCAAACAACCTATCGAATTGACTGGAAATTTGTGAAAATACCTAATTTTGGGACCGGGACCGTTTCCCTAGTAAGACATTTCAAAGCATGAAAATTACCGTGACGGCGGAATCTCGCGTACTCAAATGAGCTTTCATGAATTTCTCCGTGATATGTATACCTCGCCACTCTGGAAATACAACTAGAAGATGCGCGAATGAATTCCACGTCAAACCATGGGTTTTCCGGTTTGGCGACACATCCCTAAAAAAGCAATTGGAGCTGGAAAAGACCTGTAGCACATCACTTATTTGAGTACGCGAGATTCCGATGTCCCGGCCAGTTTCATGTTTGGAATGTATTAGGGAAATGATCCCGGTCCCAAATTAATAAAATGTTTCCGTTTTATAGACTTGTACACCGCTTGTAAATGGTTCTGAATTATTTGCCAGGGTGGAAGAATTTTTTTTGGGGGGGGGTGTTGCGACACACCACTTGACACAACCTATTTGCGTACATATTTTCGAAAGTCATTTCTTCGAAAATATTACTTTCGAAATTATGCTCGCTCACCGAAACAACCCCGTTGCAGTTGCGTGACTGCCCAGTGGTCCGTCTGACACAACACTACCAACGTGAGGCCGAGTGTATCCTCTCCCTTTCTCTCATCCGAATACTCCTCGAGAGAATCGTCGAAACCGTAATGCACTAGTGACCACAAAATGTATGATTTTTAGCCGAGGCCGTCGACGCCAGATGGGCGCCGGCTCGTCATCGTGGATACTCATGTCACTAACAAGATTGTGGATGGGCGACATGTATGGCCTCAACTTGCACTGTCGAACCTGCAGAAGTTGCATGTGGCCTATGAAAACATGGTGAATGAGGTGACGGATGCGATGGACATGTATCTCACAGACAATATACAGGTCAGCGTCTTCGTCGAAAATTTAATTCAGTAGAATCAGTGAGTAAAATTGTCAAAAAGGTCGATCCGATACTGCTACGCCGAAATATAGCGAATGTTTTCGGGGGCAAGGGGCTATGTTCCTTTTTCCTAAAGTTCATTTTTCCTAAAATTTGTCATTTAAATTGGGATGAAGAAAGGCCAACCGCCTGTCATTTTGAGCTATCACACCATTTACTTGGCTTTTATCAAACTTTATTCATATTTTTTATTGATATTTTTTACTTCCAATATAGCTAAATCTATAAACGCATGCGTTTAAGCAAATACTTTTTATTTTTCTAATTAAAAAAATACTTCCTATGAAATTGCTTAGCATATCTGAAATTATCAGAAAATTTTTTTTACGTCATGCATAATACTAAAGAACTGAGCCTTTCAATATGTTGCCGGTTTTAGGAAAAATGATTTTCAAGAAAAATTATTTTAGGAAAAATGATCTTTAGGAAAAATGACAGTAATTCGCACTAAAGAATTTCAGCTTTACCGAATGGACCTTTCAAAGGCGGCGCCGCGTCCATCCTGGTTCTATAACAGATATAGCCCATCATTCGCCAATTTCGTTGTGGCACAAAACTATTCATCCCGGCACCAGGTCTATGCACAACTACTTCAGCTCTACAAGGTCCGTGGGACTCGTTCGAAAAAATCAACGGTCGTCATTCAGGGGTGCGGACGAGACGCCGCGAGCACTTTGCAGCTCATTTGGGAGGCGTGATTTCACGATGACCCCGTCCTAGACCCTCATTTTTATCTTGTAAAATAAATTATTCCAAAATGGTCGGTATGCTGACACTTCAAACATTTTTTTTCTGCAATGCTCACAAGGAGACGTTTTTGAGTGTCGTCGGAACTTTGGCATGGGACTAAGCCTATCTTGTGCAGAATTTAACGCTGATTCCGAATATGGTAACCGTTTTTGCGGAATAGCCATTTCCCGAAAGTTACGAACGATTTAAACCTCAAAACAGCCCAAAATCGGATATTTCCGATAGCCATAAAAGGCTTCGGAATAGGTTTTAGACAAAACCAGATCGTGCATCTTGTTCAGAAAAAAATTCTCTATAAAATGTACCATTTTCTCCAAAATCATTGAAAAGTTAGAAAAATTTGATAAATTGGGAGGCCCCTATTTTTACAAAAATTTTCAAAATTCCAACATTTTTGAGTTAAATAGCTTATTTTATAGAGAATTTTTTTCTGAACAAGATGCACTATCTGTTTTTGTTTAAAACCTATTCCGAAATCTTTTATGACTATCGAAAGTAGCCGATTTTAGGCTGTTTTGAGGCTTAAATCGTTCATAACTTTCGAGAAATGGCTATTCCGCAAAAACGGTTACCATCTTCGAAATCAGCGTTAAATTCTGCACAAGATAGGCTTGATCCCATCCAAAGTCCCGACGACACTCAAAAACGTCTCCTTGTCAATACGCTGTAATTTCTTTTCTTTCTAATTTTTTCTATTTCCACTTTTTCTCTGTTGCTAGCTATTTTAGCCAATTTTGAGGAAAATCACCGATCAAAACTGCAAAACCAAATAGCTCTGGTAGGCAACGGGACCTTCGGGAAATCTTGGAAAAGAACTTTTTTGGCTCTACATAACAAATTTATTCCAAGGCATGCGAATTGCGAGGCGTAACAAGCAAACAAAGATTGATTAGTTTAGCAAAATAAAAGCAAATATAGTTTTGACTAAGTCAAGGAGTCCGACAGATCCTTAATTTGGTTAATAACCTTGCGCAGCACCGGGGTCAGCTCTTCGCATTGGTTCTCGAAATCAGCCGACATGTTGATGAGCCGCTGGACGATCGCTTCGGCCAAGCACATTTGCTTCTGGTCCTTCAAACGGTCAGCTACACCTTCAGTCTTCTGTATGAGCACACTGATGGCCTTGATCAGTTGCCCGCTGTGCTGGCGCAAATCGCGGTTGTAGCAATCGAAGACGTTGTGCAAGTTCGCCAGCAAGTCATCCTTCAACTTCAGGATTTCGAGGCCGAGAATGGCAACGACCGAGTCTCGATGCTCCGAATGATAGCGAAAAGCACACGTGCCACAAATGCGCAAATCACATTCCGTGCATTTGAAGACGTCCTCGACAGTTTTCGGAACGAAACAAGTTTCACAGCTCATCGACACCGTCCTTTCCATGTCTTTCTTAGCTGGTGGCTGTTCGTCTACCACTCCATTTCCCTGCTCATTGTTGTTGGCATCCGGATTCTCCTCATTTTGCACGGCCGGTTCAGGATTTTCCTCGTGCTCAGCAACGTGCTCAGGATTCTCGGCATGTTCAGCTACATGTTCCGGATTCTCCTCGCCGTGCTGTTGTTCCTCCCTATGCACGGCCGGCAAAGGCGTAGCATTATGGATATAGAGCCGATTCAGGAAACGATCATAGACGCGGGTGAGATGATCATCGCCGTGCTCCCAGAAATTCATTGCGCAAAAATGGCATTTCGGGCGCTCTTCCTCGTTTCTCTGGGCGAAGCAAAGGGAGCACATGACGAAGCCGCACTTCAGCGCCTTGGGGAAGTGATCTTTTGAATAATCCTGCAGGCACAGTGAGCATTTGGGGAGCGTCACATGGCCCTCGAAGACGTAATCGTGGTCTTGCTTGTGCAGCCCCTGGGCCTTGGCCAAATCCAACAGACACCAGGCGATCGTCGAATCCTCGTCATCGACACAACTGTGGCATTTGACTGCGCCGTACAGCGGCAGATTGCGGTCGTAGGTGCGGCACGGCGTATGTGGTCGTCCAACTTGCTCGTCGTAGGGCAACTTGCAGAACAGACATCCGAGCAGCATGTTGTCGACCTGAAAAAGTTGATATAGAAAAAATCGGAAGGAAAAACACTTCTCCAACAATTTAAATTACTAGCTTTGTTTGCCAAAAATTTCCCCAAAACTAAATTTTTTTTCTATCAAACGTCAAAAAAATCCAGAAAAATTCCGAATTGTCCCTACCCAACACTCCAATTGACAAATTCCGTAAAGTGGTGGCTATCGGAACGGTTCCAAAGTGCTTCGACTTTTTCGGAATTTTCTTTGCTCTCTTTTTACACTTTTTTCTCTTTTTCTATATTTTTCTCTGTTTTTCTTTATTTTTCTCGTTAGGAGTTGTTGAGTTGAACTGAAATGTTTCCGCTGGGAGGAAGTTCGGGGACGCCCGTTTCAAACGGCCGTTGCAGGCTTTCCCTTTCCCGCCACCCGGTCCGCGAATTTGTGCTTACGCCAGGAATTCCCCGGCTGGCAGCAATTTTTAAAGTTTTTTGATAAAATTTCGAAAAATTACCGTTTTTTTCCTTTTTCGTATTACTTTTCTCATCGAAAAACCATAAGCCTTGAACTTGCGATCAATCAGCAACTTTATTCCGTTTTCTTCAGAATTTGGGTATGACACCCACGATTACAGTCATTTTCAGGGTAATGGGCGCATACCTCAGTTCACCGCGCATCGGGAAAACGACCACCCAGGGCCAAGGCAATGGCCTGGTCTACGTTGCGACGACGATGCAGGGCTGGCGCTCCAATCAAGAGGTTCAAAAGCTATTGCTTGTTTAGTTTTGGATTTTAGGATGCCCACAACACAATCATCGACCTGCTGGGCGACTACTCCATGTTTGCCGTTTACGATGGTCATGGTGGCGACCAGGTTGTTCAGTGCTTTGTGTTATTTACTCTATTTTCATTAGGTAGCCCGCTACGCCGAGCGCCACTTTCCGGACTTTTTGCGACGCTTCAATTGGGACGATCGTGAAGACATCAGCACTACCAACAGCATGCTCGTGGACATTTTCCTCGCATTCGACGACCACCTGCGGCAGCCAGAAACCCTGGCAGCCATGTCTCGACCTCCAGGTGTCCAGCGCGTCGAGGCCGAGTTGAATCAGGTCGTCGAGGAGCAGAATCTGCCAATCAGTGATGTGCTTGCACGGTAATTTTTTTGGACATTTTTGTGGAATCCTGTCCCCAAAGTTACCGAGCTAACCACCGATGTTTCTCCATTAGTTTTGTCGCCATAAATGAGCTATAAATGTTGCCGCAACTCTATTTGCGCACGAACTTTAGCTCGGTAACAATGGGGCCTGCTATTCCGAATTCCGCCTCTTTGTGGTATTTTGATCTTTCAGTTACGGAATGGCGATGGAAGAGGCTCGAAATTCTGGCGAGGTTGTCCCAATGGAGAAGCTCGTCGAAACCGTGTCTGCCACCGTGGTAATTTTATCTTGATATTTGGAAGGTTTTTAGGCGTCTTTTATGGCCGGTCGCAAGCGTCGACACAGCGGTGATGATCCCTCTTCATCGAAGCGCCTCCGGGGTCCGTTGCCGCAACTTTCGGTTGACCTGGAAGACGAGCCGTAAGCATCTATCAACTTCTTGGATTCCTGTTTTAGGGGCCCTAGCGGTAGCGGTGGAGACGACAAAAAAGATGAAAAGAGCGATGATGTGGAAAAGAAGGATGAGAAGGGCGATGCTGTAGAAAAGGTGGCGCCGGGAGGCTCCGGTGACCACGCAGGAGACGACGACGATGACGATGATGAATCCGACGAGGACTTTGTCCTCGACGAGCCGTCTGGTGAGAACGAGGCTCTCGCGGCCGGGGATGATGATGATGATGAGGGAGTTGTCGACGATGAAGACGAAGATGAAGATGAAGATGAGGAAGAGGCTGATGAAGAAGGCATAGAAGTGATAGATGAAGAGGACGAAGAGGAGCCGGATGAGGATAGGGCCAGCAATTTCTTTGCTCGTGCTCAGCAAAACAAACCGGGCATCGACTCTGGGGCCACCGCCTGTGTCGCTCTTGTAAATCCGAAGCGGGTATGGATTTTGATCTCTGCTGGTTTACTGATTTCAGGTGATTGTTGCCAACATCGGTGACACACGTGCTGTCGTTTCACTTGGAGGCATTGGAGTGGATTTGTCGGTTGACCACAAGCCGGAAGACGAGCTGGAGCGCGCTCGAATCGAACGCGCCGGCGCTCACGTGACCGAGGAAGGAAGGTAATTAAACTTTTAGCTGCCCTTAAAGTTTTTTAGGGTTAACGGCGGCCTGAATCTCTCCCGTGCGTTTGGCGACTTCTTCTACAAGCGCAACAGCAATCTTCCCCTTGGAGAACAAGCCATTTCGTAAGCGTTCTTTCTTTTTCTTTAGTTTATTCAAATTTAGCGCGCTGCCCGAGATTCAAGTCCACGATCGCACGCCCGACGATGAGTTTCTAGTGGTCGCTTGCGACGGCATTTGGTAAGGAGCTTTCGAAACGCCTATTTCCATTTCTAGGAACTCTAAGACTAGCCAGGAGGTCGTGGACTTTGTCAAGGAGGGACTGGCCGCCAAGCTCACCGATAAGGAAATCGTCGAGGCTCTGTGCAACGAGTGCCTCGCACCGAACACCAGCGGCGACGGCACCGGCTGCGACAATATGACGGTCATCCTCGTCTGGCTGCGCGACCGCGACACGATCGGACCGGCCGTAAAAAGCCCTGCTACCGCATCCGGCGAGGTTTCGATTACCTCCAGTGCCGTCGACCTGCAAGCCGCCGGTGACATGCCCCAGCCGACTCCGGAAGCTGCCAAGCCCGAGGCGGCTGCCGAGGCCCCAGCGGCCGCTGCGGAAGCTGAGCCAAAGGATGCGCCCAAGAACGAATAGCCCCTCATTTCTCCCCCAGCCCTGATTCTATTATTCGCCCTCACCCAACACTACCTTGGTTGTAAGTTGTCTTTCGTAACGTTGTGTTCGCAATCAGCTGCCGGTGCACCCCCACATCGATCTGCCTTCATTTATCACTTCTGCGTATCCGGAAAATAAAGATTTCCTTTTCTTTCGATTTTTTTAGCAGGAGCATCTGGGATCGCGCAATTCGCACAGACAATCAAGCTTTTTAGACTACAACCCGGTTTGATGGCGTTGGTTGGGGGGCAACCCCCTGGATAGTTGTTTTTTTGCTCTCCTTTGGTCTACCGGGTAATGGCAACAGCATGCGGAGCAGGCTTGTGCACGGGGAAAGGGCATGTTTTGGGTCAAAATATGTCTTTCGCCACGTTCCCGGCGGCCCACACGTGCGTGTGCACTCAACGCAAAACAAGCGGCCCCTTTGGTTTCATTTGTCTCGCCGGCGTCTCCCGATGCGATGGCTGTTGCCCTTTTCAGTTTTTGACAGATTGCCATCTTGAGGGCTGATTGTTGGAGCCAGACATTTAAGCCTATTTGTCCAACGTCGATAACTCGTTTCACTTGCACTTTTTAACCGGTCGCAGAAAACCACATTTTGAGCTCTCAACGGCTAGCGCTAACTCTCTGGCTTTCGGCTTCATTTTTCCTGAATTTTATGTATCCAATAAGGCATTGTCATATTGTCAGAATGCTGAAGCTCTTCCGAAGCTTGAAGTGGACCGGAGCAACGAGGTCATAGCATTGCTTGCACCCTTGTTTTCTTCGACTATTTCCACGGGTTGGCGAGTAATTTTTAATGTTTCAGAAGAATGTCGTACTTCCCGCACCCAGTCACCGCAAAACATACTTCCGAAGGCGACGGTGGCGGCTTCCACTTTGCCACGACGTCGATGCAGGGCTGGAGAACGCAGCAAGAAGTTTGTTTTGTTTTTTGGTTCTGGACTGTTAGCGAGGGGAGTGCGATCTCGCCGACACTTACTTAGCCATAATTCCTATCTTTTCATAGCTTATTTTGTAGAGTTTTGGTAGTTTTCGATCACTCAAAAAGACCAGAAACTTTAGACCTTTTTAAAATTCTAGATGTTTATCCATTTCATGCATTTTTGATAGGTATCAAATTTTCTTTGAGGATTTTAAGAAATTTTCTGTACAGTATACAACCGCCTGTTTCCTTCTAAAAATGTGGTTTTTATTTATTCCAACGTCCCTTTAGGATGCCCACAACTGTGTGATCGACCTCGTGGATGGTTGGTCATTATTTGCAGTGTATGACGGACACGGCGGAGCCGATGTGGGTTTTTGAAACAGTGAATTCTGGCAAACAAACCTGGAAATTCGGTATTCTTGTTAGTAAGATGATTTTTAGGTTGCCAAATATGCGCAGCAGCTGTTCCCGCAATACCTGAAGGACAGCCACTTCTCGCAGCACCACGATCGAGTCAAGGCGCTGCAGAAGGCTTTTCTGAAGTTTGACGAGTATCTGGGGCGCAAAGAGGTATGATTTTAATTGATGGAATGTTATAGAAATAGTTTTCAGGATTAAAAAGCAATTATGTTTTTTAATTTCAATTCGATGCGGCTGATTTTAACGGTGAAAAAGCCTTAAAAACGCTGAAAAACAAGTGAATTATTTATGTTTTGAAATTTACAGATCGATGAAGCTGACGAGGGCATTTCCGGTTTGTTGTGTGACGTCGGGGCGACAGCGTGCGTCTGTCTGCTCAATGAGGAACAAGTAAGCGTCTTTATCGTTTCGAAAAAGCTCTTTGATGCCGTTTACAGGTATTATTATTCGATTTAAGTTAATTTAAAGCCTTTTATGATTCAGATTATCGTCGCGAACATTGGCGATTCGCGTGCCGTCTTGTCCAGCGGAGGAAAAGCCATCGAATTATCTGAAGACCACAAGCCTACCGATAAAATTGAGTCGGAAAGGATTCAGAAAGCCGGCGCATGGGTGACTGGAAATGGAAGGTAGGTCGATGATACAACTGAAAAACCAGCTGCGTTTTTGAAGTTTTTAAACCCATACAATAGCTTATTTAAAATTTAATTTTTGCGACTTTAGGGTCAACGGCAGTCTAAACGTCTCCCGCGCCTTCGGCGACCATTACCATAAACGCCAGAATAAGCTGCCGCTGGCCGAGCAGGCTATTTGGTAGGCCGAAAGCTACGCGTCGTGTTTTATCGCTAAATTTAGCGCTTTTCCCGACGTGCGGATCCAGGCGCGAAGCCCAGACGACGAATATTTGGTGGTGGCGTGCGATGGGATCTGGTGAGTTGGATTTAAAATGAGCTCCATAAATTTAAGTTCCTAAAAATTAAAGGCACTGATCGGTTAGCGGGGGGGTCAAGAAGGGAGAAACCAACCAAATTTTTCTTCGCAAAAAATGCCTCGGCTGTATTATGAAAAACCGACTCTTTATATGAATTTCACGTTAAGCTTACTTCTAAAAATTCTTAGAGTTTTGAAAAATCGTGATTTACTGGTCGAAAATGCATGGATAGTGGAGACAACGGGTCGCAAAAATTCCTGATTTGTCAAATTTTTTTATAATCTAGCCATCAAAAACTAATCAAAACGCTGTAAAATAGACGAGATATTATTGCCGACGATAAAAATAAGCGGAAAGAGCGGAAAGGTAATGAGCCCCCCCCCGCTAAACGCTAAGCTCCAAAAACTTCCCAATAACAATTTAAAAGCTAACCTACCAACCTGAAAACGCTGAGCTTCAGGAACTCGATGACGTCCCAAGAAGTCGTCGACTACATCGGGCACCGGCTGACCGAAAAGCGGGATCTTACCCGAATCGCCGAAGATCTATGCGACGATTGCCTGGCCCCCTACGGAAGTAGACAACCCTCCGGTCACGACAACATGACTGTCATCATCATCGATCTAAAAGCGGCGAAACCGAAGGCTCACAAAGTTGTCACCCACTTCTAGATTGCCAATTATTGCTCATTTCATTGGCTCAATGTACCTACGATGTATCAATGCCTTTCATAATTTCTTTCAACTTCTTGGGCGTTTTTGCATTATCGAGGGGGGGCTATTTTTTCTGTCAGTTCAGAAACGCCTAGTAGTTAATTGTCAAAATTTAACTATATTTTAAGCGGGAAAATAACTACAAACTTCGAAATTTTGGCTAAATTGGGATTCGTGACTAAAAATGGCGAAATTTTTGTCCAATGGCGATTTTTTTGTCGAAAAATCGATTTTTAGTGATAATTTACAAAGTCTGTACGCAAATGGTCTCCCCCCACGATAACGCGAAAGCACCCTTTATTGTGCCTTTTCTCGGGTCTTTCCGCCCACCACATTTTCTGTGCAATTTTTCTGGCGTACTGGCGCCTGTGCAAATAAAACACGTTTTCTTGCCCGGGCGTGAACCTTGCATGGTCTTTTGGAAAACTTTTATCATTATTTCGAGCGTTTTTTCCGGCACTACCCAAAGCACTTCCGGTTGGCGGCTTGAAGCTCTGGCTCGTAGCCCCTGAAAAAGGCTTTTTGTGCAAGAAAACGGTGATTTTTGAAGGAAAATTCAGCCTCCTTGGATTTTCTACATACCCAGCGCGGATCATGTTCAAAATCATCGCGTACTGTGAGCGTAGATCGCACGACTCGAGCTTCGAGGCTTGAGTGCATTCCTGGAACGAAATAAGATTAACTATTAACTTAAGTTTTTTAAAGTTTAATTTTTTTCCTTGCCTCAACATTCGATTTCACTTTTGTCCGCCTCCCGTTCGGATTCTCAATCTGGGACGCGATTCCGACCAAAATTCGCCCAGAATCTTTCGTGTCGCAAAAGACTGGCCCACCGGAATCGCCCTGAAATTACGGTACTGTAGTGTTAGCGGGGGGAGTTGGCGGTCTTAATCACGGCTAATTTTCAGTTAGCCAAAAAAGTTTTTAGATTATTTTGCAACTTCATGGCCATCAATCCGAATTTCTCAGTTTCTTTTTGCAAAATTTATAAAGTTTTTACATTTAAAAATAGTCAACAACAGGCTAGAAACACTTCCTTTATTTATCTTTGACAAATTATATCTTAAGGAAATTCAAACTCTTGGCAAGTTACCGTCGAAGATACGGGATTTTTGAAGAACCCGGAAGTCGTGAATCACCCATCACTTACTCCTAATGACCCCCCGAATTTGGCCAAATTTCACATCCCCCAAATTCCTAAAAACCCAACAAAGCACGGGCGGCTGAGCGCGGCCCCGTTGGCCATAAACGTCCGTCGACCTCGGGCCTTGTTCTCGCGCACGGCGATGTTCTCCAGGCGCATCCGTTGTGCAATCTTCGCATTCGATCCGCCTAGAAGCACGCGTGTTAATGGCCTGCACCCTAGCGGGGCTCTTTAGCTTTTCGTGACGCCCCAGCCGGAGTGATAGCACGCCGACGACTCCAGCCCCGAATCTGACATCAACGGCCAGCCGGTCGTCACGTTGAAGGGCAGTCGGGCGATCTGGAACGGTTTTTTCTAAAAAGCGGCATGTTTATGGAGTTGAAATCGCAGCAAACAGGGGCTGGTTCGTTAGCGGGGGTGGGCGTAGCATGGGGGAACGAGAGATTTTTCCTCTGTTGACTTCGTCGCAATGAACAACGTTGAAATAAAATATTTTAATGGCATTGACCCCTATCTCGATTTAAAAACACTATAAAAATTAGGGTACTGGGCTGTTAGCGGGGGGTTAGCAGGGGAAAATGATTTTTCAGTCTTTTTTATAGCATAGCACAGGAAAATTATAACTAACACGAAATACAAACCATTTTTACAGCCTCTTAATCCATTTTCAGATATAAAAAGCTCATGAAAAATTCCGAAACTTCTTGGCTTTTTGCTCAAAGATTTCTGAACAATTTCGAAGGGTTGACGGACGGAAAAGCAAAAATTGTTTCCCTCCTGTCTCGCGCAAAAACCGAACCTTGATCGGATTCTCGCCTTCGCAAATCGGCACCGACTTCGCAAGGAATATGATGCCGATATCGTAGGCAGATTCAAAGGCCTAAAATTTGGGAACTTTTCGACTATTTTGGTGCTTTAATTCCTTAGACGTGCTAAAAGTTGTTACAAAACTTATTACAAGGCTCCGCGGACCACACAAAGCCTCAAACCTCATAATACTGCGGGTGAATGTCAAAGTGGCTAGCCGGCACCGCGATTTCCCCCTTATCCGGCTGGTCGAGCACAAAATCATTAATCGTCACGTTTAATGAAGTAGCCCTAAATTTTGTTTGTTACATCCACTTCCCCTGCTAAAATCCACCTCGTATTGGTCTCCTCGTTGAGCAGGCAATGCGCTGCCGTCAGCACAATATTCGAGGCTATCAACGAGCCGCCACACAGCGTCCCCTCGCCCGCATTGTGATGCGGAAAGCGGGCCACGATTGACGTCAAATAGGGAAGCTCGCCTGGCCGGATGTGCAGATTAATATTAGCCAGTGAATTTGCTTTATTATATCTAGCCGTTGACAGCTTCAATGAAAGAAAGGGGAATTGAAAATATCTCTTATCCTGCTGTTTATCTTTCCTAGCGCTGAATTAATTATTCTAAAAATAGATAAGGGCGAAGGATGTTGTGAATTGCAAGTATCAGACGGGTCAGAAAGATCTGTTCATTTCCAGCATTCAAAAGCAAGCGGACGTTGAAAACATTTCCTCCCCCCTTAGCTGTTGTTGATCTTCCGCAGCGTTGAACTAATGTTTCGGCGACTAGCTTAGTTTTGTTTATGCTTATCCGGCTGTTCAAAGTTCAAAGCTTTCATTTAGCTAAGAATCATCCTCAAGCTTCTAGCGATCGCTTCAACATATCTCAAACGCAACACTGACGTTAGATTAGAATTCGAAACGGCCCTCCAAAATTCAAAATTCATTATGCCTATTCCTAGAATCCGCAAAAACGTCTAGCGAAGCTACCTCGAGCCAATGGCACCCCGAAGATCACCCTCCGCTGCCGGCCGAGAGTTTGGGCGAAAAGCAGGGCAACGAGGGGCACGAAACGCATCGCCCGACAATGCCAAAGCAACCAGGAAAATCCGCTTCGTATTTTTTGTTTTGTCTATTTTCGGCTGTTCAAATTTTGGTGATCAAAAAACGTCACAGAGCATCGGGTCCATCTTTTTATTCGGCAAAAAAAAATCGAAAACGGGCCGACATTGTACGCGGCATTGCACTGCACGAATTCCGTTCTCTGGAATGTCGGGTACTAATTTTTACGGTGGCCCTCCCGGCACGAATTTGTGTTTTCGCATTTACCCGTGTTTTCTTTGCGATAATTCCCGCGTCTCTCCCGCCGATACTTTTGGTAAATATTTTGCCACCCAACAATGATTATCATTTGTATATCGTTTTATTGCTCTCAGCGCTATTTGTTTATTGCCCGGACTTCTTTTCACGTTTCTCGTCTTTCGAGAAATGTTTCCTGGTCCGGCTTTCCTCAATGCACTGCTTTCCCCTCGGAAACCTAGACCGCATTACCTACTGCGCATCGGGCACTTTATCCCGCGGAAAGGCTGGGGGCTCTTTTCGGGCCAGGCGGTCGAAATGCATTTTCGCGATCCGTTTTTGCGTCGTCTTCTTCGCGGCGAGCGCCGCCGCCGTGCAGGACCTTTTGTCTGATGGTGAGCCGAGTTCCATTTCCTGGGGCTGGGCTGGGCTGGCCGGGTGAAGGGGCCCCTGGCTCGTCTCCCGCTGTCTTTTGCCACTCTCCATTTCCACGTTCCTCGCTCGGGGAGCGAGCCGTTTTTCGTGCCCCTGCTCCGCTCTGTTGGGGCGGGAATCGATCCGCGGTCTCTTTCCTCCACCATCTCCTCGGCCCGGCACCTATCCCCGCTCGGCTCTGGCCCGCCGGACGGGCCACTGTTTGGCCCCTCTTAATTGGCATGCCACCAGCACCAAGCCCTTCAATTTGATCCCCCGGGATGGGCTGGCCCTCGCCCGGGCCCATTTTGGTTCCGGCCTAACAAGCGCTTCGAATAATGGATGGTCCACTAATTTTGATAGGTTGCGCAATTGGGTGCCCTGCTTTCAAGAATTTCACTTGATTCCTCACGTTGGCCAACCGGGCTTAATTAGTTATTGTCGAAACCCGCTAAAAATAATTCTTTTGCCTCTAATAATTGGGGCCAGTAATTTTACCCAATCAATCATCAGTTATAGCCTGGGTGTTTATTGTTCTTCAAGCTATTAGAGTTATGTACCTTGCTCGCGCTCCTGTCACCTTCGATTAAAACCCATCAGGAATAAAATTGCCTTGTTGGAAAAAATTTTATTTTATCGGCAAGGCATTTTTCGATCTAATCGTAGTCTGGCGGGTTCACCTTTCTATAAATTTTCCATCCCGTACCTACACACTTCGCCACCAATTCTGAGGCCAATTAATCTTTCACAAGAGGTTTTGAACGTCTTTTTCGCCTAACATCTTTAGGCACTTTATACGACCGCGCTCCCTTGTTTACTGGCGGTCCAAGGATAGGATCCTAGGCTATTTTCTCGGGTGGCGTGTTTTGCGGCGAGACGTAGGATAATGTTGTAGACACATTTGATTCCCCGCCCCCGTGGAATTGTTGAACCCTGCCCCCGCTCGCAATAGCTAACACATTTTTCTCCTCGCTTCCCTACATATGCTTCAGGAGTGTTTTTCTACGTCTGCTATTCCAGCGGACTAGGGGCCTGCGAGCGCATTAGTCCACCCTGCTTCTGGGCGCTGGTTGGGCCGGTAGGGGGAACGGCCCAGTCTATCGATTGATGATCACCGCGCGCCCTCACCCGCACCACCGCACTCGCCGTCTCTTTTGAATATCGGCCACCGGGCGCTACCCGCTTATCAAATCGAATATTTGTGGCCGCAATCAGCTCACACATTTGATGAGCTAGGCCCCGCGCTGATGAACGTATATGCGGCAAGTCTTCGATGACTGTTCAGCTTCCGGTTGCTGGGAGGCTTTTTCTATCTTGACTGGCATTCGCGAAGCATTTATTTTCGCGCTATGTCATGAACTAATAAATGCGCTAGTGTAACTGCATCGTCGAAAAATTTATTAGTTCTCTCCTTATCTAGCTTGACAGTTATCTTGTGCTTCTCTTGCGCGTCTTCACGATTGCTGTCGCTTTTGGTTTCCTCCCGAAGGCGCTTGCGAATCTTGGGAAATCTCTTTTCATTGTTTTGTGCGTTGGACTCGGCCAGCTTATAGTATTTTCGGGCTTACTACTTTGTTTTTGGCAAGCTAACATGTTTATTGGTACCACCTTTTCCTAGGTCGCGATCGCCCTTACTCAGCCAATCCGCAATGTTTCCCGCCCGCGATTTCGCCATCATCTGGTCATTTGTCGCGACCGCCCGCTGCCCCGCTCCCCTTCATTGTCATATCTCCCCCGGGATCAGCATAATGCTCGGGGCGTTGTCCGTCGGGCCGATATCGGCCGGGGATGCGGCGACGACTGGCCGACCCAGCGACCTTGGTGACCTTTCTGTGTTCGGAGGCCTACCCCCTATCTCATCGCGAGCCCGCGGCGACTGCCCCCACCCGACGCCTCAGACAACCCACCACGTTTGAAACGGCGCTGTTCGCGCGCTTTTTTGCTTCCCCTCGGCTCTCCCAGCGCCGCGTCGCTGACGAAAATCATGACTCAGTCCCGTTTGAATGAAATAATGGCAAATTGATTTTGTGCTGAGGCGATCGACGCGCTAGGCGTTGTTTTTCATGAGGCTGGGTAATGGATTTTCTAGGGCCTGATTTACCCGTTGCTTTTCGTATTTGTCTACTTCCCTGCGATCATGACTGTTCCCTGGCACATGATGATTTCTATCTTTCGAAATATTTCTTTACATTGGCTCTTTCCTCTCGCGGTCATTCCATTTTCTTTTGAGTGGCTTCCCCAATTTCACGGCGGCTATTTTCTCACCTCCATTTTCCAGGCTCGTAGTCGCCTTTCCATCGGCTGACAACGTGAACGATGGCTGCGATTAGGAAGAAGGTAATTTTGGCTTGTTTTGCAACAAATTTTTGTTTTTAGCTGGTTATCGTCGGAGACGGGGCTTGCGGTAAAACCTGCCTGCTCATCGTCTTCAGCAAAGATCAGTTCCCGGACGTGTATGTGCCCACTGTCTTCGAGAATTACGTAGCTGATATCGAAGTCGACGGAAAACAGGTGAGCTGGATTCCTTTCATTTGTGTTCAGTCGCAGTTTCGTTCGTTCGGGGAGTACTCTTTTTTTTTAGGTCGAGCTCGCTTTGTGGGATACGGCCGGTCAAGAAGACTACGACAGGCTTCGACCACTTTCCTATCCTGATACGGACGTCATTCTGATGTGCTTCAGCATTGACTCGCCCGACTCGCTAGAGAATATTCCCGAGAAGTGGACACCTGAGGTATTATTTTTTTTATTTGGCGAATACCCTTGTAAGAAAAACGGCTAGTGAACGATATGTGGGAATTGCGGCATTTTCCATCCTTTCCAGTTTTGGGCTATTTTTAATTCCCATCGCCTCTAAAGATCCCAGTTTTCCCCTGCGTTTCTTTCTCCTACTAGCTAGCTGTATTTGGTTTGTTAGCATGGCGCCGCCGCTGCGGTGGGGGTGGTGGGCGGTTGATGTTGGTGGTGGCGAAACTTGGGCTGCCAGCACTCCCCAAATAGGGATCATCAACCGCTACTGGGCTTCCCGGGGGCAGTGGCGTCTTTTATCGATCGCGGTGGCTCATCTGTCCCCTTTCCTTACTAAACGGGGGGAGGAGGAGGAGGACGCTGAGACTCGCTTTCGGGGCCCCCGGTCCCGGAGCTCACTTCCTTGAGAGCACAAGCGGGGCGCCTAACTCGCACGGAGGAGCGGGTTAGTGACTGATGAAAATTAGTTTCGTGGACTGAAAAAAATTTTGTAGTTTTGTAGAGTTTACTTCTATAGTTTCACTGCTGTCGATAGTTCTATTTATGAGTTCGACCATACGCGCTAAAGGTTTACAAAACAAATTATACATTTGCCTACCATGCCCAGCATTTGATTTTCGGGTATCACTTGGTTCCGATCCAGAGACTTGTCTCCCGCGCCTCCACACCACCCCTTATTGGATAAATCACGATAGTAATTCAATTAGCCGCGACCCCTACCGATGCGTTGCGAAGAAGCTTTTTCCTGGTTATGAGATCACGGGCGGGGGAGGTTAGTTTAGCAAAACCCGAGAGAAGAACCTGAAAAACAGAATCGACAAAATCTAATTTCCTATTTCCAGGTGCGACATTTCTGCCCGAATGTTCCGATCATCCTCGTCGGAAACAAGAAGGACTTGCGCAACGATCCGGTGACCATCCGTGAGCTGCAGAAGATGAAGCAGGAGCCGGTGAAGCCCGAGCAGGGCAAGGCGATCGCCGACCAGATCGGCGCTTACGCGTACCTGGAGTGCTCAGCTAAGACCAAGGATGTGAGTTTTTTTGCAAAAGAATTTTTGCTATGGGTGTTCTTCGGTCCCGGAAGGTATTTCTGGAAGCACAACGTTAACTACAAAAAAGCGTTCCTTTTTGTCAACATTTTACGCCTGACTCGCCACTCCGTCACTAAGCGACCGAAATTGGAATTTCAAACGTTCAAAACTTGCATGACACGCTATGCATTGTTTTCTGGACGCGGATTCGTATCCATGACATAACGGAACCGTTGAGCATCTCAATCTGCTGTCGCGTGCGACACAACTAATTTCATTTTTTTAGGGAATTCGCGAGGTGTTCGAGAAGGCAACCCAGGCGGCCCTACAACAGAAAAAGAAGAAGAAGAGCAAGTGCGTCATCCTCTAGACACATCCGCTTCTGATTAGTGCCCTCCGGTTGTCTCTCTCAATCCTCGTCCACCCCCATTTATGGTTATCATTTCATGCTATGTGCTCCCTTTAAATTATAACAATGTATCGCTGTAAATGCCCCGAAACATCACCACTCCAAACACGGAACTTCAAATTCACCACTCCTTCCCTAATCGCGCGCATACTTTTACCATCTTTTTTCGTCTTCGTTGCTTTAGATACATTGATTAATTTTTGTTTGTGCGTCGCACGTCATCCATCCCGAATTTCTCCAATTAAATAAGACTGAATAAATCGGATGAGATCACAGAGCGGCAGGGGAAATAGCACATGATATTTTACATGCTGTTACTCGGACGATGATTCTGCAGGGATGTTGAGCGGACGTCTTGCATTTCTATGAAGCTCGACAAGCTGCTAAAGCCGTATTGAAGCTTGGGAAGTCTTTAACTCCTCGTGCGCTTTGTCCATTCTCGGTTAGGAAGTACAGCGTTATCAAACCAAGTCGATCTAGCGCCGCGACCGCTGTTAAATAAGTCTTTAATTTACAATTTTCTGGGCAGTAGTGTCTTGGCACGAGTTCAGAGATGATAGGGTTCTTTTGACGGTGCTCACCCGCTTATTTCAACACATTTTTCCACCAGCCGAGCCCTGGGGTGACCCACTAACAACACCACCGTTCGTGCTGGCGGGCTGTGGGCGCAGCGACCCTCTGCACGTCTGCCCCACTATGCCTCGATAGGAGCGACGTAAACGAATAGCCCTCAACGACGCCGGTAAAGCTGTAAAACTACAGGCTACGGCTTCTCCACGATGACGGTCGGGGTCGAGACGGCCGGGCTTAACCCGATGTCGTTCGCCGACCATTTGGCGCCCACGGTAAGATGGAGGAACTGTTAGGGAGCCTTGAAATTAGGAAAATACCTTAAAGCGTAAATTTGTTTATAGATGGAGCGCTTGAAATATCAGCGTGAAACTGGGCGATTCTGCGATGTGCTGATTACCGTGAATGGTCGGCGATTTACGGCCCATCGAAATATTCTGGCCTCGTGCAGCCCGTACTTTGACTCGATATTCAGGCACACGAAGGTTGTACGTGAAAATGTGGGTTTGCTATAAGAATAAAATTATATAAATAAGTAGCAGCAAATTGTGAATAACAAAGCCAAATTTTTCAGCCCTAAATTGTCCTGATTTTGGATACCTTTCCTAAAAATGGCTAGTTTTGGGTTCCTATGAATACTATAAATTGCGATGCTATAAAGAAGTACTAATGAGGTTCAAATCGAAAAGAAAAACTTTCAAAAGCCAGATTTCCTATCCTATCCTATAAGCGAGAAAAGTATGTGTGTTTTCTGTCCGGGCGGTTTCTCGGCCGCCAGGCCGAATTTCCAGCTGATTTTTGGCATGGAGGTGGAGAAAGACATTCGCCAAAAACGGTTTTTTGGGTTTTTCGAAATTCCTTCATTTAACAATTTTACAAGCAAAAATGTAAAAAATCCTTAACAAAGTGGAAGACAAGCCGTGGTGTTCAGGCCATAACTCGAAGCCCTGACGGAAATTCGGTCTGTAATTTGGATCACTTATGTATTCGATGGTGGGGATCACGCGCATCATATTATCTTTACAAATTTTTTGCATATTCAGGCTCATCATGGAATTTTGTAAAGTGACCAGTAGGCCTCCCTCCCGGAATCATTGCGGCGCCCTTTTCTTTCCCCGCCTCCCCAGGACACAAGAGGCCTTTCCCGCTGCTCGATCGCATCTCCCCCGTGGTTTAGTGGAACTGCGCTCGGCCTACCACGCAAATGGTCGTGGGTTCGGATCCCGGCGAAATATAACGTTTTGCTTTTTGGTAGTTCAGCAACAAAACATATTTCTAGACTCTGGGTGTGCGAGGTCTAGCCTCCCTGAGCTCTCGCTAGAGCGAGACGCTGGCTCTCGCTCTAGCGCCGCAGGCCCAAGAAAAGGCCCTTAGTCCAGGCTCTCGCGCCGCAGGCCAAGGATGGGTCCTTGAACCAGGCTCTAGCGCCGCAGGCCCAAGAAAAGGCCCTTAGTCCAGGCTCTCGCGCCGCAGGCCAAGGATGGGTCCTTGAGCCAGGCTCTAGCGCCGCAGGCCAAAGAAAAGGCCCTTGGTCCAGGCTCTGGCGCCGCAGGCCAAATCCCGGTGAAAAACCAGTAACTAGCGCCGCAGGCTCAATAATTCTAGCGCAAAGCTGGCTCTGGCGCCGCAGGCCACAGCATCGGTTCTTTAATCAGGCTCTTGCGCCGCAGGCTAGAAAAAGAAGGTATTCGTATTCATGGTTCCTGGACGGTGTCCAGTGCAAAAGGGCCGCGAAGCGGGCTTTTTCCACTGGTTAGCTTATAACGGCCAATTTTAGGTTACTATGAATAGCATCCAAACCGACGTCTTCGAGCTGTTCCTCAACTACATCTACAGCGGCAATATCGTCATCGACAAGCTGTCCGTTAATGAACTGCTAAAATTGGCGAACAATTTATTGGTAAGCTTAAATGGCAATGCAATGCTTTTTTAGATCCCAAAACTAAAATCCTACTGCTCGGAATATCTTGACCGATACCTCGACGCCACCAACGTGCTCTCGATCAAACAAATGGCCGAAAAGTACGGAATGATTGCGCTGATGAAGGTAGTTTTTAATTATTTCGATTTAGTTTTTATGTTTGTAACTTAACTTAACTTAACTTCTGTAACTTTGTAATAACTTTAAATTTAGGGTTAATGCTTTATTTATCTGTATTAGCCAGTTCAAAACAAACTTTTCCAGACCGCCACCGAGTTCTTCGACGCCAACATTAACCGTTGCCTATTGGAATCGGTGGACATTGTCCAATACTCTTATTCCCAGTTTACGAAGCTGCTAGCCGAGCCGAAATATGCCGGCCTGATTCAGCCGGACGCGCATTTGAAGTAGGCTTTTTTCCTTTTCTTTATCCGTTTTTGCGTTGGTTTCTATCCTCAATTTACTTCCTATTTTGCAGGGTAATCGTTCGCTGGATATCCGATGACGTCGAGAAGCGACAGGCCTACTTCCGGACCCTGCTCGGCACGTTGCAGTTGACGAGTGTAAGTTTTAGCATTCATTTGTAAACCGTTTTTTTGGACCCGGCGTAACACACAATCGGTTTTAGGTTAGCGAATCAACAATGGATTTCCTGCTCGATTTCGCCTCGCTGTTCATCAACAGCACCACCAGCCGCGTGCTTTTCATGCAGCAATTGTAAGTCGTTGTAAAATAGCTGTTTAAAAATGGTTTCTACGAGTTTTCTTGGTCTTCAAAAACCTGAAAAATCTCGAAACTTTCAGAAGTCGAGCCGGCATGCTTACGGAAAAATATCAGGACGAATACGCGCATTTGTTATCGACTACAGCGATTCCGGAAGATCACGCTCCACAGGCCGTGGAGAATAATCAGGTAGTTAAAAATCTTCTTCGAAGTTCGATATTTTCAGGAGATTACCGCTTCATTTAGGATATTTAAGGCAATAAGCAAAAATCGCTTTGAAAAAGGAATTTTTAGGACCTCGACGAGCTCGACGACGAGGAGGGCTTCAGCGACCTGGAGGATGAGGATGGGTATGGTTAAAAATATGGAAATAATTCGTTTTTAGGAGTCTCTACGGCTCGGATGCGGACTCTGGAGATGGGATGGATGCGGAATACGTAGGACACGAAGCTATGCGCTAGAATCCGGGATTTTAGGGTGCACCGAGGACGCGGAAACGGCGCCACGAGGGTTCTTCCGGAAGTGAGGGCGAGACGGCGAAACGAGCACTTTTGCACACGATCAAGTAAAAATGGAGAATTTAAATAATGGTGTGTTTTAGAAAACAAAAAGGGCTGAAGCGGCGCGGACGACCGCCGAAGCGGATTACGGACGATGACGGTAAGATTTCTTTTCTGGAATGGTTTTTCTATTTTTTTTTGGGAGCATTGCCATGCGTTTTAAACGTGGAAAAATTTTTCAGGGATCTATTTTAATTGATTGTATAAAAAAATGGGTCAGCTGGTTTCTAAAACCCAAAACTCGCCTTCAAAACTGATTTTTCCAGTGGATATTGCCGCGTTCGACGAAGATGAACTGGACGGTGTCTACGCCGACGCAATGTTCCTCACCGGCACGACAACCTATGCCGAAGACGATATCCTGGACCCAGATATGGTGCGTCGGAATTTAACTTTTTCGGAAACCGTAATTTCCAGGTCGAAGACGGCGAGGAGGTGTCCGACCCGTCCGGCTCGAACCCGTGCAACTACTGCCGATTTGCCTCCAACAGCGAGGAGGTCAGAAACGCTGAAATTTACACTCGTTAACCCTGTTTTTTAGGAAACAGCCCGCCACACGGCTCGAAAACACAACCGGAACACGATTTTTGTGTGCCAGCTGTGCGATTTTGAGTGCAAGTGGAGCAAGAGGTTCTATGAGCATGTCAGGATGCACCATTTTAATGTGAGTATAATCATTATGAAAGCTGTAAAACAGCAAAAAGATAATGTCGAAAAATTCATTTCAGGCACCACCCTACAACTGCATGCATTGCCAGTATATCTCGTCAGATCGGGTGCAAGATTTACTGGGTCATATGTTGACGCATAGTAAGTTTTGAGGTATATAATTATAGTATATAGAACGTATATTTAGGCAAATTTAATAAGTATAGTCAACAATTATTAAATTCTACAATTTTCAGCGGATGTACGATTCTTCAAGTGCGCAACTTGCGGTTTCCGAGGACGCACCCGGACTCAAGTCTGGGCCCACGAAAAGATGCACACGGATGAGGTTTATATTAGCATTAATTATTGCTTAATATTGAAAATTAATTGCTACTAATATTTACAAAACTATATACGAAATTTTAGACAACCCTCCACTGTATCGAATGCGGCCGTTCTTTTAACCAGCAATCCGCTCTGGATACTCATATGGCGACACACTCGGATGTTAGGTGGGTTGAAAAATAGATTTTAGTTATAGCTATTTTTATATGGTATTTTTAAGGTATATAGATCCAGATTAATAAGTAGTTTTTAGACCTCACGTGTGCGACGAGTGCGGCTTCGCGTCAAAATCCCCTGACGACATCCTCGCCCACAAAAAGGGACATAATGGCGACATCTTCTACTGTCATATCGAGGGCTGCGATTATAGGTAAATTATTATAGCTCTCGGCGCTTAAAATAACGTTTATCAAGCTTAGAATGTTTTCATAACAGTGATTTTTATAACAATTCGGCTAAAAAACTAAAAATTCAAGATTTTTAATTTTTCCCAGGAAATCGATGGTTAATGCCGGATTATAATAGTAGGCAACGTCAAAAAAACTTTAACAGTCTCAAAATTTGTTGTATGAATGTGTTTTGTATATAAATTTCGTTTCTAAAGCTTAAAATTCCACGTAATTTTCAGTTCGCCAAAGAAAAGCCAGCTCGCCGCCCATTTGCGGACCCATTTGGCCGTTCGAGCCCATATGTGCAAGGTAAAAAATTTAGAACTACTGTATTTTATTAAAAAATTAGATTTGCAACCGTGGCTTCATCGAAAAGTCGCATCTGGTCCGCCACGAGCGGATTCACCTGCAAGAAAAGCCGTTCAAGTGTGACATTTGCGATTACGCGAGCTCGAGGAGGGACAAGTTGAAGGTAGAAATTACGCCATTTTTAATTTTTACACGTCATAGGATTGAAAAATGTCGTGAAATTTTTAGGAACATATCTTGAAACACCACAACAGCGCCCAGACCAACCGCGCCCAGCGCCGGAAGTACAAACGTGAACGACAGTTGGCCGCTTTGGCCGCACAAGTTGGTTAAAAATTATATTTCGTTAATTTTAAATGATGTTACAGTTTCTAGAAAGCGTTGTTTAGAAAATTATGCGTTTTGTTTGAGCAAGGAATGAAATGAAATGAAAACCTTTGAAAATATCATTTTTCGCATACTTTTTTGTCAGTTTTTCGTCAAAATCTCTACTTCGCTAACCTCAAAATGCAGTAAAAATGCAGCGCATTTTAGGAATTCTTCGAAAGGAACAAAAACATCTGAACTCAACCTTTATTACAGGAAGCCGAAGAAGCGAAACTCGTCGGCGGGTCCGAGAACGTCTTCCGTCCCATCAACCATTCCGACGTCGTCGAGCAGTGGCAATCGGCGCATGGCCATCATTTCCAGGTAGGAAAGCACTCGAAAAAAGAGAAAAAGATAAATAATTAAACAAAAGCTAAAAAAGATAGTGAAGTAAGAAAAATAAATCGACATCTTTAGCAACAAGGCCAATTCTCGCCACTCGGCCGTTCGACTTCCGTTTGCGTTGGTGGCCAGCCCGGGACAAGCGGCACGGGGCGAATGTCTCCAGGGTCGATGAGTCTGAGCAACATCAACATTGCCGGGCCGGACAATCCGATGATTGGGGCGCCGGGAGGGATGGGTAACTTTTAGCTTGATCTCTCTCTCTCTCACACTCTCTCTCTCTCTCGCTCTAAAACAATCCAAATTTCAGATTTCTCCTCGAATAACTTCAACTCACAAATGGTATCCCGGTCGCCGCATAACCACTCGGTTAATATGGATTTTGGGTAAGTTAATTCTTATTTTTATAGATGTTACTTAATACATAAATATTTTCATTATTGACGCATTAATGGTTAGAATTTACCCAATTTTACAGCCCAAGCACCTCCTCCGACATGGGCAACCGAGCGATGAGCGTCCCGCCCTATTCTCAATATCAATTAAACCCGCAGGAACATGGTAAGACATACGGCAGCGAGAGCATCAAAATGACAAAAATAGATTAAGAGAATCAGAATTAATAGGCTATTAAAGAAAAAACTGGCACTTTTTAGTGTATGCCCCTGGAGAAGGCCCCTCACAATTCGCGCAGCAGGCCTTCCAACAACAACAGCAGCAACAGCAACAGGATCAGCAGCAGCAACAACAACAACAGCAGTGGTGGTAAAATCAGAATATGTATTTTCGCTTTGTTTTCTCAATCGAAATTTAATATTTTCGTGCTTGTAACTACCGTACCCGTCGTACTTGTAACTTTTCCAATTCGGTTAATTTTTGTGCTCCTTTGGATTCGAAATACAATTTTTGGTGCTTTTCGGTTATTTATCAAACTTGAATTCTACCCATTTCGGCCCAGATTTAAATTACGGTAATTGCACTACAGTACCCTACTCAAAAATATCGTATGCGGCTTTTTTTTGTTTCCCTTTATTTGTTGTGCCTCCTCGCCAAACGCCCAAAAATGAATCTGATTCGGTGGTATGATTTTTGGTACACGTAGGTAACGGGGGAAATAACGGGGGGGGCACTCAAACTTTCTACAGGGTGTCCCAAAAAAAACGAACCATCTGGCATTTCGCCGTGTTACATCAAATCGGCCCCAAATTTGGACCAGAGGTGTATCAGACCCTAAATAACAACAATCCTGACTTTTAGCCCCGTAGCTACAGTCGTTCTCGAGTTATAAGGAAAATACTGTTTTTTAGAGAATTCTGAACAGTTTTTTCGGCTATCTTTTTGGAATTTACATCGATTTGCATCGACTTCCGGCTGCGAATCCCTAATTTCGCTTAAAGACCCTTGGAAAGATGGCCGGGCGTCCCCAGGGGTGAGGGACCGACGGGGCGATACCATGCACGCTTTGCATCGCGTAAGGGCCCCCAAAACCCGGGACTGGGTTTCAAGAAAACAGATTTATAGCGATAACTTTTTTGATTGACGATATTTTTGGCGAGAAATGTCCATAGACTATATATGGGTCGAAGCCCGGGGGCGGCGCCAGAGGCGCCTCCCGAGGCACCCCCTGGGGGCGTGCCGAGTGGCGCCTGTGGCGGCGCCTGGGGCTGACCAAAAGGCGCCGGGAAACCTAGATGCAAAGCAAAAATGCGGTGTTGTTATGGAAATGAGATTTGACTGCTGATCCTTAATATCAAAGAAGGCAAAAACTATTAGTTGATTGGCCTATAATTCTTCCCTGATCCTTTCGCATTGTAGAGGAAGTGGGTGTTTATGGGGGACCAACTTCTTTCTAAGGACCTTGTTTTCTAAAAGAAATAGTGGAAGCTTTCGAAACTGTTGTTATTATTCTTAAACGTAAAAAACTTTACCAACTGCGACTGAAATACAAAAAAATATAGATTTTTCTGCCAAAAATCGCCGATTTTCCAATCTCACTTTCAATTTCGAAAATTCCATCTAAAATTCCTTCCAATTTTTTATTTTTTTTCACTTAAAAGTTAGTTAAATTTTACTAAAAACATTATTAAAAGGCTGACTATTACGTTACTAGGCTTTTCTGAAGTGCAAGCGAAAAAGTTATTTGCAGGTTACTCTCTACTGTCCGTTGCTCTTGCGCTTGAAATGAATAATTAACATTGGAATCGAAGATTTGCATAATCTCACAGGCGCCGTTGGTGACGCCCCCCGCCCCGTTAAAAATCATAGGGGCGGCGCCCCCAGGCGCCACTCGGCGCGCCCCCCAGGGGGTGCCTCGGGAGGCGCCTTTGGCGGCGCCCCCGGGCTTCGACCCATATATACCATAGACATAGTTTATAGCCATCCCCATCGGTGATAAAAATTTGAGGCTGATTGGATAGATGGCAGCCATGTTCTGAGCGGAAAGAAGTTTTTGGGACGCTCTTTAGTTGAAAAATCGTCAGAAAGGGCATAAAAAACTCCAGGAAAGTTGGGGATTACTTTGCTTTCCTTTATCAAGCTTTTCTATAGCATGTTTCGTTATTATTATTTATAAATAGCTTTATTTTCAATTGCTGCCCAGTAAAGCGCACCAAATCACCCCTAGGATATTTGAGGCCCCTCCGCCGCCCCTGCCCGGTCGGCCCCTTTGGTGTGGGGGTAGCGCGTTGGACTGCGGAGCGGACGACCCTGGTTCGACCCCCGCCCGGTGCACCCCTTCTTGCTTTTTGGCCAGTCCCATCTTTCCAGAGGCCTTTAAGAACTCGGGTAATTTTGCGTTGTAAAAATCGCTTAAATCGAAGCTTATCCAATTAATTTTACTCTGGAAAAAATTTCTTAAGGTAAAGAAGGCCTAACGGATCATTTTCACTTAATGTCTAGGGGGTCTAATTCCACGAAAACCCTATGAAAAATAGAATATAAAGTTTGTTTTTGCCATAACTCGAGAACTACTATAGCTACAGGGCTAAAAGTCAGGATTGTTGTTATTTAGGGTCTGATACACCACTGGTCCAAATTTGGGACCGATTGGATGTAACACGGCGAAATGCCAGATGGTTCGTTTTTTTTGGGACACCCTGTATATGATAAAAGTATTTTTAAATATGCTTTTTTCGGGCTGTAAAAAAAACTCTTAGTATATTTTTCGGTCCTCTATCGAATGGCATTTTCAAAATCTCGAAAATATTCAAAACGCCGAAAATTTTTTCCCCCCCTGTTATCCTATGTGCTGCCCATAGTTTTCAAAAATAGTTTTTAGGCTATAAAAGTTTTATAATACATTTTTTCGCGTTGTAAAAAAATCTCTTAGTATATTTTTTGATGTTCTATCGATTCGCGTTTTCAAAATATCGAAAATCTCAAAAATTTGGCTTCCCCCCGTTATCCTATGTGCTGCCCATGGATTTTGATCAATTTTTGTTTATTCGATAAAAAATTTCATTTACATTATTTCGGGCTGAAATTAATTTTCCTAGGGCAGGTTTCGACGCTTTATCGAATCGCGTTTTCAAAATACCGAAAATTTCGAAAATTTCGAAAATTTGACTTTCCCCCCCCCCGTGATCCTATGTGCTGCCCATGGATTTTCCTCAATTTTTGTTTATTCAATAAAAAATTTCCATTACATTATCTTGGGCTAAAATTAATTCTCTTAGTATATTTTTCGACGCTCTATCGAATGGCACTCGCAAAATCCCTCAGTAATTGCAAATTTCATAATAATGAGTGCCCCCCCATTATTTTATTCCCCCCCCGTTACCCTATGTGTACCTGATTTTTTCTAGATTTTTTTTCTGGCATGATCTAAATTTTCGTGCATAAAAGTTATTGTTTACTGTAGAAAAGCAAAAGATACAGAAATACAGTATTTTTTCATGCATTTTCAATGTGTTTAATCGAGTTTTATTTTAGTTTTTATAGCAATTTATAAAGTAGCACAACCAGTTTTACAGTGATTTTCTGATATCAATAATTTCCGTGTCGAGACCGTGGGCTTCAGACTGTAACGGGGAGTACTGCGGAAATTCCAGTGTTCCCTGCCGGCTGATCGAATGAGCACGAGCTGTCACAGCAGCTAGGGCCAAGAATCCGGTAGCTGTTGAGCCGCCGTCTCGAGTTGCCATTCGGCCATCGAGCTGACCTCTCCTAAAAACGGTGTCTTATTAGTGAGGAGGTACGGAGACTGGATACTGCCGTTCCTGGTGTTTGGAAGGTTTTATACTTGATTTTTTGAGAGCGAGAAAGCGAGTGAGAGCGAGAGCGAGAGACAGAGAGAGACAGAGAGCGCGAGAGACAGAGAGAGAGAGAGAAAGAGAGAGAGAGAGAGAGAGAGAGAGAGAGAGAGAGAGAGAGAGAGAGGCAGAGAGCGCGAAAGGAAAACTTATAACAGCGAACCTCCGTAATTTTAAGGCTAGTTTTCAAGGGATGTGATTCCGCTTTCAAACCGGACGCAGGGATAAAAAGGGACGGGGAAGCCACAATTTTGTCATTTCAGGAGCCAAAAATATGGTTTAGCTACAGTCTCGATTTTAAAGGCGCCTGGAAGACAAACCCCTCAGTTAAAAACCTAAGAAGTACGACTTGTTTTTTAGGTTTTAAAGGAAAAAACCCTGGAATTTCTGGTCGTTTGGAATGAAAATGGACTCATCTCGACCGGAATCCCGGTGATTTTAAAGGAACCGGGTAGTCAAAAAACCCTCACCATCCACAAGAAAGAAACAACATAATGGCCGCTCGATATCTTCGATGGCACAAAAAACAGACGAAAGTCCGTATGGCTGCGTTGACGATCAACGGCGAGCTGGTGTGCAGCTCCACCTCGGCTGATGGGCCCATTATCTGGAAAAAGTATCGGGATTTGAAGGTTTGTCATTTTTTTGGGATGCCATTGATCCTAATTGAATGTCTGACATAATTTCAGGAATTTTCTCCGTATTTAAAGCGTATTTTGTATTTAAAGACAGTTTATAATAGAACCAGATCAGCTTCAGATTCCTGATACCTTTTCGGCCATAATCCCGGCAGCGTAAATCAGCCAACAAATTAGAGAAAACGTGGCGATGACGATTAACTGGTTGAGTATTGGCAAACAGAGGGGTTGGCCATCTAAAGACAGAGTGACACTTAGCCGACGAAATTTACCATTTCTTGTGGACAATCTTCGTTTCGTTAATAACAACAAGAATAGAGCGATGCTTATTGAGACTAGGTGGACCGTCAGCCAAACGCATTTCGCCCTGGAAAAACGATAGTTTATTTTAACGGGAGAGTGACTGGAGAATACCGTGATTTTTAAGAAAGTTTCATGGTTTTTAAAGGGACGGGCAAAGCCTGGCTATCGTATTTAGAGCTATGGATTCTCGATGGTTTTTGCCTCGCGCGACACGCAAAGCACGTGATTTTTCAGCGGCCGCGACACGCAACGCGCGCGTATTTCTCTGCCCCGTGACACGCAAGGCCTACGCGCCGTTGGCCGCACCGAAGAGCTTCTAACCGATTACGCAATGGAAGAGGGGTCGGGCGCGTTGCGTGTCGCGACTGCGCTAAAGATCATCAGGGTATCAACTATAATAAAAAAGTAGAGACGTCCGTCTGTCTGTCTGTCTGTGTGTGTGTGTGAAGCCGAATTCAACTCGAAGGGGAAACGAGCTAGAGCTTAGCTCTCTTCGGATTCGGATAGAGCGTGGTCAGAAACCCCCAAACTGATAAAAAAATTACGAAAAACTTTTAGTTTAAATTATTAAAATTAACTTTGAAAGTGGCGCCTTAATAAAACGAGTGGGGGCCCTCCCCCCGGGAGGCCACGCCCCCTTTTCCTTCGCCCTTTTTCCCGAGGCCCTTTCCCGCGCCCAAATAGCTTTTTAAGTTACTTTAATACTTTTAATACTTTTTAATACTTTTTAATTATGTTAATTAATTATTTAAATATTTAAAGTATCTAAAGCCATCGGGAAGGTATTTAGGTAGTTTTTGAAGGGGATTTCAGCTATGGGGGGTATCTGAAGCCATCGGGAAGGTATTTAGGTAGTTTTCGAAGGGGATTTCGGCTATGGGGGGTATCTGAAGCCATCAGGGAGGTATTTAAATAGTTTTTGAAGGGGATTTCAGCCATGGGGGGTATCTGAAGCCATCGGGAAGGTATTTAGGTAGTTTTCGAAGGGGATTTCGGCTATGGGGGGTATCTGAAGCCATCGGGAAGGTATCGAATTAGTTTTTTAAGGGGATTTCGGCTATGGGGGGTATCTGAAGCCATCAGGGAGGTATTTAAATAGTTTTTGAAGGGGATTTCAGCCATGGGGGGTATCTGAAGCCATCGGGAAGGTATTTAGGTAGTTTTCGAAGGGGATTTCGGCTATGGGGGGTATCTGAAGCCATCGGGAAGGTATCGAATTAGTTTTTTAAGGGGATTTCGGCTATGGGGGGTATCTGAAGCCATCGGGAAGGTATCGAAGTAGTTTTTTCAGGGGATTTCGGTTATGGGGGGTATCTGAAGCCATCGGGAAGGTATCGAAGTAGTTTTTTAAGGGGATTTCGGCTATGGGGGGTATCTGAAGCCATCGGGAAGGTATGTAGGTAGTTTTTGAAGGGGATTTCAGCCATGGGGAGTATCTGAAGCCATCAGGAAGGTATTTAGGTAGTTTTTGAAGGGGATTTCAGCCATGGGGGGTATTGATGGAGGTGGGAAAGGATGTGGTGGTGTGGGACATGTAGGGTAGCCCGAAGGCCAGATGGTTGCAGTCGCGAAGCGACTGTAACCATCTGGTAAATATGATAAAAAACGATAGCCTTGACTTGCCCGTCCCTTTAAATGGCGCGTGCCCGCAAGATTATGGTTTTACACACCACCCTTCCCATACCTTTGATCCCCATGGGAAGCCGCCGCAAAGCAAGACACCAACACCTCATCGCCCTCCGGTAATACTCTTCCCATTAATGTGAGAATACCCGTAAAGATCAGCACCGCCGACTGGTAGACCCACAGCACGGCGGCGGGCACTTCGGAACGACGTCGTTTTTCTCCTCTAAACGCTGATATCGTCATTTTTAACCTCTAAAAAGATATAAATGTTCCTCAAGTCGAAACATATTTAACCTTTGACAAAAGCAATTTCTAAATTCTGGAAAATCGATTCCCACCTTGGTACCCGCTTCTTTATCGACTCCACAAATCTTTCAACCGCCATAGCTAGGAGAACGGCTGTCTAAAGCTCATGGATTTGCCTTGCCAGTTCCTTTAGAGGGACTGGGAAGCGAGAAAATTGACTCCCGCCCGCGACTAGGTCTTCCGGTCAGATTCGCGTTGCCAGAAAACGTTGAAGTTCGTTCTGGTCATTTTGATTTCACGCGGGGCCAAGGTCGACAAATCCTTGGATGCGTGTTTTGTAGCGAATCGTAGCTGTCGAGGCCAAGTCGAAAGAAAGGGTCGGTTCTCGCACTTCCTAGCCCCTTTAAAATCACTTGCCTACCTGCGCATTTAGAGCCAAAAGTCCGTGTAAGGACCCGAGATAGCAGGCGCGCTGTGGGACACGATGCCACCCGTTGAGCACCATGATTCGGACTTGTATCTAAAAAGCCAAGGCGCGCAGTTTAGGCTTAGCTCAGGCTTAGCTTAGTCTGAGCTTAGGCTTAGCTGATGCTTAGCTCAGGCTTAGCTTAGTCCGAGCTTAGGTTAAGCTGATGCTCAGCTTAGGCTTAGATTAGGCTTAGCTTAGGCTTAGCTTAGGCTTAGCTTAGGCTTAGCTTAGGCTTAGCATAGCTTAGTTTAGGCTTAGCTTAGGCTTAGCTTAGGCCTAGATTAGACTTGGCTTAGGCTTAGCATAGCTTAGCTTAGGCTTAGCTTAGGCTTACCTTAGGCTTAGCTTAGACTTAGCTTAGGCTTAGCTTAGGCTCCTTTTTCTAAGACTCACCAAATATACAAAAACCACAAAATCACACAAGGCTGCCCAGCCCATTAGTGTGTGGATACGGTGGCGGAGGCGGGCGCTGAGGGCTGGAAGTAGGAGCTTTCCGGAAATTTGGGTTTTTCTGTTAACCTGTAGCCATCACGAGTAGTGTCGCTCCATAGAGCCCTATTATGCAAGCAGATAAGGAGGGGAGTACCTGCAATAGAAACATTTGTAGAGAAGGGAGACAGAGAAAGCGAGAGAGAGAGAGAGAGAGAGAGAGAGAGAGAGAGAGAGAGAGAGAGTGAGAGGGAGACAGAAAGAGACGGGCGGGCCAGGACACAAAAATTCCGCTGCACAGTTCCTATCGCGCGCCCTTGTGACCGTAACCCCCCAGAGCTCCCCCAGAGCCCCTCGGGTCCGAGCGGCAGACCTGCCGGCAAGCCTTGGGGCAGACCTGCCGCCCACGATCGCCGGCAGGTCTGCCCCAAAAGCCTTTCGGCAGACGTGCCGGCAGACCTGGGGCTTGGCAGACCTGCCGGCAGACCTGGGGAAGGGCAGACGTGCCGGCATGGGCTTCATTATTGAATAATTAATTAATTTATAGTTTAAGTTTGAGCTTCACTAGCTTATAAGCTAATGAAAAAGAAGTAGTTCCGTAGGTAGTGGATGTATCTTCGCAGATGTCTCTGGGGGACCTGCAATTGAATAGTTAGTTTGGTTTCTATCTGTTCGTTTGTGACTTACCCTGCATACGAGGATCTTTGCAGATTTCCCTGAGATTTCTTTTGATATTTGAGTGGTTTCAAAGTTCTGGCTCACCTGCTCTGTTCCAAAAAGCGACGTGAAGCAGCGTCTTTGGCTGGACACTGCGCTAGCCTGCCCTAAACGTCTTGGCTTAATTTACGCCATTGTAAGAATGTCAAATTTTACCTGCTCATTCGTTTTCCGTTTAGATTTTTATGAAATTACATACCTATAGGCCGCTTTGATTGAAAACTTACGCTCGTGTATTAGCGGGGGTGCAAGTAGATTGCTAAATCGCTGCCGCATTTCTCGAACCGTCGTTGACTTGGAAAACACTAAATATTTTGTGGCACTTACTTTCTGTCCGAAACATATTCATCAACCAATCGCTCGGATCCAATCCAAAACCATCGCCGCGGTTAGACGCTGTTAGAAACTGCGTTTTGCTGTTAAGTTGCCTAAAAGCGGAAAATTTTGAAACGTTAAAAACAACCTTGGTTTATGTGAAGCCCTCGGACGTCTTGCGGGTGGACATAGCACGTTTCGAGAAACCTATTAACCGCGGGATACTTCACGACCTATTCTGGTAAGCATTCGGCAGCGTTCTAGCACATCAGCGAAACACTTAAATAATCTAAATAAACTTACAATTACCTGTATTACCATCGGTTTCCCGCTGCGTCGCGGTTCCCCGGCCATCTTGGCTGGCATCATGTTTTAATCATCTAGACAAGCGCCATCAGTTAGCGAAGCATCTATAAAGGTGGGATCATGGTAAACGGTAAAAAATTAACGCACCTTGATTTTTCCGATAGCGCTAAACCATGTTCTGAAATACGTAACATTTGAAAAGTTTCCGCCAAAAAAAATAAACCTCATTCCATTTTCGTTTTTGGTTTCCGCAACATATACCTTTTCGTTGTTGCGATCCTGAAATCGTCTTCCACTAACCTCAAATCCGTAAATAGACAGAACCTGAAAGCATTACAGAGAATAAAAAATACCTGTTGTAACAGTAAACCTAAAGTTGTAAAATAATGTAAATGAGATGAAGATGAAGAGCAGCGCGCTTTGTTCTTGAGGCTTGCCGGCACGTTTGCCACAGGTCTGCCCACCGGCCTGCCCCATCTCTGGCCGGCAGGCCTGCCCCAGGTCTGCCGGCACGTGTGCCCCGCTGCAAGTCTGCCGGCAGGGTCGCCGACCCCCGAGGCTGCCGGCACGTTTGCCCAACCCTGCCGGCAGGTCTGCCGGCTCCAAATTCTGCCGGCAGGTCTGCCGCTCTGACCCGAGCCGTTCGCCTTTCCGTCCAGCTTTTCATCGCGTAAATAATATAAAAGGAAGTGGAAAAACAAAAACAATAATAAAAAGCAAAAAGATAACTTTTTTAATTGGAAAAACACTTTTTGAAAGGTACAATGGGAAAATACCCATTAGTTGAACGTTCTGATGAGGTTAGTTGTCTAGATGTATCGCTTGATCATAGAGTCACCCGACGAGGGAGTTGCGGCTCGTGATTAGTTATTCAGTTATTGCGATTAGTTTAATGGATATTGTTAGCTATTCACCTGACGTGCGCTACCCTTCGTCTTCTCTGGTCTTCTCTCTTCCCAGGCTGAGAAACCAAAATTCTGTGACGAGTAGACATAGGCTAAGCCTAAGAGCGTGTTCCTTTATAGCTCCCGAATGAATGGTTGCTCTTCCAACTTGAATAGTATGAGTTGCCGGCCTTCAAGCTACTGTATAACCAGATGACAAGCTGGAAATTTTGCAAGCAGAAGTGAGAGTACGCCGAAGAACATCTTCATCGAGGAACCGCCTGCTGTTTTTTATAAAATATAAACTAAAAGATTAGTAAACATTGTAGTTTTCTTTTCTGCAGCGTATGCAATAGTCGCTCAACATAGGCTCGCTTCGGTAGGCAAGCCTACATATACGGTTTTGTCCACGTAACAACCAGGAAACGTCTTCGTGTTTCGGCTATCTGTCAGACGTTAGGCAATCGCGACTAAGAGCATCAGCCGCTAAAAGGAATTTGGCACCGAAACTTGTTCTCTATCGCTCCCGCCATCCTTCTCTATGATCAAGAGATACATCTAGACAACTAACCTCATCAGAACGTTCAACTAATGGGTATTTTCCCATTGTACCTTTCAAAAAGTGTTTTTCCAATTAAAAAAGTTATCTTTTTGCTTTTTATTATTGTTTTTGTTTTTCCACTTCCTTTTATATTATTTACGCGATGAAAAGCTGGTCGGAAAGGCGAACGGGCTCTGGGGGGGCTCTGGGGGGTTACGGTCACAAGGGCGCGCGATAGGAACTGTGCAGCGGAATTTTTGTGTCCTGGCCCGCCCGTCAGAAAGAGACAGCGGGAAGGAGAGAGAGAGAGAGAGAGAGAGAGATCGTGAAACTTACCGCCCATTGTGAGACCAGGTACGTTCGCGTCAAACTCGGATCAAGGGAATCTGAAATCAACGAAATTAGGCCGATTCCGAGCGTTAGCAACTCGTAAAGGGACTGGCAAGGCAAAAACGATACATTTTCGAATTCCAGGGATGACATTTGCCTTCACAGTCCCTCTAAACCAAATCTACCGTACCCTGATGCCCAGCACGAATCGATACAACTCCGTATCGTTGCATTATTGTGCAGCAGAATTTTAGGGATGTGAGGATTTAGCCGAACGGATATCTTTGCTCTTTCCACGTGGCCGATATTACTGGGAAGCCCGAATCTCAAATTCAACGCTCGGGGTAATGAAACCCCGGAAAAGACCAAAATGAGGGCGGGAAAAAACGGGGAGAAACTCACGCCGAAAGATGTAGTGGGTTTCCATAGGGAGAGGTGGTAGCTGATGAAGTGGCCGGCGGGATGATATTAACTGAAAAATGGTCCTCTTGAGGAGAAAGAGCCGCTCGAGCTCAAGCTGGAGCCCATGCTCAGAATGTCATGAAAAAGATAGCTGAAAAGAAATTCTTTCTAAAAGTTGCTGCGGAGAAAAAGACATAGTTTAGCAAACACAAAAAAGGCTATTTTTCAAAAAAATGGGGACAAAATCGCTCGAAAAATCGACGCTAGAGCCTTGGAACCCTTCACACTAAATATAGAATAATTACTATAATAGCAAAAATTTTAGAACCTAGGTAGCCAGAGCGTTTAAGAAGGTTTTTGGAGTCAGACTCACAAAAGCGACCTTTGGCCTCCTCGTATTTCCCCCATCTAAAAGTCTCCCTTGGCCTCTTTTCCCTGGCCATCAGCCAAATCAGGCGAACTTCCCGTTTTCCTGAAGCACCCCCGGCCGAGAAGTGGCCCCCGGCCAAAACAGCCGATTGTTCTCGCAAAGCGAAGGAATTGGGAAACAATCTCACGGATTCGGGATTCGGAACAATTAGAGAAAGAGCGCATGAAAACAAAACAGAGAATCAAGCAGCAAAAGCAAAAAGTTCTGCAAATTTTCGTTATTTCGTTGGAAAGATAAATAGATTCGTTATGGCATTTGAATGGGATTTAGGGGATTTTATACGTTTATTTATATAAATTTATATAAATTTATTTACAAATATAAATTTTCTAAATTTATGGGCATTTAAGACGCTGCCTCGGCATAAAAAGTAGAAATAAGCAGGAAAGATCCTCAAAAAAACGCCTTTAGAAAATCGCTTGCGAACATGTGAATACGCCCGTATTCCTGGCTTTTGATGTCTTTGACCCACGCCGCAATCCGATTTGATGCTGCTTTGCGAAAAAGCAGGGTGGTTGGGTCGTGCTCTTCCACCTGATGTTCTCCAAAAAAGCCGGCATTATCGTTGCCAAAAAGATAAAATATGCTTAAAAAAATTGCTTAAAAAGCCTGAAAATTCTTGCATTCCTCGCGGGACCCGGTTTGGCTTAGGTGCACGAAAATCCGATACATCGCAATTGACAGCTCCGTTCCACCGCGTTCATTCAAATCTGTTTATCCACAAAAACAAAACACACAGAGATCATCTACAGTACACTTGGCAGCATTAAAAAGGACATTTTTAACATGGTCGAGTTGAATTCTTTTAGTGCGGGTTGCTACCGCGAGCCTTCAGCTGCGCGCGGCGCTCCTTCGTCAGCGTGCCGCGTCGCTTCTTTGCCACCTAGAGAAGACTTAAAAATAAACCGTTAGTGCTTTACCAGCTTCTCGAGCAGCTGCTTCTCCGACTTGGTCAACTCCTTGTAGCGCAACGACGAGTCCGACTCGGACCGCACGGCCTTTCTGAGAGGTGGCGGCGGCGGGGGGTACAGCTCGCTCGTCTCGCTGCGTTGCAGGGAACAGCCGGACGTCTAGAATTCCAAATGTAGATGACCGAAAATATTCCCAAACCTGGTCATCAGCACCCAACGACGCGATGCGGCACCTCACGATCAGGGACGGGCCCTCGGTGTCGGTGTTGACGGTACGGCCCGAACTCTCCGTGTCCAGCTCGGAGACGGCGATCAGCGTCTCGTCGGTGCCCGACTCCATCGAGGCCGTGTGCGCCGAGCTCGCTGGAAAAATAAGGTCTCGAAACCTTCTCAAGAATCCCTGCGAGACCGCCAAATTCCCCAAATCTCTCTGCCAGCCTACCAAGGCTAAAATCCGAAGGTGGCGTCCGAATCTTGCGCGCCACCGGCTCGGCCTTTTTCGGCGGTCGGAAGTTTTTGACCTGAAACATAGTTTTTCGAGCTATCTGGGTGCGAATAATTGAAATATCAAACAAAGTTCACCTCCTTCTCGGCGCGGTCCATCAGCGCGTTGATGAGGTCGACCTTAGCGCCGACCGACAGACCCTCGTAGCCGCCCATCGGATGGTTTTTGTAGCAAATAATTCGGTTTTTGATTGCCGACGCGAAAAGGCGCTTGTAAAGGTTTTATGCAAATTCCTCGTTCATTCAAAAATCATCTAAGTTGTTTTTACAAAGATTTGCATTTCAGGTGCTGTTCGTTTAGCAGGGGGAGCTAGACAGGGGGACTATGGCTACCTGTAATAAGATAAAGTGTGGCTTTATATCGTCTCGGTGGCAACTAATTGCCAGAAAATTAAAAAATAGTTTTAGGCAAATTCAAAAAAATTATTTTCTTTTTCGAGATTTTTATATCTAAAAATGCAATGTTTTTGCGAATAGGTAGAGTGAGTTTATTATGTAGCTCCTCTCAAAACCCAGATGAGTGTATTGCATTTATAGATGATCGAAATTCATTTCCCGGAGAAGATGTGTGGGGCCAAATAAATAGAGACATTAGCCAAACCCTGATGGTGATGATGATCGTCGCGAATCAATCGCCTCTTTACAAAATGCGGTGAAAGACAACGGGTGGCGGGGGGAGGGGAACAGGGGCAATATGTTAACAACAATAACGTCAAGTTCAAAGCAAAAATGCGGAACCGGCTAGGCGGGAGGAAGAAAACAATAAATTAGAGAATCCGGGGGTGGGTGGGTGAACAATTTGAGCACGTGGGCCGAGGAGTAGATGAGAGAATCAGGTACGGTGTTGTTGAGCAGCAGCAGGAGCGCTATTAGTTCAGCGTTCCACGGCAGTTCGGCGCTCCGCACAGGCATTCCTGCTTGTCATCCTCGATCGGGAACTTGTAGTCGTACGTTATCTCATCGCCCTTGTTGATGGCCGTCTGAAAATGAAAATCGTAATTTTGAACTGCCAGAAAAACCAGCCGTTAGTTTATCGGTGGGCGAACCAAATTCTTCCTAAAGTAGGCCTAGCAATGAAGCACAAATTCGCAATCGTTTCTTCGCAAACCTACGCTGGACTTGAAGCGCAAATTCTTCAAAAAAAAAATTAAAATTGATCAATTTCCAAAATCTTATCAAATTTGATCACTTTACCTCGAAAAATCCTTACTGTGTATCTGTTTTATTAAAACCTAAAATCCCGTTACCTTGCTGTAGATGACGATGCGCTTGTCCCCGTCGACGTTGACCACCTTGGCGTAGCAGTTGGGCTGGCACGAGTGGTTGATGAAGCGGGCAAAGTTGCCCTTTTGCGTGGCATCAATCACCTAAAATAATTTTATTTTTTGACGACAAAATCCACCTCATGCTCGTCGATCCTGAACAGGTAGCTGTCGCCCATACCGCGCTTCCCGTAGGCCACCTCGCGCTCCTCGGCGATTTGTGAGCGGATCTAAATCAGATAAAATTTATAAAATAAAAAATAAACTAAACAAATTAGTATAATTTTTCTTTTCCTCACCTTTTGCCCAACATATTCGACGATCAGGTCGTCCTGGGCAATGTCCTCCATCGCGTACAGGCCCCAGCCGTGAATCTTCGACCGCGCAAACTTGATCATCTTCTTGCGGTACTAAAAAACATTATTAAAGCCGACCAGGGAAAAGTTTACATTTAGCATGTTCGTCTTGAAGAGGTCAGAGTTGCAATCGGCGCGCAGACGGCGATTCAACTGCTTCTGCTCGCGCGTCATGTTCGCCGCGTGTCGGACAATTGTTTCGTCCTAAAAAGGAATAAGTAGAAATAGTTTAATTTATATTTTAATGAAGCCTAAATAGCGCCAAAAACCCACTTGATGGCTGAGATCCGTTCGAAGATCGGCGGGCCCCTCCGGCCGGCGGATGAGGCTGCGCTTCTGCTTCGACGTCATCTTCTCGTATCTCTGAAAACGAAATAATTTTGTTTCTAAAAAGAGCAAACCTCAGTCCGGGCCGAGCCGCTCTTGTGTGGCATCACGCCGATGAGGGATTCATCCTTGTAGTACAACTGCAGCGGGCCGATGGTACGTTTTTGCTTCTGAAAATGGAAACTTACGTACAAATGAATATAATTACAAGGTTTAAAAGTATCAACAAGCAATTCATTGCTGCAAAAACGCAAATTAGAAAATTGAAAGCAATCCTAATTGAAAATTACCAGCAAAGGTGGTGTCGGCGCGTACAGCGCAACGTTGAAGGCAATATGCGGTTCGGCGGCCTCGTTGTGAAGCCGTTCGAGCTGCTCGAATTGGTCGTTTTTCTAAAAAACCAAAACTCCATAATTCCAGTAAAAATGCTTACCCGCTCGTCGAGCTGGATGCGTTGCGGTTGCAGCTTCTCGAGCCCCATCTTCAGGAACTTTTGGTCCTCAAGGTCGAGCGGGAACTGGAAACAGAGAAAATCAAATTTAAGCACGACCCAATTACCGTTGTGATCAGCTCAGCCTCCTCGCTGGCCGTCCGCTTCTCAAAGTGCACCGGGGGCGGCGAGCGCTCGTATTTGTAGTCTCGCTCTCGCTTCTGCGCCTTCAGATCGCGAGCCGTCACCGGGTCGAGAAGTTCTGAAAAATCGTACAAATAGAAGAAAACATCGTTAAGTTAAATTTAAAGCTAAAAATTATTTTTAGATCTCCAAAAATAAATAAGAATGATTTAACGCACCACGCAACGCCTTCGAAACCTTCGGTGCTGTCTTCTTCTTCTCGGGCTTTTCCGGCTTCTTTGGCGTGGGTTGCTTGACGGGGGTCGGGAGCTTCGGCGGCCTTTCGGCCTTCGCCTAAAAGAGGGAATTAATTTTGCAAAAAACTCGGATATTTTCGAAAATCAGGATTCCAAGAATTTCCGTCTAGTCAGAAATAGGACAATGCAAAAAGGGGAAGGAATGTCAAGAAAATTCATCGAAAAGTAATTTTCCAAAACCTAAAGTTTGAAAATAAATTTCCTAAAATATGACTTTCAAATATGTTCTTAAAAATCACTTCGAAAAAGCCATTTTCCAAAATATAAATTCGGAAACATAAGCGCCCGCCCAAATTTACCTTCTCCAACTTGCTCCGGTTCTCGGCGAGCCACTCCTTGCTCGGCTGGCTCAAATCCGGCTCCCGGTTGCCGAACCGCTTCGGGTAGGGGTGGTCCAGGATGTGGGGGTTGTACTCGTAGAGGGCCGCGTCACGAATCGACATCACCGGGCTCGGCTCCATCGGATCGCGACGGTCGGCGTTGCGCACGTACGGCCGGGAGCGCGAGCAGTTCAGCGGCACGTGCAACGGCTCAAACGCCGCTTCAGCATCCGATGTTGAGGGAGCGGGCGAGGCAAAGGAGAGCAGCTGAAAAATGGCGAGTGTAAAACCAAGCTAATAAGTTTATACACAAAATTACAGTTGAATATACACAAAATTTACCTCAATCTTTGTAGAGTCCTTGGCAAAGCTTGGGCCCGCGATCGAGCTGGCCGTATCCTCGAGATCACTGCGCGAACCGCGCTCATCTTCCGAAGAGCCGATGGCCGCACGTTCGCTGGTGTGAGACGTGCTGCTAAAAAAAGAAAAATCTAGTCAAAAATACAAAAACGAACCTCGACGAAGAAGATGAAGAGCGTGACCGAGACCGAGACCGCGAGCGAGAGAAAGACTTGGAGCTGGAGCGCTTGCGTCGGATCGGCGACCTGCGGGCGACCGGCTCCATCTTGTCGGCGCTGCTGCGTCGGATTCTCTGAAAAAAACGGGTTAAACGTCTTGAAAGCGTTTCTTACGCGGTAGTTCCCGAGCTTGGCCATTGAAAATGAGTTGTCCTGGAGGCGGCGGGTCTTAAAAAACTAAAATAAAAAGAAAAGCCGAAAATTACTCACCAAATCTTCTGGGGTTAGAATTTCCTTCGGTCTGGCCTGTTGGGCGGCGCGCGCCGAGTCCAGGGCCTAAGTTTCGTCATGATTCGAAGCCGGGGGAAGGCTGTACCTTTTGCTTGTTCCGCTCCTCCTGCTCGAGTTTGCGCCGGGTGTAGCTTTCGCTCTGCAGGCCCAGTATCGCTTTCTCAATCTTCTTCTGCAGATCCTTGTTGACGTTTTGGCTCAAGTCGGCGATGATCATCTTGACGATATCTTCGGTGGCGGCCATCTAAAAAATAAATGCATCAGAATCTAGGCTGACAACTCACCAGCCGGCCTTGATTTGGCTGTACATTGCGCACATATGCAGCTCGAACTGGCGGAGGTGCATCTTCGAACCGACTTTTCCTAGAGCTCAAAAACTAATCTAAAAAACAGTTAAATACCTTGGTTCTGGCTGCGGTGTACGGTTTCGTGTTGGCTCGGCCGGTTGCACGGGTCTCTTCGGGCTAAAAACGGAATTTTCAAAAATTTTGCAAAACTCTCACCTGATAATGGCGGGCTTGGTTTCTTGGACAAGTGGCGCGTCCGCTGGCGAGGCGCCCGGGCCTCCGACTTTGAAAATGGACTGAAGCCGCTCTTCGATGCTTCCCTAAACCGGAAGTAAGTAAAGATTAGCCAGGAAAAGCCACCTTTGATGGTTTTGGCGGTTCCGCCTTGACCGGGGTGATGATGGGCTCGAGCTTGACGGTCGGTGACGTTCCGTATAGAGGCGTGACCGGCGATTGGTGAGGCGTGCCGTGGAACTGAAAGCAAGAGGATCATATTTTTATTCCTAATTTAAACTCGCTGAATTGGGAAATTAAAAAGTAGCATCAGAGTTTCACCACGGAATTCTGCCTCGGTTAAAAACCAAAACACCATCAGCCTTACCCGATTCTGCTGCATTTGAAAGGGCAGCATCGGCGGCGGCTTGGAGAAATCGGGTGGCGGCAAGACGACGGGCTGCATGGCGGCCTGGGGCGGGATGTAGGGGCCCTGGACGTGTTGCTGGGGATGGCCGTAGACGCGTGCCGGGGGCGGATGTGGTGTATGTGGCTGGTTGTGCGGGTCGAACGTCGAGTATGGCGGTGGCGGCTCGTTTGGCGGCACGGGGATGTGTACCGGGGTGCGATGAGGAGGAGCCGGTGTCGAGCGTGATGACTGAAAAAGCAGATTTGCACTCCGTTTCTCAGTTTTTCGATCTGTCCCTCAATCGTCAAAAAATCGGACACTCCACGGGACTGTTAGAAGGAGTTTTTGGACAACATTTAGACCAAAATGTCCGATTTTCAAAGTTTCAAGCCAAAAATTTACCGGTGCCGCTGAAGGCATCGGAATCGTCCTCGGGTCCAGCGTCGGAGTGTACCGCTTGGATTGCTTGTGCTTCCGCTTCGAACTCCTCTTCCCTCCACGCGAACTGTCGTCGCTGTCGCTGCTGCTGCTCGTCCAGTGATGGCCGCCAGTGCTAAAAAATATGTATTCTTTTCCGGAAGCACCCAACAAACCGGTTGTGCTCCTCAACGCTCATTTTCTGCGACTTCAACGCCTTCGAGATCTTCTCGTCGAGCTTCCTATTGTCCGAAGACGACGACTCCGACGTCTCAGTTATGGGCTCGGCCCCGGGGACGACAGGCGAAATCGAGCGCTTCACCCTAACAATAGAAGTTAAAAAAGGGTCGCCAAAACCTACTTCTTTTTCTTGATGGTGACGATGCTGACCGACTCCTTCTTGGTGTAGCGGCGCTGGTTGTTCTCAACGCACACCTCGCGCTTGCGGACCTTGGTGGTGCGCACCTCTTCGGCGGAACTGCTCGAGGTCGAACCGTGGCGGCGACGACGTTTTTGAGCTTCTCTGAAAGAAAAAAAAGTGGATTAAAGAGATTGATGTAAAAAAGCCGCGATAAAGTAGCCAAAACCGCTTAAATTTAGCGGAAATTAAGAAATGGGCTCAGAATCTAGAATCTAGTTTTTTTTCACCAAGCATCAGTTTAAAATTGGCAAAACCGTCCCTGGGCTGCTAGCAGTTTGCCAGAAATAGCAGCCTTGCGGAACTTTGGAAAAGCTATTCGGAATTTGATGACACCTTGGCCAAAGCCTTCCAACAACGTACCTCTTTTCCCAATCCCTCTCCGTGGCTCTGCGATAGCGCTCCTCCGTCGAAGGCGAGGACGAGCTGTTCGGCGTCCTCGAGCACTTGATACCTCGTTTTGCCTGCGCCGGGAAGCGTTCTGGCGGTGGGCCCTGCACGAAGGCGTTCGTCTGCTCCTCGTGGCGAGAAATCGGTCTCGGCTCGTATTTGGGCTCTGGCGGTGGTGGCGGCGGGACGGGAGACTGGTAGCTGTGCGGAGGCAGTCTGTAGGTCAGATGGCCGGACGGGTGGTGCTCGATCGGGGTGGCCGGATCCGGGGCGTAGATGGTGGTGTTAGCGGAGGCGACCGGCCAATCGGGAGGGCTTGGTGGTGGCGTTGAAGCTCTGCTCGAACGGCTACGCGAGTTCGTCTCCACGTCCATCGGCTCCCCGGCAACGGAGGTGTCGTCTGGAAAAGAAAAATTCGTCAAAATCGCTAAATACACAAAACCTAGGTTTTTCTATCAAAATTTCAAGATTTAAAAGATTTCTAATGTTTCCAAAATATTATGAAATAGAATATGGCTGAACTATATCAAAAACCCTTGCTTTAAATCTTTACCATGTCTCAAGGCCCTCGTGATTTGGTCGCGCAGCTGCTGGAGCTGATTCTCATTCATGTCCTTCAGATGTTTCGGAATCGGGCACGCGCGCAACGTTTTAGCCTCATAGTGGTGGGAAGCGAGGGCGGCTGTAAATGATAATAATGAAACTATCTTCCTAGAAGAATTACTTCTACAGATGATAATTGAAAAATAATAAAACAAAACTTTTTCAAAGAATAACTTTCTCAAAATTCTTAATCTCAAAAACTACCCCATGGATCGAGATGGCAGCTCAGCTCCTTGCCCATCAGACTTTTGCCGTGGTTCTCCTGGCAAAAGGCGGCAGCCGCTGGGGGACGACTAGAAATAGTTTCGAAAACCATAGATGGCACTCACTAAAATACGACCAATCCCACGCCAAGGTATTGCCGCGTTTCCGGGTGATGGTAGAGATAGAGATCCATCACGTCGCCGTGCTTTCTAAACACCTTTTCAAAGCACAATAAGATTTCTTACATTGCCAATTTCCGGAGAAAGTCCTCGTTTATGTTGTCGTTGAGGCCGGTGATGCACACCTCGCGCTTTGGCGGTATCCCGACTGTATTTCCATCAATCTAAAAAACAAGGTAAACAGAAAAACAAAAAGTTAGTTTTTAAATACCAAAAACACTAAAAAACTTACTTTCAGCATCGGAACATCGACTACTTGGACCTCTTGACGCCGGCGTGGCCTCCGGTCGCCCCAACCGTCGCTTTGTTTCCAGTTGTACTAAAAACGAAGTGACCAAAAGCTAAGCCAAGCTACCTGCGATCTATCCGCCTCCTTATCCGACAACACGACGCCATGGACGCGGTAGATGTTCTTCCGGGCGCCCAGCTTCTCGTCGGCGACCAACTTGTAGAACGCGTCCACCTCTGAAAAGGATACCTTCATTTACGAATTCACTAAATTTTTCCGTCTCTTTCAGCGATTTTACAACGCAAAATGGGCAGTTTTTTGGGCTCAAAACGATACGTTGGTCGAATATTATTTAATTCTTTTTCAGAAATTTTGCATCACAAAACGGGCATTTTCTACTAAAAAAAAGTTAACTTACGAATGGCCTTTTTGGTGGTTTGGCATCGAAAATTCGTGATGTTTACTCGATAAACAAAAGAATACTATTTCAAATAGTTTTAGAGCATTAAATAAAAAACTCCACTAACCTCGGTCCACATTTATGGTAGCGTGGTGATGGTGGTGATCGCCATGTCGCCTACTACTCGACGATGGTGCAGTTGAGCAGCGATTTGACATTGGTCTAATTGCCCTAGCGCATTCGCTGAAAAAGGGGCCTTACAAAAAGGCAAGGAAAACGAAAAAACAAAGAAAACGACAATTAGAATTAGGAAAAGGAAAGGAACTCAATGAAATTAGCAAAAGAAGGAAAAACCACTATGCATTTTCTAAAGGAAAAAAAACTTTCTAAAAGAAAAAGGATTAATGATAGCCCCGAAAAAATTTAAAAGGAGTAGAAGTTGATGCGCTTTTAACACCACTTAGAAGAAGAAAACCTGGCAAGGCGATTACAAAAAAAACTGCAAAAACTAAAAAAAGGCTCATCAATCAAAAACAGCGTGCGCAAATTATTGCCAGCTCTGACGATCTTTTTTTACGAGCAGCCTTGACCTATAGCGGCCGTTCGAGAAAAGCTCTTCCATCATTTCGAAGGCATTCTCGCTGCAAATCATCAAAATACAATAAATTTATGCTTATAACCCCGCCAAAACCCGGTATTATCGTTGCGAAAGGCCGGCCCACTTTTGCTCTACAACCAGCCGGGTGATAAGCCGGCTTTTTACTTTCACATTTTCAAAAAGAGCTGGCTGGCGGGTAGAAATGGGGTGTGCAACGAGCAATCGATGGCTCGGTGCCAAGAAGGGGGAGGAGCCGGGGCCCGCAACAAAAAACGCGTCAACCGGGTGCAGTTTGTAGTCGGAAGGGCATTCCGGCGGGAAAATGCTGTGGATGGGAGAGAGAGAACGGAGGGTTCGCGCATTCGGGCGCCCCGAATCGAGAATACGCGTTTTCTACGGGAAAGCTCAATAAAGCAGCGATTAGCAACTAATAAACTCTTTCGCATGGTTGTAAAACACGTTTAAATATCTTAAATTACCAATTAAAAGCGATTTTTTCACAGAGGGGAAGTTCCCGGGTTTCCGCCGCCCGGCCGCCGGTACTTCGCCGGCAGTTCGCCGCCAGGCCGCCGCCCGGCGGCCGGCGGCGGCCGGGCGGCGGCCAGGCGGCGGTCAGGCGGCGGCCGGCGGCCGCCGGGCGGCGGCCGGGCGGCGAAGTGGCGGCGGCCGGGCGGCGAAATGCTGGCCGCTACTTCGCCGGGATTTCGCCGCTATCGCCGCCTTATTGATTATTAACGGTTTATATTGTTAATATTCTATTTCGAGTAGTATTCCGTGGTTTATTCCTAAGGTTCTTGATCCATATCAAGCTGGAACTGGTGACGAAGGCCGCGTAGCCTGAAATATCGTTTATTTTGGTTACTGTTTTGATTTCTAGCTTAAAGTATTTAATTTTTAGTGGGCTGCACACCTCTTGCCAGAAATTTATGCTTCCAAAGAGCTTTGAATTTTGTTTCACTATTAATATCTTACTTCACTTACCCGGACTCACCACTTCTCACCGAATCGGCGGACGCCGTCATCATCAGCTCAAGGAATATCAGCCACCTGAAAGTTTATTTTGTTATTACAATAGCCACTGAATATATCCATGCGAGTTGTTGATCGAACTTACAGGCAGTGCGTGTGCGGGCTAATCATTATAACCTGATCGATGGTTATTAGAATTCAAAAACATCACACACGCCCACAACTCACCGTCAACAACTCCGAAACTTGTCTAAACTTACAGCTTGTCTATTCCGTCGGCTAGGACAATCTCATATAACTACCAACGATCAAAGGAAATGTTATGCTACACAGTCTCAGTTTATTTTGGTCACTAAAATCTGCAAAAATTTCGATTTCCTCTCAAACAATAGAATTTTCATCAAACCAATTGCACAATTGAAACGAACCACATGGGAAAGTGCCAGTTTTTGCAAAAACGAACAATTTTGTGTGTAGAGCGCCTAAAACGACAATCAAACCCCTTACCGGATTATCATATGACACTTTCCTAACGGCTAAATAAACAAAACGATAAAAACTTACCGATAATTATCTGCCAGGAACTCAAAAAATTACCTATGCTAGTTCTCTGTTGCCACATAAACCCTCTTTGCTAAAAAACTAATTAACTCCTACCTGCCATCAGCATTCTAAAAGATTTCGAAAGTTTTTCTAGCTGTATCTTCAACCTCAGTGACTTCAGGCTAAATTCGTCATAATCCAGGAGAATTGTCGTAATTTTCGTATAAAACTAGTTCGTTCCTAGAGCAATTGATAAAATACAAATTATTACAAGTAAATTGAGAAACTTGGAAAGAAAACTAAGTAATTTGGGAGAAATTGTGAAATTCAAAAAGTAATGCGCGTTTGAGCTAATTGTCCGTGGCTTTCCTATCGACGGCGGCGAAATCGCGGCGAAGTAGCGGCGGCCAGCCGGCCAAGTCGCGGCCGCCGCGATCTGGCTCTCGCCGCCCGGCCGCCGGGTCTTCGCCGCTCTTTCGCCGACACGTCCCGGCGAAACAGCGGCGAAGTCCCGGCCGCCGGGCGGCGAAAGCCAAATCGCGGCGGCCGGGCGGCGAAAACCCGGTAGATTTCCCTCTGTGTTGCAACAAAAATTGGAATTTTATTGAAATGAAAATTTTGCCGAGCAGAAGCAAGCGTGGCTACGCATGGCTCCAAAATACAAAACTTTCAAGTAGTATCCAGTCGTACTATACCGTATGTTCGGAAATTAGTAAACCTCGGACTGCTTATTTATTCTCACTTATATAATGCAAAAAAAAATATAAAATTGGCGGAGAGATCGTAATTTTTATTATCGTACCAGATCGTATTAGGTGGCTGTGATCGCGATCGAGTTGAATTCCGGTAGCAAAATTACTTTATTAGCACAAATACGAACGTTCGGACACTTTCAAAATGGATGTATTTATTTTTGATATTTTTATACATACAGAAACGCGTGATGCTGATCATTGATGTCGATCTCTACTTCAGCGCTACTTCCTGGAAAACGGCTGCTTTTCGATAACGAGCTTCTCCGCAGCCCGGCTGATGCAGGCTGGGATCTGAAAGGAATCTATTAATGCATAAACACCAAAATTTTTCAGTTTGTTTTGTACAAAAAATTTTTCGCAAAAATTGAATAACGGAAATATCAGTCGATTCTACAAAAATTTGTGGAATTTTCTGCCGATTTTCGCGATTCGCGCATGCGAGTCGTTAACGCGTAAACTTACGGTTTCAGCAAAGTGGCTTTCCATAGTAATTTTATTGGCTATTTTAAGTTGTTTTCAAAGCCTTTTCAAAATATTGCGATTTCCTCTCGTACTTGCAACACTCTTGGGTGGGCGGGGGTGGGCGGCCCAGCCCCTGTGCCCAACTTCGACCCCTAATTTATGCAAATTCAATTTTCACGCCGATTCCGGTCTCGGAACTGGGGGAAAGGGCCGGGGAAGCGGGAGGCCGATTTTGGAGCCTTTCGAGCAAGGTTTCCGAATAGTACTCTGTACAGAAGCAATAAGCTATCATCTACCTTTCAATTTATCTCTCTCTCTCTCTCTCAATCTTTATCTCTTTCTCTATCTCTCTCTCTCTCTCTCTCTCTCTATCACTCTCGCTGACCTGTCTAATTCCCATGATTGGCACGAATAGTTGACACAGCCAGCGGTCTCTGACCCCGAGTCCTCGAAAGCTCCAAGACCCCCTCGGATCACCCCCACCACGCGCCTCATTGGCTCAGTGGCAGAGCGTCTGTCTAGTAAACAGAAGGTCGCTGGTTCGATTCCAGCATGAGGCACCAACTTTTTGCTTTTTGGCCATCTTGAAGCACCTGATTTCAGGATGCCTAGACAACCAATTTTTTTTTGTTATCGATTCGCCTTTTTAATTAATGGGAGGTTCAAGCTTCTCAATCCGATGGGGCCAGGAAGCCCGTGGTGAGCTAGAATTCACGGTTATCCCCAAATCAGGGCAATTTCGAATCTAGTAATTCCTGGAATTCCGGATCTTGTCTTACTCTCTCGCTCGCTCTCTCTCTCTCTCTCTCTCTCGCTCCTCTATCCTACCTAATATTCCTCTGAGGACCAACCCTACGCGTACTTGAGTGCCTGCTAAGGGCCTCAATTACACCATGGCCCACCCCTTTCGCGATATCCAGTAGGTCCAGCTAAAGGAGCAGGAGGAGGAGAAGAAGCGGGAGAGTAACCAATTTTTATAATGTGCCCCCACTGGGGCGGGTGGGTGTGTGAAAAGGGTCCTCCGAGGGTATGTAGAGAGAGTAGCGTAATGGTGTCGGCTGGTAGTAGGATGCAATTTTTATTTTTTTTTGTTTCAGGTATAGTCTCTCGCCCTCTCGATCGTTCATATCTCTCTCTCTCTCTCTCTCTCTCTCTCTCTCTCTCTCTCTCTCTCTTTATCTCTCCCTCCCTCTCTCTCTCTCTCTCTCTCTCTCTCTCTCTCTCTCTCTCGCTCGGTCTCCAGTTCTGGTCGGCGTTGGCTTCTTTTCCGCGATTTTTAAAGGCGTTTTTGATGGGTTCAAAAGGAGGTTTCGTCAGCTACGTAGCCCTCCAGATGACAAGCGAGTAACACTCTAGTTTCTACAAGTGCCTAAGGACCTGGTTTTCACGTCCGTTAACGTCATTTGGAGCTTAACTTAGCTGTCGAGACCTAGCGGCGGAGAGGGTCGATTCTAACGCTTGCTAGTCCCTTTAAAAACTTCAGGCTTGAGATGGAGATGGTATTTTTAGGTCCAGTAATAGCTGATCTAACGCCCTTGCCTCCTCACAACCGCAATTCATGTCCAAGTAGTGATGGGGGCAATGGGCCCTTTCTTGCCTTCTTCCTCCTGTTCTGCTCCCCATTTCTAATCCTCATCCCCATTTATCAGCGCCAAGTGTCCAGAGTCGTCCTCTAATCCGTCGCCTCACACCAATCCCTTTCTTGCCACACACTTTTTCACTGTGGTGGTCCCGTCACGGCCATTCACGCACCGTTATTACGATCCATCCAAGTCAGGTTTTCACACCTTAAACAGCAGCTGTTCTTGCGCTTTTAAATGGTAGTATTCAAAAAATCTGCAACTTTGAAAGTTGGCCCTAAGCCTAAGCTTAAGCCTAATCTAAGTCTAAGCCTAAGCCTGGCCTAAATCGAAGCCTAAGCCCAAACATAAACCTAAGCTTAAGCCTAAGCCGAAGCTCAAGCCTAAGCCTAAGCATAGCCTAGTCTCGCAGCTATCTATCTTTCTTTCCCCCTCTCTCTCTGACTCTTTCCCCCTTCTCTCTCTCACTCTCTCTCTCTCTCTCTCTCTCTCTCTCTCTCGCTATCTCTCTAACATTCTATACATCCGAAAATGACATTCTAATAAAAACCTAGCGTTCCATCATCTATCTACTACATGCTTTCAAGCTAATGCATTTGTCTCCCGATCCCCTTCCTGCCCCCTTTGGCCACCCTTCTCTATAAGTGAGTGACTGGGTGTGTGGGAAAAAGGCGTCGTCTTTCTCGTGTTCCACCATTGGGTATATTTGCTTTTCGGATGGGCCGCTGTGTTTGCAGCTTTTCGTCGGATCAAGCATTGGTTTTTAAAGTTTTTTTTTGAAGCTTTAAAATGTAAGCCGGGCCAACTGTGGCAGTGCGTTGTAACGCGGAATACTGTAGCGAGTACAACTTTTAAAGGGTCCCCGAAGCCACGCTTACGATCAATTTTTGCGAGGACTAGGAGAAGCTCGGTTAATTGAACTTCGCGGCCTCTTAAAACTAGCTATTTCCGTATCACAGCCGGTTTTAAAGGGCCACTGAAGGCAGAAACCATGCGATCTCCACAGAACAACAATTTTTTAAGAATTTAGGATTTGAAACGACGTCGAAATTAAGGTCAAGCTAGCAGAGATTATTGTGGAATGGCTGGCAGCCTAGCAGCGATCATTGTGGAATGGAGGAAGGCTAGCCGAGATAACTTACGATTTCGGCGGGCAAGTTAGCAGGAATCCCATCGGAATGGAGGGCATGCTAGCGGAGATCATTTAGGAATTCGTAACCGGCTAGCAGGGAATATTTTGAAATGGGGCAGGCTAGCAGCGATCATTTGAAAATTCGGAGGAGAAGATCAGCAAAGATTCTTTCAAAAGAAAAAGCAGGCTAGCAGTAAGAATTTTGGAAGTGAGCGAAGGCTAGCCGAGATCTTGTTGTTTTTCCTTTCCAGCCCATCACTAATCCCTCCTTCGCATAGCTATGCTTTTCGTCGCCGTTTCGGCTTTAGCAGGGGTCCTTTTAGCCGTTGTATGGGCCCTGATTAGGGCCCATACGCCTTCTCTGCTAGCCTCTGCCCATACCCGTCCGTCCATCGTATTCCCTCGTAACCGCCTCTTTGCTGATGCTGCTTTTCGCATCCGTTGGCCCTTCAACCCCCTTTTGTCGCCTTTTTCAGGCAGATGGCCGGGCGGATATATTGCCCCTCTAGAAGTTTTTTAATTTTCCCGGCCGGTCGGCGCTAGGGCTTGCCTTCACAATGGGAATTTTTCAATTTTGCATTTGGATTCGTAGTCTAGGGTTTTGTTGCGTACATACGTTACTTTACGATTTACGGTCCGTCCGTAAATCTGTTTCTTATTCACGGTACAATTTTCTAGATTTCTAGATTAGCGGCAGGCTAGCAGGGACCATTTGAGAAGGGAGAAAGTTCAGCTTGCGGAGATCGATTAGGAATTCCGGGCAGACCAGTTGAGAAAGTGTAGGAAACGAGGTAGGCTTGCAGGAATGGTTAGGAGGTCCGGGCAGGCTAGCAGGAATCATTTGGGAATCAAGTTGAGCTAGCAAAAGTAATTTCGGAATTGGGGCAAACTAGCATAGATCGTTTGCGAATGAAGGCTAGGAGGAATTGTTATTTTCATTTTCCAGTCTCTTTAAAATACTGCTACGCCTGACTCATCCCCTAAAGGTCATCTGGGGCCATCTGGTCCCCTCATTTCCATCCAGCTGCCCATGACTTTTTGCCGCTTTTTTGGGCTTTTCGTCAGCTTCTCCTGGAATTCATAAGTAACGGACGCGACGCCAGTCATAATGCTGCCAGGGAATGGGCTATAATTTTTGGGCTGGCGGGGGTTGAAATCGACGACAAAATAAAAAGTTTTGGGCCCCCTTCAGTCGCTCTCTCTCTCTCTCTCTTTCTCTCTCGCCCTCTCTCTCCCACCCATTCACGCTCTCTCTCTTTCTCTCTCTCTCTCTCTCCCTCTCTCTCTATCTCTCTCTCGCTCTCCCATTCACGCTCTCTCTCTCTCTCTCTCTCTTTCGCTCTCTCTCCTACTTCTCTGTTTAGCTTTTCAATACCTTTAAAGGACCCAAGCAGTGCTAAAATCAGCCTCTACCGTCGACTAGGTCTCGACAGCGACGCAAGATGCTAAAATTCATGCAGGACGCGTTAAATTTGGATGCCGAACCGGAGGTGTCATTTGGAGCAACACGTGGCTGTCGACACCCCGTCGGTTTTAGGGGGTGGTTTCTGCGCTTCCTAGCCCCTTTAAAGTCCTGAAATAGGCTTTCGAAGCTTATTCAATTTTTCTAATCTTTTTGCTTCCGTACCCTTTCCGACCCTTTTTCGGTCCTTCCGGGGTGCCAAATGTTGCCTTTTGGAGCGGAATGGCCCGTTCTTTCGTTTCCATGGTGTCGCCTCGCTTACAGCGATGAGCCAAAATTTCAGCACTCAATCTCCCCCACCAGCGCCTCAGCACCAAGTGGCCAACGATTTGAGGGCCAGAAAAGCGGAAATTGCTGAATGGAAATTACGTAGCAGGATCGCAGAAGGAGATCTACATTTAACGTGAAGTAAGATGCTCTACACAAGGTTGGTCGTATTTTGTTTGTCCCGTGAATTTTTCTATTTTCCACTTTTTCCTAACATATTTTTCTTTTTTCTTTTTTTTTTCACTATTTCTTTAATGCCACTCACGGTAAATTTTTATGCAAATTTATCAGAGCCGTTTGAATTTTATCGGCTTTGAAGCATAGCTTTTTTTCTTCAAGAATCTCTAGCTTCTAGCTTTTCGTGGTTCGTGGTTTTTCTCGCCAACGACGGAATTTTCAAATGACGTATTATTTTTTACCGAACGCCTCTTTTTTTAGCAAATTAAATAGATCATATTCTGGCTCTTCCGTGCTTTTTTTGTGCTTTTTTCATCACGAACCTTTGCTAGTTGATCCTTTTTCGTTGGATTTCGGGGTTCTTCAGTGTGGATTTTTGGCTTCCGCTTCTCTTTAGTCCTGCAAAACTTTTCCTAAAGAATCGTTGCTAGTTTGCCCCCGTAAAATTCGACGCTGCGGCTTATAAAATCGTACAACATTGCGGATCCGTAATTTCTCACAGCCGCGTACTCGACCTCTTGATCGTTGGGCTTGATCCAAGTTTCTCTCTCTCTCTCTCTCTCTCTTTGTTTGTGAGTGTTGATAGATAGATGTGCGTGTGTGTCTGTCTATCTGTCTATCTGTTACACCCTCTCAACCCATCCCACCGCAACCAGATCCCCAACACGCGTGTCCTCTTCGGTTTTTACCCCGTTTTCCGGGCCTCATTTTCCGTTTGAAAAAGCGGTCGAACCTCTGTCCCGGGTTTCCGTTTAATTTTTGAGGTTTTGGTCAGGGATATCAGCGATTTTCGCACGTTCTGCCTTCCTAGTCCCTTTAAATAGGATCTCCAAATTTTATTTTTTCTCGCCCAATCCCGACCGCAAAACTGACCCGCAGAAAAAGCTAGGCGCACTGAATTGAATGGAATTGAATCGGCCGTCCATTGCGGCAAGCCTAATTGCCCCCATCCAAGGCCATTTCTCGACCGGGCTGTGCAAAGAGTGGCTGCTTGCTCGCCTTCTTCATCCGGGAAATCGGCCCCTCCACCCCCGCCCGCTTCGATTCGGACCCTTAAATCCATGCTGGCCGTTCGAGGGGCGAAATCGGGTCGCGCACCCACTTCAACAAATTTTTGGGGCCTTCCAATGGGTTGAATAGTTGTTTTTGACGCGTTTTCGAATCACAAGGATAAAAACCTAGCTCTCTCTTTCTCTCTCTCTCTCTCTCTCTCTCTCTCTCTCTCTCTCTCTCTCTCTCTCTCTCTCTCTCTCTCTCTCTCTCTCTCGCTCTAGCGGCATATCTACTGATCTATCTGACTATCTATCTCTTTCTCTCGCCACTAGCCGTCCCTCGAGTCTCTCTCTCTCTCCCTCACTCTATCTGTCTCTCTCTCGCTCTATCTCGTTCTTTCTCTATCTCTCCCTCTCTCCTTCTCTCTCTCTCTCGCTTAAAGGAAATCTTCGACGATTTCCATGGAGTTTGTAGGCATCCCGCTTGATTCAGACACATACCACAAATGCCCAATATGGCCATCAATCTCTCACTTTCACACCCACACCCATTCCGCGCGAACTGAAAATCCCATTTTGTCAATCCCTCGGCCACTCGCTGACCGTTTCGGGAATCCGCTGTGACAGATGGGAGTGAGAGGGAGAGAGAGAGAGAGAGAGAGAGAGAGAGAGAGAGAGAGAGAGGTGAGAGAACGATAAACTCTGAAAATGGCTGTAGATATACGCGCGAACCCAGCCAGACGCATAGGGCAATCTGTGCACCTCCCTCGAAAACTATGGACCTGTTTCGCGGGCCAGCACTTGTAACGTTGTTTTCGGATTCGTGAGAACGACTCTTGAAAAGGTTGGGAAATACAAGAATGGATTTTTTTTGGACTATGAATTTTATAAGGACTTGAACATGCGCTTCGTATCCTGGCCGCTAGAAATCTGCTAAAGGATGGCCGAAAATTCATAGCCTTGACTTGCCTGTCCCTTTAGAAAATTTTTAGGTAAAATTAGAGATTTGAAATTCAACTTTCGAGGTTTCCAAACATCTGGATTTCAGAAAGTATGGATTTCTCTGACTCGCTTGCGCTCTCTCTCGCTCATGCTCTCTCTCCCTCTTACTGTTTCTCTCATTCACTCTATCTCTCTCTCCCTCTGTCTTTCACCCTATCGAATATACCTTTTAAATGTTTCAAAATTATTTATGTTCCAAAATCCGAACTCGAACTCCTTGTTATTTTGCTTGTTTTCGACAAAACCACGGCAATTCTTTCGAAAATGCATGGAAAGGAGGGGGGAGAGAGGGATGTTTGTCGGTGTGGGCAGGCCGGGTGGTTTTTGCCAGGCCCACCCTTTTTCAGTCGTAGCGAAACGGGATTGCTTTTGGCCACCAGGGACCCCCGTTTTGCCCTCTATTTGCCTCATTTTCTCGTGTCTCTCTCTCGGTTTTTCTAGTCCACCAGACCCCTCTTTCTCTGCTCCCTCTCCCTCCCTCCCCTCTCTTGCTCATGTTGCGATGTGTATTCGTGTGACTGCAATTTGGAGGGGAGGAAGAGAAGAGGCGAGTGTGTGCCTCGTGTTTCCTCACCTACTGCCATGGTGGAGGAAAATTGCAGCGGCATATTCCTGCAATGGATTTGCGATAGTTTTGTTTGTGCTTTTGTTTATTTCTCTATATCTATTGCTTTCTGGTCTCTCTTTCTCCCTCTCTCTCTCTCACTCTCTCCCTCTCTCACTCTCTCTCGCTCTCTCCCCCTATCTCTCTCGCTCTCACTCGCTCCCTTCCTCTCTCTACCTGTCTCTAACCCTCTCACTCTTTCTCCCCGTCTCTCTCTCTCGCTATCCCTCTTTCACTCTCTCTTTCACTATCTCTCCCTCTCTCTCTCACTCTCTCCCGCTCTCCCGCTCTCGACCTCGATTTAAGCTTTTTATTTATTTTTGTGATCCTGAAACCAATCCATCGCCTGCTGGCTGTGGGCTATTCCTTCCCATTTTTACGGCACTCCCCCTCCTTCCCATTTTATGACCGTCATCGAGAGGCGTTTTGTGTTGTCCTTTGTAGTGTTGCCATCTGCCCCTCTTCACGTTCATTTTCCCTCTCATTTTATGCTAACCAGAACCACCGGCCGGAAGGAATTTTGCTCATTTTATGCCTATTTCACGAAAACTCCGTAATTTTAGATGAAGTTAATTTCGAAAAGCTTTTTAAAGGACCACAGAAGACAGATATATGCATTTCATGCACAAATTTTCCTCTTGAAGTATGATTTTCCGAATAAGATAAATTTTTTGCGTGTTTTTTTTGTGAATAAAAACGAAATCGTCTCTAAACAATGTTTTAAACCAAACTCGTTTGGCCTTCACAATCCCTTTAAAGCGTTGAAAAAACGTTTCAAAATTTTAGAACCCGGAAATTCATCGGAAAATCCGCTGTATGCTTAGGTGATTGCATGCTTCTCGTTCCCCTTCCCCTTTAGGTTATTTTAGAAAATCAATATGGGATACCAAAAAGTTGCTAAAAACTGAAAAATATACCGTAATATCGAAATACCGAATTTAATAAACATCGTATAAAGATTGGTCCTCCTCTTTTTTCCGGGACATTTCTATGTTTATCCCATCCCTTCCTCCCCTGCCTCCGGATTTTCGAGAGTTTATTTTGACGATTTCCCCACTTTTCCAGACGTGGCTGCCGAATGTCGCCAGGTGTATCCCGTTGCTACGAGCTTCAGCCTGACCCTTATGATTATACGCAGAGGAAATCGATACGGTGAGTTTCGGTATCACTCTCTGTCGTCTTCCCTATCTGTTTCTCTTTCGCCCTCTCTCCCTCGCTCTCTCGCCCTCTCTCGCTCCCGCGCTCATCTTTATAACCCTTAATTCCAGGATATGCCTCTTTACAAACGTTGAAAACGCCGGTGAACTCAGGGCAAAGTTACGAACCGGTGATTTGGATGCGGCGCTCGTCAGGGCGGAACTGGTCAGTTTGAGAGAGAGTCAGAGACAGAGCGAGAGCGAGAGAGAGCGAGAGAGAGAGAGAAGGAATAATTTTTTAGGTCCTGGAACCGTTCCTCTTCCTCGCTGCCGCTGAAAAAGCCGTCTACCAATATGCCCATAACCGGATGTCAACAAGAAGTTTGGCCGCCGAGCTCATCTACAGTTTATCGCCTAGTAGAAATGTAAGCGAGAGAGATGTAGTAAGAGATAGAGCCAGATAGAGGGAAAAATTCAATGTATCTTTTTCCAGATTTCCGACTCGCTGAACACGTTCGGCGTGGCGGAAAACTCGAAGACGATCCTGGCCGCGGTTTTTGATGATGAAAAAGGATCGAAAATGAAGGTATATGGCCTGTCACAATTCCTCTAAAATATGGAATTTTTAAGAAACTCGCTAAGCAAATCAAGGGCCAAGCCGTGCACTTGAACTTCCTGAGGAATGTCGCCAACCTGAAGCTGATCAAGCGGGTAGGTGGCAGAAAGAATTAGAAATCTTGAAGAAACTCGGCTAGCTTGCCCTGTTAAACCAGAAAAGAAGTATCAGGTGGAATTTTGGCCACTTAATTCGGACAAAGTTATCACTCATTATAGATCTACAAAATCAACGATCCATCAATTACGCTGGAAAACATTGACGAGGAGATTTTGACGCGGCTCGTCTCCAAGGAGTACATTTCGTGAGGTCCGTCTCTCTCTCTCTCTCTCTCTCTCTCTCTCTCTCTCTCGTCTTTTCTCGCTGTGACTGTCTCTTTAGAGATCTCAACTGTCTCGCGCCTTCAGGATTCCCAGAAATTCATCTATATTCCTGTTTTCTTCTCAGCTCTAATTTGCACCCAAGGATATCTGGTCCATTTCGTCTCTGCCCTGTGATTTGTTGTACTTTGTACTTTGTAGTTTGGCCCTTTGTGGATATAAATCAGTTTAAATATGGTAATGTAGACTCGAAATAATAATTTATGATCTAAAAATGACAGACGGCAGCGGATTTCCGTGTACTTTAATACATAGCCAGGGAGGTCGGACCCGGAAAGCATGACAATTAGGGAGAATTCAGGTACAGTATCCACGAAAAAACGCCGAGTATTCCGCAACTTTCCAAATTACGTTCATCACTCCGGATACCTACGGTAGTAAACGGTAGCTTGAGAAAATAGACGCTCCGCCCGGGACTCCAGCTGAGGCCTATCCACGGCCCATGGGTTGTTGAACCTAAAAGTGAATGAAATTTATTGTTTTGTATTCGGATCCCTATGGATTTCCGCGCTCGCTCTCTTATATGTTGCGTAATAAATTACGAGCCGCGAAGCTTCTCAGTCCCTTTAAAATAACCATAAACCGCGGTACATCGCTGTATTGACGTTCCACTGGCTGCGCTTCGAGTGGATGTTGGTCACGGTAGCCAGGTTGGCAGAAGCTGTACGATGAGGTGGAAGAGAATCGGCCCATCTGAAAGGAATGCTTGAGAGAGACAGAGAGCGAGAGAGAGAGAGAGAGAGAGAGAGAGAGAGAGAGAGCGAGAGAGAGGGGTGAGCGAGACAGAGAGAGAGAGAGAGAGAGAGAGAGAGAGAGAGAGGGGGGAGGGAACGTTAGACTTACTTTGCCGCTTGCAGTATCTGCCGGACCGGCGGGCAGCAAGCGATCAACGTATATAGGTTGGAAAATACAGAAAATATGGAAGATTACGAATTAAAATTGTAAAAATACCTAAGATATCGTTAATCCAGAAATATTGCTCGTTCACCCAAACGATTTGTTTCTCGTCCGTCCGGAGAACAGCGGCGACACGGGCAAACTGAAATTTCGGATTCACTCTCTCTCTCTCTCTCTCTCTCTCTCTTTCTCTCTCCCTCCCTCTCTATCCCTCGCTTCCTCCCTCTCTCTTACCTGCTGCCAATCCATCGCCAAGCACGAGATAAACGTCAACACCGTGTAGATGATCAAATTTCGTTCGATTGTTGATTGTGACATGCTCACCTAAGGATTTGTGTGATTCTCTCCCTCTCCCTCGCTCTCTCTCTCTCACTCTCTGGCTCTCGCTTACCTGATTATAACTATGGTAGAGCTTGACAATCGTAGCGACGGATAGAAATAGCGATACAAAGGAGACAACCCCGCATGTTGTTCCGGAGACCATGTGAGCAAGCTAGGTAAAGGGTTGAATATGTGGCGTCGCGTAGCTGTCTAGACCTAGCTGACGAAAAGGGTCGATTCTGTGGCTTCCTCGCTCCTTTAAAACCCTAAGAACCTACCAAATGCGTCCTGCTCGGCAGGTAGCCGGTTACGATAAAATACCCGTCGTCGCGCTTGGCAAAGCTCAACCGGGCAGTGAGCCTGAAAAATGGGCTTGAAAGGGCTTAGTAAGCCCAAAGATATCCCTCTTACCGACCAGTTACCTTCGACAACTGCATTACACGCCTAAATACGATCGAAAAATATTAACGAGTCGTCGGAAATAGCGTTTTGCAAGGTATCACTGGTTTGGCGAGAGCTAGTGGATAGCATCGGCCGATTTATCAATTTCTCGTTTTTTAAAGGAACCCACCAGGCAGAATCCAATAGAAAAACAGTTTTTTAACTGTCTAGTACCTTTAATTAAAAATAAAAACGTTTTGGATCAATTTTGCGCGAGGATTTGACTAACCTATGCAGTATCAAAACGACCGCTAACATCCACTTTCCAAAGATCAGACGGTAGGTGTTGCATTCCCAAAACTGGAAAAATACATCGCTTAGTCGATTGGCTGTTTTTTTACCTCTTTATGACTTCCCGGTAATACGACAGAGGTGAAACGATTCAGGGCCAGAATCGAGTGCCCCAGGAAGTGACAGTAAAAAAAGAGGGCTGAGAGGAGGTAGACGATACGGTAGACTGTTTCCCAGGTCTGAAAGTATGATTAAGACGATAGAGAGCGAGAGAGCGAGAGAGAGAGAGAGAGAGAGAGAGAGAGAGAGAGAGTGATACGATTGACCGAGAAAATGTTCCTTTTCTCACCTCGGCCGGTCCAACCTTGTAAACGGTCAAGTGGCGTAGTGCAGCATTCACGAAAATCGAGCCAACATCAGCGACGCCTGAATTGAAGGAATTGGCAAGGCAAGAGGTTGTGGATTTGTCGTTTTTGTAACATTTTAGTAGCTATAGAAAAAACAGGCCAAAATAAACTATATTTCCGGATTGAGCATAGTATTTAATTTCTTGCCTAAACTACAGTATTTCGCAACGTCGAAATGCTTTGATACTTCCCTGTCCTTTTAAGGCCAAATTATGACAACTTACCAATCGATAAGAACGTTGTGAAAAATGGAGAATCTTGAAAGACATTATTCTTCGATCGAGCGATCCCGATCAGTGCCCTAAAACGTGGTATTTTCAAAGCTTTGCACCATACCGAATATATAACGAAACAGAGATCGTCTCGATCAAGATACAGGCAATGTGGAATGGGCCGTAGCTGGGGCGCATTTTAGTAAAAAGGGAGGGGTAAGAAATGGGGTCCGACCCCACAAAATGTCATATTTTTAGCAGCGGCCAAAGTGTTTTTCTGATTGTCTATCACTCTCTTGCTCTTTCTCGCTGTCTCTCTCACTCTCCCGGTCTCTCTCGACTCTCTCTGTCTCTATCTCTCTACTTATTCTCTATTTCTTTTGGTGATCTTTAGCGGAGATAAAGTGCCATCACCACCCATCAGGGCATGCAAAATATTAGCTTTTTCAAGGGAGAACGTGTTTTTCGATTTCGAATTTCGAGCTTCGATTCATGTTTTAAAGACACCGGCAAAGCTTCGAAATGGATATTCTTTGAATTTTTCCAGTTAGAGCACTAGGCCTTGACAGCTACGCGAGACACCAGAAGACATCAAGTATTATTTTTTTCTAGCAAAACTCCATGCTGACAACATCCGGCCATGGAAAGAGGTTCCCAGTCACTTTAAGAACTGTTTCAGATCGAGATTTGCATATTTCGTCGTTTGAATTTTTGATTATCCCCGGGAAACCCGAAAATACCCACTATTCCCCATTTCTCGCCCACCTGGCGTTCCTCATCGGCGGCTGATTGGCCCTTGTGCGGCTGAACTGGCCAGGTATCCTAATTACAAATTTTAATTCCCAAGAAATTCTAATTTCCTAATTGCAGCTTGTTCATGATCGGGGGCACGATGGCCGACTGGTTCGGGAAGAAGGCGCGAGAAGCGGCCGAGGTGACGGCCGGAGACAAACAGGGCACGGTAGGGTTTTTAGAGCATTAAAGGGACCGAGAAGTACAGAATTTGCGCACTAATAGACTAAGGAAAAGCTTGAATTTTCCAGTTCAACCAGGCGTCTGAGGATCGGCTGAAGCGGGCGTTCGAGTCGCAGATGGAGGCATTTCCGGCGTCCTGGGAAAAGGTTGGTTTCTCCCTGTCTGTCTCTGCCTTTTTCTCTATGTCCCTCTCTCTCCCTCTCTATCTCTTTCTCTCGTTCGCTCTCTCTCTCTCTTTCTCGTTCTCTCTCACTCTCCCGCTTCTCAGGCCGAAATGCCCGACCCGGTGGTGTCGTCGGCGATGGAGAAGGTGACCGTCTCGCGCTCGCACCTCGTCTACCGACTGCCTGCCACGACTACGGTAGCTCACGGCTACGTTGCGCTCCAAATTATGCCCACCAAATTTTAGCGTAAAGCCGACGAGAAGAAGCACGGTGTCACCGACAGCTGGAGGAAATTCGGGGCCTACATCAAGCTGTGCGAGGTATGGATCTAGCTTTTCTCTCTCTCTATCTATCTCTTTCTCTCTCTGTCTCTCTCTCTCTCTCATCTCTCTCTTCCAGATCGGCGGCACGGGCCTAAAAGCCAAAGTGAAGGGCGGCCCGATCGAGTCGTTCCCCATCATCAAGGGCCAGCTCCCCGACGACTTTTCCCAGCCTCGTAGGGCATCTTTTAGAAACAAATCTCCTCAGAAACGAAGCCGATCAACACGTGCGCCGAGGCGGAGAAGCGGCTGCTCGAGAAGCTGCGCGACGAGAACGAGACAAAAAACGAGAAGGGGTACTAACTTCCGGTTCACTCCAAATGGCACCTCTTCCAGCAAGACGAAAAAATCGAAGCGCAAGAATCGAACGGTAGGGATTTTTGTAGTTTGTATGTTTAAGGCTGTCCCCCCGTTAAAAGTCCAGTTCCAAGGCATTGTTCTAGAAATCGGAGCAGGACAGCGCCAAGGGCAAGCAGAAGGCCGAGGCGGCCGGTGCTTCGAAAGTGGATACGGTAAGGGGAGAGGGAGAGAGAGAGAGAGAGAGAGAGAGAGAGAGAGAGAGAGAGAGATAGGGAGAGAGAGAGAGCGATTTCTATTTTTTCTTCAGGGTGACGGCGCATGCTCGACGAGCAGCTCCTCGTCCAACAACAGCCTGCCGCGCGTCTTTGCCAGAAAGCAGGTATCGGATCGAAATTTCGCAGTTTTAAAGGGGTTGGCAAGGCCGGGCTATGGATTTTGTTAACTCTGCATGCCCGGGGGGAGAAACTAGATCATTTTCGGCTACGGTTTACTTTACCCCCCCCCCCCAGCCGGAAGTTTTTGGCTATAACTTTTTTATTTTACATTATTGTAGGCTTAAATTAAAACTCTTAGTATATTTTTCGACGCTCTATCGAATGGCGTTGCAAAAATCCCGACAAAATAAGCGAAAATACCGACAACTTTGAGACCCTTCGGCTGTGGGGGGGGGGCAAAGTAAACTCTTACCTCATTTTCAGCGTTTGTAAATGTATTTGAAACCTTCGATCTCAAAAAAGTCAGTCCTAAACGATTTTTTAAAACCTTTAAAATATGTGATTTTTCACGAAAGAGCTACGTTTTTGGGCGTATTTTAACGATTATGCTGTTTAGCAAGCTAACGTCTAACTTTCTACGCTTAAAAACGGCGAAAAAGCCGAATAATCCCCCACCGCTAACAGCCCAGTACCGAAAAATCCATAGCCACACCTTGCCAATCCCTTTAAAGAGCCAATCCCCTTAACCATCTATTAGTATGCGGTAGTGGGAGGTTGCAGATTGACGAGGCCGTCGGGAGCAAGTCGACGTCACGCGAAAAAACCCAGCCACCACCACCCAAGCCAAAGCCCAACTGATGGCCCCCATCACCCGAGAAGCCACTCCCTACCCATTTAAATTCCGATTAACTGCATTCACCTATTCCGACTGTATTCATTCGTTTTCTTGGCGTTTCCGCGCATTGTGATTGGTGCCATTATTACCCCTCATCGATGTGTGTGTGTGAACAAAGCATTTTGAATTATTTTCGAGTACGTGATGATACAAAGTACGACGCACAACAACGAGCAGAAAGAGCGTTTTGAAGGTCCTGGAGAAAGAAAGGAAAGACTCCAAATAGAAGTGTAAATTATAAACTTCGAAACGGTTAAAGAATTCATTAAGTTTTTTTAAAATTTATTTTAGGAGCTTTCCATCTCTATCACTCTCTATCTCTATCTCTATCTCTCTCTCTTTCTCTCCCTTCGCATAGATAACTGCCTCAATCGATTTTGAGAAAGTTTTAAAGGGCCCAGGCAGCTCAAAAATCGACCGCGGGGGATGATGAAGTCTCGACAGCTACACCACACGCCGAATGACGCTCTTATCGCGTTTTGACGCCCTCGTCACGGTTACTTTGACGAAGAGAAAAATAGCAATGGAAATGATCATTTTTCGTACCTGTTGTACAAAAAAACTTTGTCGAGACCTAGTCGATGGAGGGCTTGATTTTTGCATTTTAGGGTGTGTTCAAGAGCTTTTCAATTGCTAAGAAAACCAGAAACCGTGGTTTTACGTTATTGTAGAGCTGGAAAGCAGGAACGACGTTCAAGGTTTTAAAATTCGGCACAAGGTGGCTGTCGAGACCGAGTCGGGGAAAGGGAGGATTTTGACGTTTTCGGGTTCATAAAAAAAATGGACATTTTTCTAAGAGTGTCACAAAAGTTTAGTCACGTTCCTGATTTTGTAACGGTATGTCTATCAACTATAATAATTTTGCTGTGGTGTCCGTCCGTCCGTCCGTCCGTCATGTCCCGGATTCAACTCGAAGGGGAAAGGAGCTAGAGCTTAGGTCTCTTCGGATTCGGGTGGGGGACGGAGGTTGGGGTGATTTTGGACATAGTGAGCCAGGTAGCGCGCGTTTCGTGGATGAAAATTTTCACGGGGGATTTCATTTCTTTTTTTATCTCATTCCATCCGGCCGGTCGTTATTTTCGTTTTTTAAAAGTATTTCTGCTAGGGGAGGTATCTTAAACCATCGGGGAAAGTATTTAGGTAGTTTTTGAAGGGGATTTCGGCTAGGGGAAGTATCTGAAGCCATCAGGAAGGTATTTAGGTAGTTTTTGAAGGGGATTTCGGCTAGGGGAAGTATCTGAAGCCATCAGGAAGGTATTTAGGTAGTTTTTGAAGGGGATTTCGGCTAGGGGAAGTATCTGAAGCCATCAGGAAGGTATTTAGGTAGTTTTTGAAGGGGATTTCGGCTAGGGGAAGTATCTGAAGCCATCAGGAAGGTATTTAGGTAGTTTTTGAAGGGGATTTCGGCTAGGGGAAGTTTCTGAAGCCATCAGGAAGGTATTTAGGTAGTTTTTGAAGGGGATTTCGGCTAGGGGAAGTATCTGAAGCCATCAGGAAGGTTTTTAGGTAGTTTTGAAGGGGATTTCGGCCAGGGGAAGTATCTGAAGCCATCAGGAAGGTATTTAGGTAGTTTTTGAAGGGGATTTCGGCTAGGGGAGGTAACTTAAACCATCGGGGAAAGTATTTAGGTAGTTTTTGAAGGGGATTTCGGCTAGGGGAAGTATCTGAAGCCATCAGGAAGGTATTTAGGTAGTTTTTGAAGGGGATTTCGGCTAGGGGAGGTAACTTAAACCATCGGGGAAAGTATTTAGGTAGATTTTGAAGGGGATTTCGGCTAGGGGAGGTATCTGAAGCCATCGGGAAGGTATTTAGGTAGTTTTTGAAGCGGATTTCGGCTAGGGGAGGTATCTTAAGCCATCGGGAAGGTATTTAGGTAGTTTTTGAAGGGGATTTCGGCTATCGGGGGTATTGATAGAGGTGGGAAAGGATGTGGTGGAGTGGGACATGCAGGGTAGCCCGAAGGCCAGATGGTTGCAGTCGCGAAGCGACTGTAACCATCTGGTATGTAATAATTTGAATCTGTTAAAACGAGGTTTGACAAGCCAGTTGCAAAAAGTACGACTGCTGTCTTCAACGCTCCTTTAAAAACAAAATTTCCCGTCTCCTAGAGAGCGAACAATTTTGTCCAAAAACAAGGTCACAGCAGCTCCGGCAGGACCACCCGAAAATCCAGAGCACCCACCCGGACAATCACTTCCTGCTCGATTTTTGCCAGGTGACGGGGTGGGGGAATGATATAAAAAAGCGGCTCGCGATCGCGGAAAGAAACAGAACACCCTGGAGATGTTTTTTGAGAGCCGAGGCAGAGCAACAAAAGCGCAAGGTCGACCGGGGATGTACAAAAATGGCCCCCGCCCCTAGATCAGCACCCGATTCACCCAACACAACACGATACTTCCCCCAGAAATCATCTTCATCCCCAGTTTTTGTGGGGGGCTTCTCCGGGCTCATAGCTGGGTATTTGAAGTGCACCAGGAAGCGCACGCGTATCATTTTTCGGGTTTCGCCTTGGAATGTACAGGGTGTCCCAAAAAAAAGCACCCCTCCAGCATTTCGCCGTATTACATCGGATCGGTCCCATACTTGGCACAAGGGTGTATCAGGCCCTAAATAACCACAATCCTGAGTTTTAGCCCGATCGCTACAGTAATTTTCGAGTTATCGCCAAAATACTGTTTTTTTTACGCGATTCTTAACAGTTTTTTGGCTATCTTTTTGGACTTTGCATCGATTTGCATCGACTTCCGGCTGCGCATCCCTAATTTCACTTAATATCGCGCGTGAATTTGGGTTAAAAAATGTTGAAATCAACAGTTATTTGATTAATTTTTATCAGCAAAAATTTTTTAGGGGTCAAAAAGGCTTGCGGCTTCATTTTCACTTAATATTCGAAGGGTCGATTCCGACGAAAACCTTATGAAAAACGGATAATAAAGTTTGTTTTTGTTGTATCTCGAAAAGTAATGTAGCGATCGGGCTGTAAGTCAGGATTGTGGTTATTTAGGGTCTGATACACCTCTGGTCCAATTTAGGGGCCGATCGGATGTAATATGGCGAAATGCGGGAGGGGTGCTTTTTTATGGGACACCCTGTACTTTTCGGATTTTTGGAAATTTGGTACGGTATTTGGACTTGATTCCGACACTGGCCGTTCTTACGTACGTAATAGGTTACGTAGATTTCCTTACCTACGTATTCTTTAAATTTCTGAAATGCTAGCTTTAAAGGAACGGTCCCTACTGCCTTGAAAAAGGCGAATCGATTGCACAAGCAAAAACAATTCAGTCGCTTGGCTTCCACGCCTCTTTAAAGGTACTAGACGCACCTGAATCGAACCCTATGTTCCACTGGGTGTCGACACTTAAGCGCCACTCCAAATTATGCATGGAATTGCAGCGGAATTTGCTAGAACCATACGTTCAGAACGAGAGTCGTCTTTTGGACTACCGTGTAACTGTCGAGACCCAGTGTATCCCAGGAGTCGATTTTGGCTTTTTCCTAGGCATTTAAAGGGGCTTGGAAGGTTCACTAGCTCGGAAACTATGATAAGAATCTGAAACGATAAATCTCTCCGTCTCCCTCCCTCTCTCTCTCTCTTTCTCTATCTTTCTCTTTCTTCACTTGGTACGTTCGTATACAAGTCACCCATTTCAGCTCAAACCTTGGTAAATCAAGCCGACGATGATGAGGCCGATGTTCGTCTGCCTCTTCTCCGTAAGTCTTCTCTCTCTCTCTCTCTCTCTCTCTCTCTCTCTCTCTCTCTCTCTCTCGCTCACTCTCTCCCTCTCTCCAATTTGTATTTTCAGGCCCTCGTGGCAACCGTATTGGCCTTCCCAAAAGGTGGAGGCCCAGCACCAGTTGTCGTCGTTATCCCACGACCTCATGTCGATCCGACTATCGCACCCCCAGTTCTGATCCGAAAAGACGGCAGCGATGAGAGGAGGGGAGGACATCATGGAGATTCAAGTGATTCTCACGAAGGAAGGGGAGGAAAGGATCGGTAGGTTTTAAGAGAGCGAGAGAGAGAGAGAGAGCCAGAGAGAGAGAGACAGTGAGAGAGAGAGAGAAAGAGAGAGAGAAAGAAAGAAAGAAAGATATATCGTGAGAAAGCGTCAGGAGAGATAGAGAGAGAACGAGAGAGAGAGAGAGGGCGCGAGCGAGAGCTGGCCGCCTGAAGGATGACCACTGCCGTAAAAGTTTCTGCGCCATTGTGGCATTTTGGCTAACCACCCATCAAAAACCCGGATTCTAGAGATGGAAAGGGCCGCGACAGCCATAGCCACGAGAATAACGGAAAAGGAGGCAAAGGAGGACATCATGATTCTTCTGAAGAGAGAGGACATGGAGGAAAGGATTGGGGACGAGATGGGTGCGTTTTTGGGGAGAAAAACCATAAATGCAATCTTGCATTATTTTTTTTGCGTTTTTGCGACATCCCAGCCATTTCAAAGCCGTTTTTCTAGAAACGGAAAGGGCCGCGACAGCCACAGCCACGAAAATAATGGTGGAAAGGGAGGAAAGGGAGGACACCATGATTCGTCTGAAGAGAGAGGACGTGGCGGACATGGAAAGGATATGGGCAGGGGAGGGTGAGTGTGTACATCAGGTTGGATTTAAAACTGGCAAATAGCCATCCTATTACGCTATCAAAAATTGGGGAGAGAACGGGCTCAGGCAGGAGGGAAAAGTGCGGCTTTTGCATAGAAAGCCCGACAGCCATAATCCCGACAGCCAAAATCCCGACACCCAGAAACCCCCGAGTTTCAAACCATTTCTGGTTAAAATGGCCGAAAACATCAGATTTTGGCTGTCGGTATTTTGGCTGTCAGGATTTTGGCTGTCGGGATTTCGGTTGTCGGGATTTTGAATATCGGGATTGTGGCTGTCGGGATGATGGCTGCCGGGCTTATGGCTGGATTTCACTGGTTTTATGCTAATCGAAATGGGGCTTCTTGATCCTTTACGCGCACGTATACACTTAAAAACGCCTACACATATTGACGTCTGCCGCTTTCTATTTGCCTTGCTCTCGCGTCAATAGGTAGGTGTGTGTAGCAATATGCGGGTAAACCTACATCCATGTTGTTCCCCTCCAACGTTACGAGTAATGATGACACGGACCTCCCGTTGTAGGCATCGACATGACTGGCACAGCCACAGTCATGAGCATCATGGGAAGTGGGGTAGACACGGATCGTGGAGTCATGAGAGAGATGGACATCATGGAGGGTGGGGAGGACATCATCATGGATGGCCTCATGAACATAGAGGAAGGCATGGATATCACGAACCTTCTGAAGAACGAGGACGTGGCCATGGAAGGGGAGAATGGCATTGGGGGAAAGGAGATCACGGAGCTCCATCTGAAGAGTGGGGAGGAGGACACGGGCATGGTGATGGGAAGGACATGGGCAGAGGAGGGTCCGTTTTTCACGTTGACAGCCATAATGAGCATGAGCTCCGCGTTTGAACGAGTATTTTGCAGAAAGCCGGACAGCCACAGCCACGAGCATAACGGCAAAGGGGATAGACATGGTTCGAGGAGTGATGAGAGGGATGGAAATGGAGGACGAGGAGGAAAAGGAGATCGTGGACACGGATCTTCCGAAGAAAGAGGACGTGGCGGGCATGGAGATGGCGTGGTCGTGACGCACGGAGGGTTGGCATTCCGATTCTGGCGTTCAACTGGGGTTTGATTTTCAGAAATGGCAAAGACCGAGATAGCCACAGCCACGAGAATAACGGCAAAGGAGATGGCAAAGGAGGAAAAGGGGATCACGGACGCTCTTCTGAAGAGAGAGGAGGCGGTCATGGACATGGTGACGGAAAGGACGTGAGAGGGGGAGGGTTAGCCATCTGTTTTTGACGTCGAATTAATGTTGGATTTACAGAAACGGTAAAGACCGAGACAGCCACAGCCATGAAGGCAATGGAAAAGGAGATGGCCGTGGAAGAAAAGGAGGTCATGATGGCTCTTCAGAAGAAAGAGGACGTGGCGGACATGGTGACGGAAAGGACGCCGGACGTGGAGGGTTAGTCTTCTGATCACGAGCTCTGACAAGCCGCGATTTTCAGAAATGGTAAGGATAGTCATGAAGGCAATGGAAAAGGAGGCAAGGACGGTCATGGACGTGATGGTTCATCAGAAGAGCGGGGACGTGGTGGTCATGGTGACGGCAAGGACGTCGGACGTGGAGGGTCAGTATTCTGATTGTGACCTTGGACGGCGTTTGAATTTTCAGGAATGGCAAAGACCGAGATAGCCACAGCCACGAGAATAACGGCAAAGGAGATGGCCGTGGAGGAAAAGGAGATCACGGACGATCTTCGGAGGAGAGAGGAGGCGGTCGTGGACATGGTGACGGCAATGACCTAGGTCGCGGAGGGTGGGTTTTCAGAAGACGAGTGTAGAGGCCAATTCTGCAGAAATGGAAAAGACCGAGACAGTCACAGCCATGAAGGCACCGGAAAGGGAGATAGACACGGATCGAGGAGTGATGAGAGGGATGGAAATGGACGCGGAGGTCATGGACATGGTCATAGCGGCTCTTCTGAAGACGGGGACTGGGGACATGGTGGACATGGTCATAGGCATGGACATCGTCACGGACACGGACATATGAGGAGAGGAGGGTCGGTATTCTGCGGTACTACAGGGTGTCCCAAAAAAAAGTGTCCAAGTTTGTCCCCAATTATCTCGAGCAGGAAAGATATTTCACCGTGCGTTACCATGCCAGAATGCTTAAATATGTCAGGAATAGGGAAATAACTCAACTTGATTTTTTCGATTTTTGGCGACGTACCCATACAAATGACACCCGAAAACTGTGCGTTCCGGCAAAACTTCGTTTGCATTTTTTAGGATTGCTGGTGGTCGAACACTGCCAATTTTTACCGTGTGAGTACCTAAGGACTGCCCCTACTCAAATCCGGAATTTTGGAATTTTCGAAGGTCAGGTTCGCAAGTTATAGCGTGCTCAAATTTAATATGGAGAAATTTCGTAAAATTCGAATATTACAAAAACCTATGGTGGAAACCTCAAAATAAGCTGGGTTAGCATGTCTGTAGGCTCGATACAATCTCACAAAAATATAAAAAAAAAATTTCAGAACCGCGAATTTTTGAGTTTTTCGACGACCCCCTGGTCACGGATTCTTTCGATGTCACGAATCTTAACTTTGGAAAAATATTTCTAAAATTGCAGATAGAATTGCGACCAACAGAAAAGCCTGTGGCCAACAGAAAATCGCCGTTTTCTCGTTCTTTTCACCATAGAAACGTTTCGATCTTTCAGCAAAACAAATAATAGTAGTTTTTAGTCCGATGCATCAAAATATTTAGAAATTTCCGTGGCTAAATTCGAAAATAAGTTTTTCACATATTTTGGGAAGGTGTATGGCTAGAACTTCGTGATATTTTGCCCATGGCTGCCCCTTACCATTGTTTACCGATGGTAAAATTTTGAGCGAAATCGCAGCTTACAATAAAAAGAAAAACGCGAAAAACAAAAGCTACAGTATCCCTCTGGGGCACGTTTTAGCAAGCAATATTGAAATACCATAGAATCAGGCAAAATTTGGTGTTGTGCTAAAGATTATCATTCGGCGACCCCATCTGCAAAAGATCAGCCATGGGCAGCGTATTTGAAGCGAGTTACGAATTAAAAAGTAAAAAATAAGCAAAATAGGGAAATTTGTTTTGCCTTTAAAAAAAGAACTAAACTTTCAAAAATTCTAAGACTTTGCGATTATTTTTCAACAAATGTCAACTATTTTTCAGCCAAAAATCAGAATTTTCCCACCACACGGTCAAGAACTAGGGTTGTTTCTCGGAACAGACCGAGATTCGGAACTTTCGGAACAAAGACTGGTCGGAACGTTCCGAGATTCGCGTGTTCCGGCTGTTCCGAGATTCGGAACATTCCGAGATTCAAATGATGCGGTTGTTCCGAGATTCATATTGTTCCGACTGTTCCGAGATTCGGAACGTTCCGAGATTTGGCTGTTCCGACTGTTCCGAGATTCGGAACAGTCCGAGATTGAGCTGTTCCGAGATTCAAATTTTTTCGCGTGTAAATTTCTAAACACGACTGAATTTCGATTCGATTCGAGCCCCAATTCGTTCTCATTTCCTTATTTCCAGATTCGATATCTAACCATCGACGGAATTAAGCGTTCAGTTGCGCCCACACTGCCGTGTCACGGCAAAATCGTAACAGTTACATGCAATCTACACAATTTACACGAAATCGAAATTTACATGCGAAAAAATTTGAATCTCGGAACAGCTCAATCTCGGACTGTTCCGAATCTCGGAACAGTCGGAACAGCCAAATCTCGGAACGTTCCGAATCTCGGAACAGTCGGAACAATATGAATCTCGGAACAACCGCATCATTTGAATCTCGGAATGTTCCGAATCTCGGAACAGCCGGAACACGCGAATCTCGGAACGTTCCGACATTCGGAACAGTCGGAACGGTTGCTGTTCCGAATGTTCCGAATCTCGGCCTGTTCCGAGAAACAACCCTATCAAGAACGCACAATTTTCGGTCGTAGTCAGCGTCAATAGTACAGTTGCGTACTCAAAAATCGAAAAAATCAAGTTGAGTTAATTCCCTATTCCTGACATATTAAAGCATTCTGGCATGGTAACGCACGGTGAAATATGTTTCCTTCTCGAGATAATTGGGGACAAACTTGGACACTTTTTTTGGGACACCCTGTATTGAAAAATGGTGGTTGATAGGATTAAATAGATATGGCCAGACAGCCGGACAGACTAAATAGCACAAAACGGAAAGAAAGCAGCTTTGCTTCCGCTTGCCTCTTGCTCTCTCGCTGCTCTCTCTCCCTCTCTCTCTCTCTCTCTCTCTCTCTCTCTCTCTCTCTCTCTCTCTCTCTATCTCTCTCTCTCCCTCGCTTGCCGACCGACTTACTTCTGATTCCAAGAAGTACATACAACATTTGTTTTTAGCCACAACAGCCACAGCCGCGAGGGTGGGCGCCACGGATCTTGGCAGAAGGACGGCCGCGGAAGGCATTCCCACTCACATGAAGACTCCAGGGATCGCGATGGACATGGAAAGGTACGGTCCACAGAAGTAAACACACAAGGAGTTTTCCTAAAGGATCTCAGCTAGCTGGCCAAACTGCAAAATATTGGCCACTTTAGGGCGGAAACGGAGGAAACGTGAAGATCACCCCTGCTCCCGTCGTCGTTGTTGTTACTACCTTGGCACCGGTGAGTTCCTAAAGAATCTTGACTAGCATGCAGAGAGTGTGAGTGGTGAGTGAGAGAGAGAGCGAGAGAGAGAGAGAGCGAGATAATGAGTGAAAGAGGGGGGTGCGTAAGAGCTAGTGAGTGACTGAGGGAGAGTGCGACAGAGAGAGAAAGAGAGAGAGAGAGTGAGTGCAAGAGAGAGAGAGTTAGTGAGTGACTGAGGCGGAGTGCGAGAGAGAGAGAGAGAGAGAGAGAGAGAGAGAGAGAGAGAGAGAGAGAGAGAGAGAGAATACACCGCTTTAAGATAACAACCACCATCGCCAAGGCCCCATGCGCCGACACGGCCACGGATTGTGGAATCAAGGCCAGTCTGTGCAACAACGCGGCCTATAAGAGTCTGATGGAGAAGAGATGTCTGCGCACCTGCGGATGGTGCCCTAAATAGACGCACTAATGGATGTTGATTTTAAATTTTGCTACAGGTCATATAGTAATATTTGAGTTAATAAATATTTTAAGCTCGAAAACGCTACTTAAACATTGAAAGTTAAATTAAATTAATGTAGACGTGAAAACGCTCCTTGAAAATTAACCAGGGCTAAAGCGTATAATAAAGTAGCATCTAAAGTCATCTAGGTACACCTCCCTGCTCTCAAACGAAAAGTTAACTTCTCGAAAATAAGCTATCCGCCCACGTCTCTGAAAAACGAGAGCCCCATACCAGCATGATAAGATCCTTTTTGAGAGAGGATAGGATCAAATAATCGAAAAGTCGCCGGGGAGAGTGACAAAATTGGCCGCCGCCCCCGCAAGATCTGCACCCAATTCGCCAAAAACGCCTTTCGCTAAAGCTATCGACACTACTTTTTTTGTCGGGCGCTTTTCCGCATATAGCTGGGGGTATTTATACCTATCTGGAACGTACGTCTGGACCTATGTGCATCATTTTACGGGCCCAGTCAATTTAAGGTACCCGAACACGAAAGAGTACTCTCTCTGTCTCTCTCTCTCTCGCTCTCTCTCTCTGTCTGTCACCCGCTCTCTCTTACTGTTTCCGTCTTGGGCTAAATACAAATGCAATTTTAGCGCATTCTTGGGAAATCAAGCCAACAATGAGGTTGATGTTCGTCTGTCTCTTCGTGGTAAGTCTCTCTCACTAGCTCTCTCGTTTTCTGCCTCTCTCTCTCTCCCCTAAGCTCTATCTCTATATTTTCAGGCCCTGGTGGCTACTGTTTTGGCCTTCCCGAAGGGTGATGCCCCATCCACCAATCCGACGACATCTCTAGTCCGTCTGAAGAGAGCCGATAGGGACGAGAATAGGGGAGGAAATCATGGAGATTCTCGTGATTCTCACGACAACAGGGGAGGGAGAGCTGGGTACGTGAGAGAGAGAGAGAGAGAGAGAGAGAGAGAGAGAGAGAGAGAGAGAAAAGCACTTTAGGAGCACCCTTAACCATCACCATTTAGCAACGACCACGACAGCAAGAGACGACAAGACGAGCACGACGACAAGAGGAGGGGAGGGTAAGCGGTAGCAGCTAAGAAATTGCATGTGAATCTTCTAGAAATGAAGGACAGGATGATCTGAGCATTGAAGACGCAAGGGGAGGACGTCGCGACGGCGATGAGCGGTCGGTTTTTGGGGGTCAAGGGAAATTTAATGGCTGAAACCGAGTGGGAATTTTTGACAATTTTTGACCGGTTAGTTGGCAAGCCAACAGAGGTTTTTCGGAAAGTTTGTTCTAGCCTGTTTTCGGCACGATTCGAGTACGAAAATTCAGAAATGACAAAGATCGCGACCGTCACAGCCACGAGAATGGTGGCGCAAATGGACGACATGGTGATGATTCTGAAGAAAGAGGTCGTGGCAATCATGACAACGACAAGGACAACGACAGGAAAAAGTAAATATTCCAATTTTCAGGTTAAAAACGAGGTTTTTGAGAAATGGAAACGATCGGAATAACCACAGTCGTGAAGGCGAGGGAAAGGGCGATCAAGGCAGGGATTCCGAAGAGAGAGGACGCGGAGGTCATGGCGATGACAAGGACAAGGACGGGAAAAAGTGAATATACAATTTATTAGGCTTAATTTTGCGTGATTTTCAGAAATGGACAGGATCGTGATCGCGACAGCGATGAAAGGATTCGAAATGGAGACGATCATCGCGGAAAGGGTGATCGAGGCAGAGATTCTGAAGAGAGGGGCGATCATGGAAAAGATGACGGGAAAGATGTCGGACGTGGAGGGTGGGTTTTTCCCGAAACGAGGGTTATTACCGTAAAGTATCTTACCGTAATTTTTGGACTTAATTTTTATACCGTCGAAAACGACATGAAATTCAAATTTTACAGAAATGAAAAAGACCAAGACCGCAGCCACGGTCATGGCCATCGACACCACGGATCGTCGAAAAAAGAGTAGCGACAGCGACAGTGACTCTTCCGACGAATCGGGGCATAAGAAACACCGAAAACACCGACATCGACATGGCCATAAACATCGACATGGACACAAGCATCGACACGGGAAGCATGGGTCAGTCCATAAGCCTTATTAAAGGCCTCTGGGACGCTGGGGTACTCTGGCAGGCGTTGCGGCTGGCTGCAGAGCGCGGACACCGTGGCGGCGTACATAGGAGCGCCGCGTGGGGATAGGGGTGCTCGGGCAGGTCATCCTTCTCCGCCGCCTCTCCCAGTTGGTGAGCATGGTATAGTGGATAGCGCGCTGGGCTGGCATTCTCACGGTGCGGGTTCGACCCCGCCCGGTGCAAACGTCTTTTGCTTTTTCTTGAAAATCATTGTTCTAGAGGCCTTTAATGCGTAAAGTATCTCAAAATGTTCTCGGTGGTCTAAATCTTCGCTAAAACATACTAGAAAAATGCTCATCATTACTAAACAATTTAAATATTTTTTTCAGCCACGGCAGCCACAGCCACGGAAGGTGATAGTGCAGAGATATATAGACACATTCTTGATGGATCATTTTACATCTTTATTTCAATGGTAATAAAATTAAACGTTGACTTAATAATGATAAATACGAAATACAAAGTTTAAAGCTTCAGAAATCGGCTTAAAGTCGAAACGAATAAATATTTACATGGTGTAATCATATCTTATTGGATTTTTGATAATTTAAAAATTAATTTTAAAAGACAAGGGATTCCAAACTTAGATGATTTAAGAGGTGGCATCCTCGTACTCGAATAAATTCGCGTGTTCTCGGTAGAAAACGGCCGGATTCCGGGGGAATCCGCAGCGAATTGTGAAAGAGACGGAAGTCTCGGTGCACGACTCGGAACGCCACAGGAACCTGAGAAATTCCGGATTTTTGAAGCCTGTTGAAGATTCGGAAACTCAGAAAACCTACCTCTAACCCGCTCTCTCTCTCGCTCTCTCTCTCGCTGTCTCTCCCTCTCGCTCCCGATCTCTCTCTCGCTCCCTCGCTCTCTCGCCCTCTGTCTCCCTCTATGTCTCCCTCTTTTCCTGTCTCCCTCTCTCTTTCGCACTTTCACTCTCTCGCTCTTTCCCTCTCACCCTCTCGCTCGTGCTCTCACTCCTCTAGCTTCTCTAGCTCTCTCTCTCTCTCGCTCTCTCTCACGCTCTTTCTCTCTCCACTCACCAGTCCTCCCATCTCCGCTCCAAATTGTACGTGTAGTGCAGGTTGCATTTGTGGTTCCAGCTAAAGAAATGTAACCGAAAATCGAACAATCCACGAAAAGTAAATTTTAAAGGTCCCCAAAGAAAATCTTCCCTATGTATTTGCCTTTCGAGCCCCGTTAAAACAAGGAAAATCTAATCTAAATTTAATTGAATTGGACCTGGGTTTTTTCGCGAGCACCGTCGCCTCATCTCCTTCCTCGCACCCGATTCGGCAGTACGTCCGTGTCATGTTTTTCTAAAATGCCGTAGTGTTAAGTGAATTTTGAGATTTTTCTGTTCATACGGAATCAGTCTCTTCGTGGCACTGCGGGTTCTCTTCGGAATTCAGTTGGGGGAGACGAAGGGAGCATCTAGTGAAGCCGGAAGCTTCGTAGAAATTGCACTCCATCGTGCGAACGTCTAAAAATGAAATTCTGGGATTTCTGGGAAACATTCTTTCAGGGGTATTTTTTTTTTGTTTGCCTTATGGAAGGTTACTGTATTGGATTTTTCAATAGCACACAGGCCGATTTGCAACCCCAGGCAGGTGAAAGATCGAGAGAGAGAGAGAGAGAGAGAGAGAGAGAGAGAGAGAGTGAGCATGAAAATGAGAGTGAGCATGAGATTGATAGTGAGGGTGAGGGAAAGCAAGCCACAGGTAGTGATCGAGATAGAGAAGGAGAGAAATATAGGCAGAACGAGAGAGAGAGAGAGAGAGAGAGAGAAGAAGGCCGGAGAGTCTTTTTAATAGAAACACATAGTTTTTTGTTGAATTTTCTAGAAAATTCCATTAGATATGTTTTGTGAGTGCTTTTAAGCTATAACTTACTCCAGTAATACGAATTCTGCGGCGGCTGGGCCTCGGAAAAGGCACATAGAGCCAGAAATAAGAGTGCACTCCAGATGATCCCGGATGCTTTCATTTTTCGGGAGCGGCCGGGGAAATGAAGTGGCAGAAGAGGGGGAATCGGAATGGCATGGAATGAACAGGAGAGAGAGAGGAACAATCCTGTTCCTCCTCCACACTCCCTCCAAGGTTATTATCACAACACGACAAAAAAGGAGCAGGGGATGCCCCCGAAGGGTGAAATGTCATTATATTTCATTCGTGTTTGTCTGTGTCTCTCGCTCTCGTCCTCTCTCTCTCTCTCTCTCTCTCGCTCTCGCTCTCTCTCGCTCTTCAATGACGTACAGAGGAAAGTTGTGGAATACACGCAAGGTCGAGAACCGGCAGGTCAAAACCAATTTCAGGTTTTACAGGGTCTCGAAGGTCAAAAAACTGGAAACTCGAAGAGATTTCCAAAAATCTTATACTGAGAATGAAGAACAAAGGGCTGCCTAGCAGAGATCATTTGAGAAAAGCTCATTTCTTTTCTCTTCCTCTCTCCCTCTTTTTCTCTCCCTCGCTCTCTCTCTCTCTCTCTCTCCCCTCTCTCTCCCCTCTCTACTGCTCCTTCGTTTAAGCATAATCCTTCAAATGTAGCGTGTATGTGACTTTTTTATCATTTCCTATACACAAGTGACGAGATCATTATCACGGAGTAGTATCAACGAATTCTTTGGATGCAGCCGATCAACCGTACGCCACACTCCGTCCACACACCGTATCCTGTGCACCGGATGCCAACTTTCACTCGAGCCGACGTAGGTGGTCAGGTTTGAGAAGGTGTGCTCACAACTGAAAAAAGTGGAATTCGTCCAATTCCTGACGGTTTTTTCGCTCAAAAAATCTCCGCTAGCTTGCCTTTGGTGGAAATGGTCAATAAAGCCAAAAACTTACAAAGCATCAGCCCCATCCATCTCCATATTCATCGGCATCCCGCCGGCGCATCGTTGAATCCCGCGCGGGCAGCTCATTGTTAACGGAAGGAGGTCACAGAATTTACCTGAAAATTCAGGGTATGAGATCCGCCTGCAATCTTGCTGACGCCATCCCTTAAAAATTCAGCCTTAGCGGGTAACGGTATGAAAAGTGCATGTCAAAAAAAAAAGATGGAAACTCAATTCTAAGTCAGGAATTTGGCATCTTGCTAAAGCTGGCTACAATTCACATCCGATTTTGCTGAAATTCCATCCTTTCGGGGTTTTCTAAAGGGACAATGAAGCGCCGAAATCGACCCCTTCCGCCCACTAGGTCTCGACAGCTACGCGACGTACCAAATTGCGGACAGGTTTGTCCATTATACAGACCCTATGGATGTGCGCGACGACAAAAATGCAATTGGGCTTGCACCCGTCATCTGGCGTGCTGCGTGGCTGTCGAGACCTAGTCCAATGAAATGGTCGATCCCTTTTCTTCCTAGTTCCTCCAAAACTAAAAAAACTGACCGTCATGCTGCGGTCCCGCATATCCGGCGCGATTTTCCTCAAATTTAGGCATGGCTGAAATGGCGATTTTTTTTCAAAGGTTGAAGGAAAATTAGAAAATTAGAAAAAAAAATAAATAACTTACAATTTATATTCGCCAGAAAAGATTCGAGATCATGAATTGGCGGAAGTTTCGCTGATTCTCCGATTTCTGTCGCGTTCGAGTTCTCGTCGATTTTAATGCTCTTATTTTTCTCAGTTTTCGTCACGGCAGGTTTTTTCTTCTTCTTCTTGTCTCTTTTTCGCTTTTTAATATTCTTCTTAGGCTTATTAGCCTCCGTCACCGCTTTTCTGAGCTCGTCATTGGCCGGGTTGGGTGAATTTTTGGCCGGTTTTCTTCTTCCTTTCGTCGATTTTGGTTGATTTTCTGAAACGGATTGTTCATAAAGTTTTAAAAAATTGTAGCATTAATACTCGGTTGCAAAATTTAAAGCTATAATACTCTTTAGTCCTAAATTGTTTTCTGTATTCTTTAAAGGGACTAGAAAGCGGCAAAATCGGCCCTTTTTGGATATCGGGTCTCGACAGCTACGCGACGCTCCAAATGACGCGTACGAGCCTGATTGAATTTTTGAAAGACGTATTTCGGAAGACAATTTAAAGGCTTTAATATGACAAAGAACACGAAAATCGTAGTTTGGAGTCCAACCTGGCTGTCGAGACCTAGCCACTTGAAGGGGTCGATTCTCAGCCTGCCCGGTCCCTTTAAAACACCCACCTTCCCGCTTGATCTCGTTCAACACCTCGTCAATCTCCTTTGAGCTCAGGCTCGATTCCGGTAGCTCATCCTTTTGAGCATCAACTTTTGTTTCGACTTTCTTTCCTTCTCTTTTCTCTGCCCTATCCTCGTTCTCCTCTACGCTCTCCCACTCCTCATACTCCGCGGGGCTGGGCATTGGAGGAGGGTTTTCGAAGGTTGAGACTCTTGCTAGAGGTTTGAGAGCCGATGAAGCTCCTTGAGGTTTTGCTGGTTCTGGAAAATTCTATTATGTGATTTTAAGGAATCGTAATGCATAAATTCCTGATCTGAAAATTTCGTAATGCCGAAATTTTGGCATTATCTTTTTGTGGGCTTTTCCGGATATTGCTCATATCAATTTGAAATTTCGAAATCCTGAAATTTCGACATTATGAAATATCGATATTACGGAATTTCGGCATTATGAATCCCGATCTTATAAATTTCGATATGATGAATTACGACATTATAAGCCTAGCCACCTAGTATAATAAATTCTGTATAAAAGTGATTTAAGATAATTTTGATCCATTTACATGGTTTTTAGCGGCAATAGAATGGCGCGTAGAATGGCATGAAGTAAAAGATAAATATTAATAGAAGAAGACGCAAAGGAATTTAAACATTGTATAAACTTTAACTCACCTCGCTGAAATGCCAATAACGCTTCTTCAAGTGGCGCTATTCGTATACAAGCTTCTGTATAACCATAGAAAAGTAGTATACAATAATATAGAAAATACATCAGGATCAAATCGTCTTTAGGATCGCCGCGGAGCTGTTAATCGATGGACCCGGGACCGGATTTCCCCCTGATTGACCCCCAAGGCGCAATCAGAAATTTTGGGATTGCGGGGAGAAAGCGGTCAACGCTTTCTCTCTTGCGAAAACGTGCGCAACATAAATGATTGTGGAACAGCAATCACGCTTTGGTGGATATTGGAGCTGAATGGAACCGGAAAAGCTGTGGATTTAAGGGGATTAGGAGCGAAGCGCGGGATCTACCGGTATTATTGGCTGGGTCTAGACATCGACGGGGAGAAAGACAAAAACCGATGCGTTCTATTTCTAATCTGAAAAAGAAAGACAATTCAGCGTCAGTATTGTATATCTTAGAAAAGTGCTCAGAAAAGCGGCAAGCAGGTGCGAGAACTGACTCTTTCTAAGGACTAGGTCTCGACGGCTACGTAACGCGCCTTATATTTAAGAAGGGCGCCAAAATTGCCAATAACTGTCGCCTCGCTACAATGTCTCTCACTCTCTCTCTCTCTCGCTATCACGCTCTCTCTCTCCCTCTCTCTCTCCCTCCCTCGCTCGCTATCTCTCTATTCGGATCTCGCTGGCTCTCACGCTGTCACCTTCCCTCTTTCTCTCTTGATTGCGCACCGACTGCGTACATACGCGCTTAACTTATCTTATCTTAACCTGCTTTTAAAGGGTAATAGTGATACGATCACCATCGCAGATTGTTCGTGAAAAGATGGAACAGTGGGCCAGGTGGGTGACGAGTGGGGGAGTGACGGGCAAGCCGAGATCAAATCAATTTCTACAACCACACATTGGTGGTCACGTTTCAGACCCATGGATTCATTAATTTATTCAGATAATTTAAATCTTTCTATTCAGTTTATCAATTTGATACGCGAGCCGGCACGTCTTCCGGAAAACCGCAATGCACCTCCAGAGTTATTGTCTTAAAGATACGATAATTACGGGGTTACTGTAATTCTAGAAAACCTGATTAGCACAAGCCCCGGTCCTCCAAATGGACCATCGATCCCCGCGGAGCAACGTGTCGTAGGAATAGAAACTAAAAGAATTTAGTCGCTCCCAATTATGGTAAAACTACCGTATACAAGGGCGATTGTTGGATGGCTTCTTGGAAATCACAGAATCCCGATCGGCACCGACGCACGAGATATCGCAGTCGAGGATTAGAGGGTTTTCTGGAAGGTCTCTATCTCTAGCTTTCTCACTCCCTCTCACTCTCTCTCTCTCTCTCGCGCTCTCTCTCTCTCTCTCTCTCTTTATCTATGTCCCTTTTATGGAAATTTGCAGAAATAAGCGCCTCCATTTTCGGGTTTCTCGATCTCAAAAATCTTTGCGTTTTAAAACAGGATTCAATTTTCATGATTCCGTTCCGCTACTCTTTACGAGAGGCGGTTTGTCCTGTTTTTTACGTAATACCAAAAACACGGCTACCGTGACTAATTTTTTCGCACCCGACCTTCTGCGTCAATCGCCCTTAAATTAATTATCGAGGTCAGCTCATGGCTATTTGTAGACAAAGCGGGAAGTTCAGAGTTTTAAGAAATGGATACATGTGGTTTTTAAGATGTACCCGTCAGGGAGTTTTCTCTCCGTTCCACGCACTCGGCCGGAATCGGTTCCTTTTCCATGATGGAAAGCTGACAATTGTCGCGTTCACAGAATAAGGTGCGTTTTTCTAAAATGACATAAATAATAGCCACAACCCGAAAAAATCGATAAATTCCTCGGTTTTCAAACTCACGGCCTTGAAAAATTTTAGAATCTAGTCCCAAAAGTCCGAAATTTCGAAATGTTGAACTGGACAACTCACCCCAGCGCACAATCTTACTGTAGTCGACGCCATCCGATAGCCCGGCCATGGAAACTCCACCAAATTGCGCTAATAAAATAAGGAAGAGCATAGTTTTTCAGCTCTGAAATGCCAGTTACATCAGTTAAATCGAAATAAAAACTGCATTTTAGACGTATTTTGAAACGCCAATGGAAAAAATTATTAGAGTTAAGAAAATTACTAAAAAACGTAAGAGTTTTGGAACAGTATAAAGTCGTAATACTCTATCAAAAATTATTCATCAAGTCGAATCGACAACTCGATAACTTCCAGCCGGGAAAGTGTGTCAGTTCGGGAGGGGGGGGAACCGCCGGAGGGAAAGGACGGACCGGTTCCATTTCACTCCGATCCACGTCCATTTTATATGCGTACACGAAAAATAAGAAAGTAGTGGAACCGAATAATTATACGTGATTTATTCGCATCTATCTGGAACAGGATGAGTATCAAAGACGAGAATATGTACATACAGGGATTGGCAATTAAAGGGAGAATGACGTCGGGGTTTGGGATAACGTAGCGGTTGCATTGCAGTCGTAAGAGAGAGAGAGAGAGAGAGAGAGAGAGAGAGAGAGAGAGAGAGAGAGAGAGAGAGAGAGAGAGAGAGAAAGAGAGAGTGAGAAAGAGAGGGAGAGAGAGAGGCAAAGACGGAGAGAGAGCGTGAGAGTGAGAGAGAGAGAAGGAGAGTGATAGAGAGAGAGAGAGGGAGAGCGAGATAGAGATTGAGAGAGAACGAGCAAGAGAACCAGAGAGAGAGAGAGAGAGAGAGAGAGAGCGGTAGAGAGATAGATAGAGAAAGAGAGAGAGAGAGAGCTACCGAGTTTTAAAGGAACATTAAATGCTGTTACTCTTCCTCGGGCACGCAACGCATTAGACACCGGTGCCAATCCCGGCTTTCATCGTAGAGACAGCTAAAATTCAAGATTTCAGATGCATTCCCAAAGAGTCTGTGCTAGCCTGCCACTCTGAATTCATTTTCTACTGATACTACCCCGTAAATTGCGCTAGTAGGTGTCACGCTCCCCTTAAAAATCGCATTTCGGGTAAAGAGCCATCTGTGCGAGACCGCCGACTATTTGTCTAAATATTTCGACAGTTGCGTCGGGTTTTAGTTTCCTAACGGGTCTGGGAAGTCAAAAAGCTGCCAGTGCAATTGTTTTGGCACAGAGCAAGCCTCAATCTGCCATGAAATTACGAATAACGCCTTAAAAACCTACAGATTCACATAAATTCACATAAATCACATGAAGAAGAACCAACAAGAGAATTGCCTTAAATTTTAATTCACATAAATTTTAAAGCGTTTTCTAGAGGACATACGGTATGTAATCCGAACCGAGGAAAAGCCGATTGACCCGCAAAAACAACTAGTTTTTATAATATTAGGAAGGCCCTTTCTAGATTTTTGACAACTAGCTACGACCTTCGCTGGCGCGAATTCCACCTTCCAAACCCCCTTTACAAACTTACTGTAGCGCCAGCCGGGTGTCTTCCGGATCATCGGGACATCTGTATCCACTCGGACATTTACACTTCACCGAAACGGCTGCAATATTTGAGGTGCTGTCGACGATCAACTGTTGGCAATAATCCGCCTCATCATACAATCGACATTCTCCATCACTACTCCTTGCACCAAAATTCGAACGCAAATTGTTGATGGGAGCGTCGAGGAATGCCTGGAAAATTATTTTTTAATATTTTGAACTTTAAACTTTTTAAAGGAATTCGGAAGTCAGAAATACACAATTTGAACGCAGTTTCCGATTCCCGAAAAATTCCCAAAACGTTCGTTAGCTAAAATGACCATTTTGCGGTTCCTTTAAAATGCTGATTACAGTACCCGAAAAATGACAACTTGGATGATAAAATGCTCGAGGACTTTTGGAAAATTGCCAATGATTACAGTACCGCTAAATACCGATAGAACTCCGTAAATGGGACCCGTGGCGATTTGTCCTTTTTTATTTTAGCTTTAAAACGCTTAAGAAATCGACAATTTCGATAAAAACGCAAAAATTACCGCGAACTGATGATGTTTTAAAGTTTTTTATTGTTTTCCGCTCAATATAGAGTCAAATTTTGCTAACGGCACCATTAAAAAATTACTATTATGTTCATAAGCCTTTTGGACTTATTGGACAGAGCTGGTCCCTCTTCCCTCCCCCGATAACGCAAAAGAACCTTGTTTTCTCTCTCTCTCTCCTACTTTCTCAGCTCCTTTAAAAGTTACTTACCTCAACCACCGTAAGTACAACAACGAATTGCACTACCGCTAGCCGCACCGTTCGGAGTTTCATTGCGGAATCGGTAGCAGCTGGAAGGGTGGACTGGTTGGGGGTTTTGTGAGGAATGGAGGGCAAGAAAGGGATGGTCATTTTTAGCGCTCGCACCAGCTTTTCTCTTTTTCTTCTTCTTCCCAAAACGGTCCTCATCCCACTTGAGGGGCTTGGAAATGCTTTGTTTCTCTCTCTCTCTCTCGCTCTCTCTCTCTCTCGCTTTCTCTCACTCTCCTATCCCGCCTCAGGCCCACCGTTCGGAGGCGCATTTCGGAAAAATTGAGGATAGAACGCTGCTTTGTTTGGGGTTTTCGGAAATTTATTAGGATGAAAGAGGGAAAAAACTTGGCGTGAAAACTAGAGAAAATCACTATATAAATAGGCAAGCCAGCAGGGATTCTTGAGGAATCTCTCTGGTTCTCACTCTATCGCTCTCTCTCTCGGAGCAAGAGAAATAGAGAGTGGAGAGAGAGAGGGGGGAGACACTAAAATGCGGGCCGAAAGCTTATTGGCATCCGGCTCAATTTTGTAACTGGAGACGGCTGAGAATCCGGAAAAGTTCCGCCGTCTGGAGCAATGGAAGAGCCAGGTCCACTTGCTTTTTCGCCTGGAATAAACCAGACAAATCTATATTTTTTCGACGATTGATAATTTTCATGGAACTATGAACTCGAAAATCGACCCCTCGAAGGGGTTACACCACGCTTGACGGCTATGTATCGCTGCAAAAAAAAGTGTGAGAGGCCAAGCCGCTCGTGCGTTGCGTGTCGCGGGCACTGCAAAAACGGGAGCGAATCCATTGCAACCTCGTGGGCTCATTTGGAGCTTACGGTGCATTCCATGATCTTTTTCCAGCTAATTCAGGCTTTAAATTGTGTTATCAAATTTCTTTGCACTCAGGTTCGCCACATTCCGTTCGATTACTAATTCCGCGCGCGCGGTGCGCCTAATTCCCGTGTCCCCCAATAATACTACTCAATAATAGCGCGGGACAGGTGAAAATGGGTTGACGACAGCCTGGGGGGACCCCATTCCCACAGCCACAAGAATCGACCGGAAATGGGGCGGCTTTCGCAGATTTCTTGGCATTTATGCATTTGGAAATCTAGCACTCTCTCTCTCTCGCTATATATATCTCTCCCTCTCTCTCGTTCACTCTCTCTGTCTCTCTCGCTTTTTCTTTCTCAGTCGCTCTCTAGCTCTTTAACGCTCGCGCTGTCTCCCGCTCTCTCGATGTCTCTCATTCTCGCGCTCTCTCGCTGGCTCTCTCTCTCGCGAGCATCGCAAAAAATCTGGCAGCCAAAATGCTGTTTAAAAGGCAGTCCCATTGAAATTAGCCGGAACGATATGTCGGAATTTTGGCCGTCGGGATTATGCCAGCAATTCGTTTTTTCGATTTCCATAACATAACAAATGACGCCGGCAGTGCGCGTATTTCATCACTTCTTGCTTTGCCTCGTAATTCGGTTGAGACCAAAATGAGTCTCGGCCCCGCAGCTCCAGTCGTTACTAGTAAGAAGACGAGGAAACCGTTAAGCCATTCGAAAAGCCGTGGCGCGACCCCCAGTGAGAGACAGAGGGAGACAGACACGCCCACATTCAGAAGCTCACAGCAGACCCCTGGGCCAGTGGCTCGTCATCTGAACCAAACGGCCATCGATCGGGAGGGGAGGATGTGGAAGATTGCGGCTCTTCATCGATCGCTCTTGCTCCCGCCCTCCTCTCTCTCTCTCTCTCTCTCTCTCTCTCTCTCTCTCTCTCTCTCTCTCTCTCTCTCTTTCTCTCTCTACCTGATCGCCTCTCTCGCTCTCGCTCCTCTTCCTTTACCTCCCCCTCGCTACGGTATGCGAAAGTCCCAAAATCGACCACCCCTAGTCGACTAGCTCTCGACAACTACCATAACGGTTTCCATACGTCATTTGGAACCCCGCGTAGCTGTCGAGACCTAGCATGGGAGCGGCGTGTGATCCTCGGGCTTCCGGCGTCTTTAAAGTTACTAGGAAGGCAGGGAAAGCAGGGTTCGTCAGTGGGTAACCTCCCAGGTTCCGCTTTCTAGTCGGCCCTTGAACCAGCATGATCGATAGAGATATGGATTTTTGCCTTCACAGTCCCTTTAAAAGCAGCTAGCTTTGAACGCCTTGAGCGTTGGGAAATATCCGATTTTTCACTTTTCCAGTTTTTGCACGTCTTATTCTATTTTTCTCATTTCTAGTTTTCGATATTTTCAATTTATGGAGTTTGGGCTAGAGCTCATCTTTCCTCCGTCTGCACCTCGTGGGTTTGTGACAAACCAACAATTTAGAATTTGTCTCGAGCGAGATGTGGATAAGAAACTCGATTCGATAATCCCGATTAATACATTACGATGGGAAATATCCGCTCGAAACGGAAGACCGACCCTCATCTCAACGATGCCAATTTTGACCCGGACGAGAAATGGTCAAATTTGTATCGGTGAGCTGTCTTGGGCGTCTTTTCAAGAATTTTTTTTAGGGAACGCGAGAAGAACCATCTCTACAAATGGGTCGGCACAAGGAAAGGTATAGTTCGGAAATTACGTTTTAGGGGATTTAGCTGGATTTTGAATTATGGATTTCTGACCGCTACATACAACGAAATTATCTTTCTCTCTTGCTCTCTCTCTATCTCTCTCGCTCTCCCACTTGCTCTTTCTCTAATTGTAGCGATTTACAAGATTTCGGCGCAGTTTTCGATATTTTTTGGTGACATCTTCCCTCAAAAACGCCCTAAAAGCGACACATCTCGGAGCCATTTTTCGTGAATTCCGTCACTCTATGTTTCCTGTCATCAATTATTAATCCAACCCCAAAAACTTTCGCAAACCCAGCGCCAAAGTACGGTAATTGGATTCGTGGGGGCCCGGGCTTGTCGCGCCTTCGTTTCCATAGGAATGCTTTGGAATCAGGGCCGGCCGCTGGGGGTCGATGGCTTGGCCGGGGGTCTGGTGGGAGAATTTTCCGCAAAAATCCACCCGGGACCGGGCGCAAGATTTTCGAATCGGATTCAGTTTTTGAAAACGAGGAGAGACCGAGAGAGAGAGAGAGAGAGAGGGAAAACTAAAAATACAAATACAACTTTTAGGGGGCGAGCTGATCACCGTGTTCGAGCGGGATGGAGAGGATGGAGTGTTGAGGTGTTTTGGACGTTTTAAAGGACCTAGAACGTGCCAGAATAGACCCGTCGTTTCGATTAGGTCTCGAGGGCCACGTATTGCTCCAAATGACGCGAATTCAAGTGTTCAAGCGTCATTTGGTGTAGCACGTAGCTGTCGAGACCTAGTCGAAGGGGCGGTCGAATATGACGATTCCAAGCCTTCTAAAGGCCCCAGGAAGCGAGGACCGATATACGATTTCGAGTTTCCGCAATTTTTTTCAAATTGTTTCCGCAATTTTTTCAATTCAAGTTTCAAGTCAGTCAAACATGCTAGTATGCTCAAAACTACCTCAAAATCACATAAAAAACCAAAACCCGACCTTCCCCGCCAGGTTCGCCGACGAGAAGATGATCTCGATGCTGTACAACGAGGGCGAGCTGGCCCAAGCCATCAAGCGCCAAGACTACGAGAAGTGGAAGAAGGGAGTGGTGGGTGTGACGCTACACTTTTAGAAGATGTCGTGGATCCGGAGGTTTTCTAAGGTCTAGAATCGTTTTAGAACGTCTCCCTGGGCCTGTCCGAAGAGGGTGAACTGCTCCAACTTCTCCGGGGTGATGAGTTCCCTAATCACGATGCGTTGTGGCGGCTGAACAAGCGAGGGGTCGGTACAAAATCTTAATAGTGAATTTTTCAAAAAGTTATACCGTAGAAATCAAGGAGATTTTATTTATACCTCACCAGGTCGATGGCGAAAACGTTGTTCATCTACTGCTCAATCGAGAGCAGCCCGTTTGCTACGAGATCGGGAGAATATTGCTGAAACGATTCCCGGGGATGACTAACGATATGTATATGGGGGATGAACATTTTGGTGAGTTTTTAACTTGGTTTCTCTCGCACTCTCTCTCTCTGTGGGTCTCTCTCTCTCTCTCTCCCTTGCTACCCAAAGCGGTATTTTTCGATTTTCCTCCCCGAAAGGCTACAAATTTCGCTCGGCACCACATGGCTTTTCGCTGAAAATCCAAGACATGGAATGGGCCCCGACACCGGGGACCACAACCAATTTTCCCACCCGGAATTAATTGGGACCGGGCGGAGAGGAGAGAAAGTTAGAGGGAGAGAGAGAGAGAGAGAGAGAGAGAGAGAGAGAGAGAGAGAGAGGGGGCTGGAAAGATAATTCAATCCAACGGAAAGAAAGGGGAGGACTCTAAAGCTTTCCTCGTGCTTTTTTGACTCACTTTATTGCAAAAGTGACGTGATTCCAGTAAAAAACTAGACCAAAAATAGTCTTAAAAAATCTCCGCAACAAGAGAATTCAGTAAGCATTACCTTAAAATCGCTTAAACTCTTTTTCTTTGAGCTTAAAAAGAGTGGGAGAGCGAGTGAGATAAGAGTGAGAAATTTTGCGCGCCTAATTTCATAAAATTCTGATACGAAAACACGTCACATGCGCATAAAAAAGCCAAGTTTATCCTTACAGAAGTGTCGTTTCCCAGTTCCTTTAAAAGCGGTAGGCTAGCGGTCGCGTTGCGGACTTGTTACGATCGCGTTCGGCGTCGGTCAGCAGCCTGGGACGTCATGACGTTATCTGGCATACTTCAAAAAGAATTTTCGAGACAAGTAGGAATAGAAAAATAGCTTTTTAGAGGATATCTAGCTACCGTAGCCATAGACTCGGCTACCGTATCCCCGGGTATCTCTCTGGAAAGAGAGGAGATAATGGGATGGGTAGGCTGGAGTAGGCGTGGCCTTCTGGACCCTCATTAGGGCCCTAATTGGGCCCATGCGGGTGATCTTTTCTAGCAGATAGAGTGAGACAGAGAGAGAGAGGGAGAGAGACAGAGAGGGTGAGAGCAAAAGAAAGAGAGAGAGAGAGAGAGAGAGAGAGAGAGAGAGAGAGAGAGAGAGAGAGAGTGAGAGAGAGAAAGTGAGAGAGAGACAATGAAAGAAAGAGAGAGAGATAGACGAAACTCGAAGAAGTATCACCATCTCCTAGGCATTCTTTTCAGGCCAAACAGCCCTCCACCTAGCCATCGTTCATGACGACCATGAGACGGTACAACTACTGCTGTCCAACAAGGCGGATGTAATGGCGAGGGCACGGGGCAACTTCTTCTTGCCGGAGGACTGGAAGAAAACCGGCGAGATTGTCGATTACCAAGGTAATTTCGGAAATATTGGCTGTTTATCGCACTAATGATGGCTTTGGAAAAAGCGCTGGATCCGCTTTGCCCCAAAATACGCATTAAATAACACAAAAAAACCCATTATTTTCCATCAAGTCATATTTCGGCGGGCAACTCCAAATGGCAGGGGAGCGTGGAGCGTACGCGTCGCAATCATTGCGATACGTTGCGCCGCGTACGCATCGTGTTCCTTTGCGATACGTCGTGCTGCGGACGCGTCACGTAGCGTGGCGTTGTACTGTGTAGGCGTCGCGTTCGATTGCGATGCGTTGCGCTGCGTACGCGTCGGGTTCCATTGCGATACGTCGTGCTGCGGACGCGTGGCGTTCCATCGCGTTATATCGCACTGCGGAGGCGTCGCGGTACGTTGCGCCGCGTACGCGTGGCGGTACGTTACATAGCGATACGCTGCGCAGCTTACGCTCATTTCCTCAGGCTACGCTTACTACGGTGAGTACCCACTCGCATTTGCCGCCTGCTTCGGCAACAAGGACATCTATGATATGTTGATCCAGGTGAGGGTTCGCTTGGTAGTACGGTAACTTTGCCATATTTTAGCACGGCGCCGACCCAAACAAGCAGGACTCGTTCGGGAATTCGATTCTGCACATGTGCGTCATCAACTACAGCAGCGTACGTTTCGTTAGCTATTTTAAAGGGACCGGGAAGTCCCAGAATCGACCCTTCGAAGGACTAGATCTCGACAGCCATGCACTGCGCTCAATCCCGGGCAAAAATTGCCCGATTCTGTGTATTGTGGCTTAAAGCGTAGCTGTCGATAGCCAGTTGATGGCAGGGGTCGATTTTCGCGCTTTCTGGTTCTTTTAAACGGATTGGTAAATGTCAGAGTCAACCCTTTTGTAAGACTAGATCCCGAAAACTACGCATTGTACTAGCTAACAAGCGAAAACTACTATAGATTCCGCGTACTTTGCCGTAAAGCGTAGCTGTCGATACAAGTTGGCGGCAGGGGTCGATTTTGGCACTGCTGGTGCTTTTAAAGGGACACACAAGGCATGGTTATGGATTTTTATGGCGATGGCTTTTCCCAGGATTTCGACTCGTAATCGATTAAAACCCGTTTTTGCGGTCATTTCGCGGTCATTGCGTGTCGCGACCCCACCCAAGTCCAGAGAGAATCCATACCCAATAAATCAATAAATGTGCCTTGCCGCTCCCCTTAAAACGGTAAAAATGGCGTTTTTAGTCAATGTACTCGTACGCCGTACGCCACTGGGCCAAACCCGCGGATCCAAATGTGCATAATCACGCCGGGTACACGCCGCTGACGCTCGCCACAAAGTTGGGCCGCAAGCAGATCTTTGACGAAATGTTGGAGCTGATGAAAGTGGTCGGTTACGCTACTTTCTATGGGTTTTCCTGCTCCCTTAATCCGACTAACAAGGCTGGAATCCCTAGGCAAGCTAGCAAAAATCCTTCAGGAATTCTGGCGCTTCTCGGACATGACGTGCTCGGCTTATCCGCTGTCGGCGCTCGACACTATTCGACCCGACGGATCGACGAGTAGGTTTTAAAGGGTTGTCGAAGGCTAAAATAAGAGAGAGAGAGAGAGAGAGAGAGAGGGGCGAGCGAGAGAGGGTGAGAAGGATATTGAGATAATCGGATAGAGAGAGCGTGCGAGAGAGTGAGAGAGCGAGGGAGAGCGCCAGAGAGAGAGACAGAGCGAGAGCGAGAGAAATATTTTATTTCGACTCTATTAATGTGAAAAACGATATGTTTGTGTGATTTTCTTAAAAGTTACGTTTCTTGGTTTCATAGCTACAATAATGATAAAAAAAAACCAATTGGAAATTTTTGCAGACTACGACTCGGCCCTGATGACGGTCATCAACGGGACGACGACAGAACATTTGGACATGATCGGCAGTGAGGTCATTCAGCGTCTTTTGATGGACAAATGGAAGGCTTTTGCGCAGGTATTGCCTCGCATTTTGGGTTTTTCGAAAAAAAAAACGAAACCTTTAATTCCAGCGAAAAATGTGGGAGCGTCTTGCGCTGCTAGGAGTTCATTTGGTGTGCCTCTGCTTGGTCGTCTACTTACGGCCCGCCCAGACGGAGAGGTTATACATGGAGGACCCGAAATGGGATGATTACGTGAGTGTTTAGGGGGTCGAAAAACCCGTTCGTTAAAAGGTTTAGTTTTTTGGGCCTAGGCTAAGGCTTGGGCTTGGAGCTCGCCTAGGCTTAGGCTTCGCTTAGGCTTCGGCTTAGAATTAGGCTTAGGCTTCGCTTAGATTTGGCTTGGCCTTACTTTAGCCTTAGGCTTCGCTTCCGCGTAGGCTTTTGCTTAGGCTTAGGCTTACTTTAAGCTTCAGCAGAGGCTTGTGCTTAGGCTTAGGCTTATACTTGGGCTTAAGCTTGGCTTGGGTTGGCGCTTGCTTAGGCTTAGGCTTCGCTTAAGCTTGGGTCTCGTCACTTCGCTTAGGTCTTGCTTAGGCTCAGGCTCACTTTAAGCCTCAGCAGAGGCTTGTGCTTGGGCTTAGGCTTAGACTTCGGTTACGTTACATTTAGGCTCGGGCTTAGGATTGGCGTTAGGCTTAGGCTTAAACTTCGCTTAGGTCTTGCTTAGGCTTAGGTTTTGCTTAGGCTTGGGGTTCGCTTTGGCCTAGGCTTGGGCTTAGGCTTTCTGAGCCCGGCTTCATTCAAGGACTTCCCTTTCTAAAATGTCGGCAAAATATCTTTAGGTGCGTACCGTCTTCGAAATTCTAACCGTCATCTCGTGCATCGTCTTCGTCTTTTTCCAACAATTCAGCGAGCTTCGGCAGCAGGGTTTCTACAGTTATCTGCGGAATTTGGTGAGTTCCGGAATCCAGAATAAGCTTGAGTTATCCTATTTTTTTCCCGTGTTAGATCGATTGCGAGAGGGAAATCCAACGAGGGCACCAATTGACGCCATTTATTTACAGTATTTTTTAAGATAACTGCCCCCGCCAAGGTGATCTTCTTGGCGGCAAATGTCTGCTTGTTGCTGTGTGTTCCCTGCAGGTAATTCCAACCTTCAATGGTCCTTTAAAAAAACCATTTTCACAGGATGCTGCGTAAGCACGAGTTCGAGGAGGCGCTCTTCGTCTTTGCGCTACCGGGAAGTTGGATATTTTTGCTGTTTTTCGCAAGGTGGGTGAAATTGGGCGGATCATCCTGGAATACCGTAACCTCCGGTGCAAACTTTTAAAAAAGTCGTTTTTGCCTAAAAAAGGTGCCGGAAGAAACCTAAGCGTTTTTGAATTGCCTGCGTCACCAATTAACGGCGTATCAGATATTTACGGACACCGGAAAGTGCGAGTTTCGGCCCCTCGCTTCGGCTAGGTCTCGACAGTTAAGCGCCACTCCAAAACTTGCGTAAAATCTCGGTTTTAATTTTTAAAGTTAAAGTTTTTTAGTAAAGTGTATTTTAGTAGTATGGTGTTAGCTTGATAAATGATCAAGGTAACGTAATTTTGGCATGTTGCATATTTGTCGAGATCCAGTCGACGCAGGGATCGATGCTGGGATTTCGCAGCAGCTTTAAAGGGAAAATGTCACGTAAAATATTCTATCAATGGCGAGTAATAATAGATGGCCAACAATTGTCAAGCTCGCTAAGCATGTCACGTAGCTGTCGAGACCTAGTCAAAGCAAGGGGTAGATTTTTGTGTTTTAGCCCCTTTAAAGGAAGCAGGAAGGCTGGCTTTACCGCTTGAAATCCCTAGCCTGATTTAAAATCCATTTTTCAGGAGCTTGAAGCTTACGGGTCCATTTGTACAGATGATCTACAGTATGATTGCCGGAGACATGATCCGGTTTGCCATTATTAGCGCCATCTTCTTGGTGTCCTTCTCGCAGGGTAGGTTGCAGAATTTGTGGCTCATTTTCGGTCCGCTTTAGTGTTCTACTTCGTCGGGAAAGACATGGGGGCCAAGCAGAAGCTGGCTGATGACAATATTGACCACTGTGAAGTACAGGGGTATACCATCTACACGTACAACAACTTCCTCGAGACGTTCATCACCCTGTTTAGGGCTAGTATGGGTGGATATGATGTGGGTTTGGAAAGAGTGAGAGAAAGAGAGAGAGAGAGAGAGAGAGAGAGAGAGAGAGAGAGAGGGAGATAGAGAGAGAAAAACGCGAGAGCGAGAGAAAGAGTGATAGAGAGCGAGAGAGAAAAGAGAGAGAGCGAGAGAAAGAGTGAGAGAGAGCGAGAGAGAAAAGAGAGAGACAAATAGAGAGAGAGAGACCGCGAGAGTGAAAAAGAGCGAGCGAGATATATCCTTCTAAAGAGAGCTAGTGAGAAAGATAGTCATAAAGAGAGAGCGAGAGAGCGAGAGCGAGAGAGATCGATATAAAGCGTGATACAGGGCGAGAGAGGGCGCGAGAAAGAGAGAGTGAGAGAGTAAGTGAGAGTGAGAGAGGGAGAGAGAGAGAGATAGAGAGAGAGAGAGTGAGAGAGAGAAAAATCACTTGATTCCTGATTCCAGTACGAAGAATTCGCGTGTGCCAACTACGAGGCCCTGACGAAGACGTTGTTCGTGCTGTACATGTTCGTGATGCCGATCATGATGATCAACATCCTCATCGCTATGATGGGAAATACTTACACCACTGTCATCGCACAGGCCGAGAAAGCCTGGAGGCAACAGGTAAGACGCCGAGAAAGCGTAGTGGTTTTAAAGGGGCGGACAAGGTATGGCTATGGCGAACCTACGGGATTAGCCGGGCCCGCGAGACGCAACGCGTGTGCCGCGAGGCTACCGCAATACTGTTTTGAGCCCTTACGCATCTTGCGAGCCTGTCGCATTTTGTGGCGTCTCGCGTAGCGTCGGGGAAAACCCGCTAGCATTGTGGTAATCAAAGCTACTTGGCAGCATCCGCGACGTGCGACGCACACGCAACGCGCGCACCGCTTCATGCCTAGAATCGATTATGCAATGGATCGCAGAATTGTCGACGGAAGCGTTGCGTGTCGCCCGGATATCCACACGTTTACCGGATCAGTACCTTTCAGTACGCCCAAATCGTGATGGTCCTGGAGCGATCGGTGAATCGAGAGCGGCTGGCAGCTTGCCAACTGGAATATTCCATCAAACTCAACGAGGCCAACGATACGGGCGAAGAGATTAGAGGTTGATTTCTGAGAAAAAAATATGCTTTTGATTCTGGACTGTCAGGGGGGGGGGGGCGAACATTTTTTTCCGGGAGATTCACTACGGTCTTATAACGCAATATAAACCAGTTTTAAGGCGTTTTAAATAATTTTTAGAAGCAAAATCAACATTAAAAATTAAAGCAATTTTTGGAAACTTTTTGCCTTAGTCAAAAATGCCGGAAAATACCAAAAATGGTTAACATTTTTTTTGAGATATTTTTTGTCATTTTCTATCAATGAAAATATCATAAAAACATTATAAAACTGTTTTGAGATATTAAAGCAATTTTTGGAAACTTTTTGCCTTAGTCAAAAATGCCGGAAAATACCAAAAATGGTTAACATTTTTTTTGAGATATTTTTTGTCATTTTCTATCAATGAAAATATCATAAAAACATTATAAAACTGTTCTAACAGGCGTAGGTCTAAAAACAAAACGTGTTTTTGTGTGTTAAAAATACCCCCCGCCTGCTAACAGAACAGAACCGTAGTTTTTCTGCCGAAAACGTGACTTTTACCATCCTATGGGCCTTAGATAGCACATATAAGTGGCCCTTTTAGGTCTTATGGTCATCAAGCAGACCAAAAAGACACGCGCCAAGCAGCGGAAGCAGGCCATCAACAACTGGAAGAATATAGGCCGTAAGGTGAGCTATTTTTCAGCATTAGCATTATTTTTAGTATTTTTTTATCTAATCTTTTTTTAAATCGATTAACGCAATTTTTCTAGGTAATTCACACGATCGAAAAAGTGGGTGTGGAACATGCGATTATACTACTGCACGGCCACGATCGACTGATGGAGGAGGAGAGGGTGCCGAGCCGGAATCGGACGCCGACAAGGTAAGAAGAGTGGGTTAAGGAACTCTGCTAGCTTGCCCACACTCTCGTGTTTTTCTCTCTCACCCTCGCCTACTCTCTCTCGCTCTCTCTCTCTCTCGCTCTCTCTCACTCACTCCTGTCTCTCTGAAGACGCCTTTGTCGTTCGCTCTCTTTTTCTTTCAAGCCGTCTCTCTCGCCCTCTTACCCACTTCCACTCTAACGCTCGTGCTCACTTCCCCTCGCTCACTTCCTCGTTATTGTCAGAATTCTCCATGACTTGCAAGCCAGCCTCGCTCATCCGCTCTCTCTCATGCCCACATCCCGCCGTTCTCGCGCTCAGCCTCCTTCGACCTCTCTATGTCTCTTAAGCTAGCTCTCTCACTCGCTCTTCTCTCACTCACTCTCTCGCTTTTTCTTGCTCTCACTCTCTCACTCTCACTCTATCTCTCGCATTCATATCCTATCCCTCAACCCCGCCTCTCTCCTTTTCTCTCTCTCTCTCTCTCTCTCTCTCTCTCACTCTCTCTCTATGGCTCTCACTCTCTCACTCCGACACTCCGGCTCTCTCTCACTCTCTCGCTCGCTCTCTCTCTCTCACTCACTCACTCTATCACTCTCTCCCTCCCTCTCTCTCTCTCTCTCTCTCTCTCTCTCTCTCTCTCTCTCTCTCTCTCTGGCTATCTGTTTCAGCCTGTCTCGCTTTCTCGCAAGCTCTTTCGCTCTCACACTAAATAGCTCATTACTCACTCTCTCTCTCACTCTCACTTTCTCTCCATCTCCCAATTCTAGGCTAACCACCGGCCGTGCCCGTCCCCGTACAACCCTGAGCCGTGGCTACTCCCAGCGTGCCCATACCCCGTTCGAGATGGCCGAGGTGGTGACGGAGACTGCCCGTTTCCAAGAGGTCCGATTGGGGACGGCTTCAAGAAGTCCAAACGAGGCGTCAACCTCTTCCCTTCAGGTATCCCCCACCCCATCAGCCTCTCTCCACCATCATCCACATCCATCCGAAGAAACCCTCACCGTCCCAATGCCCCCGCAACACCCACAATCCGTAGGCCCCAAAAAGCAACAAATTATTTTTTTATTTTGGCATGACCTTTTCGAGTTGCTTTTTTATGAGTTGCGGTTTTAGTTTGCGCTTTGATTCAGGGGTTTTTTTTGAAAAGGGTGTGGCGATAGCCAGTAAACGTAGTCACTGGAAGAAACTGAGGAGCTAGAGAGTGAGAGAGAGAGAGAGATATATGGAGATTGAGGGCGAGAGAGAGCAAGAGAGATAAAACGAGAGATAGATTGAGAGCGAGAGAGCGAGAGTGAGAGTGAGAGAGACAAGAAGAGAAAGCGAGTGCTTGAGAGAAGCTGATCGAATACCTTCCCCCCTGGATTTCTGGTCGTCTCTTTCCTGGCCGTTTTTATTTTACTTTGTTACCTTATTTTTCAAAACATAAAATCACCGGAAAACGATTTATTTAGCCGGGCGGCGCCGAGTGGCAGCAGATCAAGCAGCAATCGGCGGATATCGAGGATCGACCGCCACGCGTCATCCAAAGGCATATGTCGATCGCGATGCAGGAGTTGCACATACAGCAGCAACGGGTAAGTCTCTCTCTATCTCGCTCACTCACTCTCTCTCTCTCTCAATCTCTCTCTCACTCTATCTCTCTATCCTATCTCGTCCACTCTCGCCCTCTCTCGCTCTATCTCTCTCCTATCTCTCCCAATCCCGCTCTCTCTCTCTCTCTCTTTTCTCTCTCGCTTTCTCTCTCCCTCCCAATCCCTCTCCATTTCAGGTTCGAGTCCGTGGGGCAGAGATGGTCCCATCAGTCGATGTCCCCAATATGCCATCATTTTCCGGCCCTCATCGGTAATGCGTGCTGGGGTGTATTCTGGAATGCTGTTTCCCCTCCCCTGCATCCCCACCACCAGGTCATCCACGCACCAATGGTAGTTGCACCGACAATTAACTGTTAAATGTGTTTCCAGGGTTCAAGTTTTAAGTGCTGAGCATCCAGCTTTTTTATTAAAAATAAGCAATTATTCGAAAATACTTGCCATGCTTAGGCTTAGGCTTAGGCTTAGGCTCAGGCTTGGATCTAGGCCCAGGCTTAGGTTCAGGCGTAGGCGTCGGCTGGGGCTTAGGCTTAGGCTGAGGCTTAGGGTTAGGCTGGGTTTAGGCTTAGGCTTAGGCTGAGGCTTGGGATTAAGTTTAGGCTTGGGTTTCGACTTGGACTAGGGTTAGGCTTAGGCGTCGGCTTGGGTTTAGGCTTAGGTTTCAGACTAGGCTGCTTAGGCTTAGAGTCGACAAAATTAGGCTTAGATTGGAACTCAAGCTAGGACTCAGGCTTGCGCTTACGCACGTTTCTGGGACAGACAGGCTGGCTTCGTTTTTACCCTTCAAAAAACTTCAAAAATCTACAAGCTTAGAGGCACGGTTTTGCGCGTAGCTAGGAGCCACGTTTTTGGCTACGCGTGACTACGCATTTGCAGATTTTGCGCAATCTTAGGTTTAGCTCAGGCATTCCATATTCGGCACCGATCATCACCCTGTCCCGTCCACACTCCCTTCGTTCCGTGAATTTCATGGCGTAACCGGTTAATCCCTCCCATTCCAGCGCCATCTCCCCAAAAATTCGCACCGACATGTTCCGGAAGAAGGACTCGCCCGGGTCTGGAGGATCGAAATAACCCATTAAACTATTGTTTTCCACTATTTAGCGCAACAAATTTTCTTACGTTTTAACAACCCAATTTCCCTCCAAAACTCAAAGCAATAATCACCCAATTCAGACCACCAGCCCTTTTTGATTCGATCCAGATTTTATTCGTTGCATTCTGTTTTGTATTATGTATTTGTCTTGGATGTTCTTGGCATTTTGCCTCCCGACGGAACATTTATATAATCGCAATTGACATTGGCACGGGAAGACACACGAGAATGGGCGACAGCGAGTAAGAGATACGACAAGGTAAGACTAAGCTGCGGCAGGCTGGTCTCTGGGCTCTACTCGCGGAACGGCTGCGCCATCTTCTTCGAGCATGATCGGCATCCCGGTGGCTCTAAAATGACTAGTTAGGTCTCGATTATTGTTTTCTTACGCTTGTATTGGGCTCGCAGCTGCGATGACGCTTCGCGTCGTCGCAGACGTCTGTGTCTCGCGAGCTCCTGAAATCGCGAGGATAAATAATTGAGTCCATGGTGGCCTACTTCAACTGGATGTAGTGGGTGCTGCAAACATGGGCGTGCTCGTAGCGGCGGGGGCGCTTCAGTTCCAGGCAGCAAACCGTACAAATACGGCCGCTGCGCAGGAGAGAGTGATGCGCCTCCCGGCGCAGAAGGTATAGCAGGTCCGGGTGGTAGAGGCCCTGAAAAGTAAAATAGGGAGGGTTTAGGGGAGCCGGGGAAGCCTTTAAAGGGCACGTTCAGGGACGTTTTTTGGAAAAAAGCAAAGATTTTTGCCGCGGCCGAGGGGCGAACCCGGGGCCCCCGTTACGCTCGCCCATGGATACCAGTCAGCCACAGATACAACCTGGCGGGGGTTGGGGGGCACCCCACGCCGCAAAGGAGGGAAATTGCCTGCTACGGCACGGGCAGGCAGTGCGCGCGGTCCCTACGTCCATGGGGTGTCGACGTTGGGACGAATATACGGCCCCACCCTGAACGTGCGCTTTAAATACATGCCTTTCTCGCGAACGTGATGACTCATCCGGTTGAATTAGCGAGGGCTTGCTGCGGCACCCCATCGAATCCTGCGATCTTCAATATGACATCATCCGGCTAAAACAGTCCTGCGCGGGTCGGTAGCCGTGCAAACCAGCAGGTAGTCGGCCCAGGGGCTTCCCGGGTCAATGCCAATGACGATGCCTTGCATGTTGATGGTGAGACCCGTGCCATCTCCAAATGCGCAGGCATACAAGATGCAATAGGAATGGCCGAGCAGGAAATCCTGAAATGAATGGAATAGAGCGTAAACAGAAATCAAGTTGATTTTTTCGATTTTTGACGACTCACTAAAAATTTTTGAAGTTTTTGGAAAGAGTAGAATACTTTGATGACGAAAATGATGGCACTTTTGAAGAGTTAGGGAGACATGAAGGGTAAATGAAGCTCTCAGAATGCGCTATTAAACGCGTGGTAAAGAATTTCGATCCGTTTAACTAGCCGTCAATAGGAACATTCCGAAAATCGGGACTGCATGAGAAATTTGACTTTCCAATAGCTCGGGTCTTTCGGATTCCTCCCCTCCCCCGACCAAACTCGCCAGTGCAACTGGTAAGAATCAGGAAATTTCTATTTTTGACATTCTGCAAATTAGCTCTCCGACGTCCCAAAATTTAGTAAAACCGGCTTTAACTTTGTAAACTTGTATTTTATCACGATTCTGAAACGCCATCGGAAAGAGGAGGGTCGATTCGCCCCTCAACTCACAGTCCTTCCGAGGAAAACGCCCCGATCCTTGTCCGTCTCCACGTCGTCGTGTGTGTCCGACGACGACTTGTCCCCAACTGAGGTGGTTCACGGACGGGGTACGAGCCGACGTGGTGCCCTGATCACCCGGAACAGCCTGGAAAACAGATGCTTTGTAAGATAACTTCACTCCAAAATTCCCCAGGACGCCCTGCTAGCTCGCCCGTTTTTTTACAGGGTGGCCCGAAAGAGTGGTGACCGAAACTTTTTCGATTTTCTGAAAAACTATAGATCGAGGAAAGCTCATTTTAGCACATTATATTTCTTAAACAATTATCTTCCACATGGTATAACCATTTTTTTATTTGTTTGCCTCAAACTCGGAAAAAACTGGCGCGGAAGCGGATGGAAAACTGAGGTGCTGGCACGCAGACACTCAGCCCGAATTTGGCTCATAACTCGATGAAGACTTTCGCGAGCGAACCCAAAATTCAATCGGGAGTAGCCAACACTTTGGCCTTTCAGACCGGCTACACAAAAAAATTTTGCGGGTTCGGGTTGGGGCTGCAGGATCGCTCTTTTGGCGAGCAAAAAACGGTTTGGTCAAAACCCTTAATAACGGGCCTCAGTCACTTGACCAAGTTGGAGGGTTCTGAGCCATAGCTGCACCACGAGCTTCACCGGAAACGTCAGGCACGCTCGTTAAAGAGATGGAAAAGACATCGTTAAGTATTTTCTTCCACAGGAATTTATTTTAGATTTTGTCGATTTCAAAAAATCCATGACTTTGAATTATGGAATTAAATTCCTAATGTAAAAGCTAGACTGCGTTGTGCGCTGAGCGTATGCTCAAATTTAGCCAACATCTATAGGAAACAGAATCCATAACACCGCCTTGCCCAAACCCATAAGGGAACAGAGAAATTCTGTGTGCAAGCTGCGGTCACCACTCTTTCGGGCCACCCTGTAATATTCCTCAAATAACGCTGCTAGTTTTGTTTCTAACTAACCTTGGGAGTACTCTTGACCGTGATGTCGAGGTCGGGCGGCGGGGTACGAGCCGTGGGGGTGGCACAAACACTCGAAGTACCCTGGAAAACAGATGCTTTGTAAGATATAAAAATTCACTCCAAAATTCCCCAGGAATCCCTGCTAGCTCGCCCGTTTTTTTAATATTCCTCAAATAACGCTGCTAGTTTTATTTCTAACTAACCTTGGGAGTACCCTTGACCGTCATGTCGAGGTCGTGCGGCGGGGTACGAGCCGTGGCGGTGGCACAATCATTGGAAGTACCCTGGAAAACAGATGCTTTGTAAGATATAAAAATTCACTCCAACATTCCCCAGGAATCTCTGCTATGCGCCTATGCCCTTACGCGCATACGAGATTTGCGCCTAACGACATTTGCGCCCGATGCATTTGCGCGCAACGACCATTGCGCTCTATGGGGGCAAGCCAACATAGGGAGAGAGGAAAGGCTAACAGAAAGTAGAGATAAAATAGTTGTTTTCATAGGTTTTCTGGTGTTATCATGGTACAGTTCGACCTGCTATGCCATAAATTACCGGCTGAGTCAGGTGATTTCGGCCTGCTAGGGCATTCTTTGACTCGAACAGCTTCTAAAGCAGCTTTTCCACTATTTGTAACCCAGTTTCTTGTCTCTACATAAGAACGATCCGAATATGCATTTCTAATGTGAGAAAGGTACAAGACTCGCCATGGAAATGTTGTTTAGAGTCATTTTCTGACTGCCTGGAAAATCCATGACCCGGAAATGACGGTTTTTCTCGACGTTTTGACCTCCAAACACTGTTTTATAACAAGTCTTTAGTGCTCGTAACGCAAATGCTTTCGCGCATATGGTTTCGGCGCAATTGCATGAGCGCAAATGTCGTTAGGCGCAAATGCTAAAAAGTTGATAATCGAGCCAAAAATCATGAGGTCGTGGTTGCTAAGGGTTCGTCGTTTTTAGCTCTTGGAGTTTAAAAATTTGCATAAATCCTCACAATAAATCCGTTGATATGAATTTGGGGGTAGGTATCCGGAAACTGATACTTTCCGGGCACCTTAAGGTCCAAGCCCGGTTTTGAGATCCAAAGTTGTTTCAAGAGGTCCGAGACGGGCTAGGGCGGGAAAGGGTTGCCACGAAACCGACCATGGCGCTGGCGTGTGGAAAATAGTTCGTTTTCAGAATCAGTTTGGATGTATGCCCATTTTGATCATGTAAATTTAGCCTTTCAAAAACGTGAGACGCACGGTTTGATGTCGAGAGAAAGATGACGCTAATTACCAACCCAGAAGCAAGCATCGGCCGGTTTTGCCATGGCAAAAAGAGGACCATGGCACTTTTGTAAATGACAAGAATCCACCTATTTCAGCAATGGTTCCATGCCCGAACACCGATCGAATTCATTCATTTCGCGTGCCGAACGGGCGCGCTTTTCCGGCGGACCTTGGCACGAGCGATACATTTTCCAAATCTGAAAATCGCCCGCAACCCAGTTAAGTTTTGGACCCTATTTTCAGCCCGCAAAATGGCCGGTACGGACCGACGCTTAATCCAAACTTTATGAAAACGCTCGCTACAGCAAATATTCCAGGTTTTAGCCAACAGTCTGTGTTCATGAAGTTCATGAAGTTATAGCTTAAAAACAAAAATATGATAGCATTCGGCCAGTACGGTAGACGCGCGAACTGGCTGCTACACATGTATGCCACCCAAATCGATTCACTATGTTACGTTTTACACAACGCACACTTCTGTGTTGCAAAAACCTGCGATTAAATCGATCATTTCACGGGAAAAAATACATTTATTCACCAAAAACACAAAATGGCTGCGGGAAAGTGCACAGAAAGAACCATAAAAAATACCCGAAATTTGGTGAGAACAGTAACGCACATTGGTCCGGAAAGTCAAGTAAAAGTACAGCAACACCCGTAAGAATCGAAATCTTTGGAGCCAGGGGCGAACTGGAATCTCGAGAACGCGAGGCAATTGTAGAGATTGTGAGACAAGATGAAAAATCGGCATTACTGACACCGAAAAACTAGCAAAAATATTCCTTGTTGGAGAGGGTGCTTTGGACGAGCGGCTCCTCGGACCGGGAACCCGAGCCCGAATACGGCTCGACGCCCTGTAAATAGGTTATAATTATTTCAAAGGTTCTTTTGACGTTTATTTAGCGCTCGCTTTGCTTTTGAAAGCAACAGTTTAATTACGCTACCGCAAAAAAGTCTACGTTTACCAGTGAAGACTCGACAATAATAGGCTTCACCTGCTATTAGCGACAAATAAGTAATGTATTCTGTTTCGATCCTAAAATCCGCGTCGAAACACCTTACCTCGTTGGTCTTGTAGACGCCCTCGGGCCGCGAGCGCATCCAGCAGACGAGTACGCACAGCGTCAGCAGCAACACACCACCCAGGCACGCGCCACCGATTGCTAAAATTGAGATTCAGGGGCGCACCGTAGCGTAGCGCAGCGTTTTGTTTGGTGCTCGCGCTCTCGCTGGCTAATAAGCGCACCAAATTCGTTCTAGAGATCCAGGAAATCCTTCTAAAGTAGTGGCAAGTATTTTTTATAGTAATTTTGATAAAATTAGAAATAGTTGTATCTATCAAGCTTTGCAAAGCCTTTGAAGATCCAAAATTTGGTCGAAAACTAAGTTTTTTCATTTTTTAATCAAAAATTTGTAATGTTTTACGCTTAGCAATAGAAATAAAACAGTTTAGCGCCGGCCTTTGCTATTTATATTTTAAAAAATTGGATGCTCCGGAAAAGATCTTGATTTGCAGAAAATTTGGCGATTTTCTCGATTTTGCGATTTTGAGACTCGTATTTTCGCTCGGAAATCCTGAGATAACCTTGATTTATCGGTTTCCAACTTACAAGTCAACGAGATGACGGCCGCCCGTCCACGGACCACCGACGAGATGGAGATCTCGTCGAACGGGGTGCTGCTCGGCTCGTCCGGCATCAGATCGCTGGAAAATGGCGCATCGAATTGGACGTAATGGCAAGGCTGCTCGTCAAAAACGTTGGAATACATGTATTTTCTCGACTTTTGTTTAGCCTAAAAGCTCCTTTTTCCTTAAAACCTACAGGCTGTTGATCGGGCACGTGCCAAACTTGATCTGGCCCGTGTACTTCAGCCGGGAAGCCCGCGCGTTTTTGAGGGGAAACGAGTTGCCGACGCGCAGGCGCGACACGCAGCCGGTGAAGTCTGAAAATCACCAAAAAGTCAGCGTAACGAACCTAAAAGTACAATAGGAGGTGAAAATGCTTCGTTGCCAACTTACTGTTATCGAGAAGATGCCACACGTTCAGCGCCTCGAAGAACGTCCAATTGCCCTGGAGCGTAAAGAGGTGCGCGTCGTCGAGACCGAGCCGAAGCCCGGTTTTGTTCGCGCACAGCTCGAGGTCGTGCAGCCGCTCGTCGTCAAGTTTTGTAGTCCTTTCCACGCGACGATACGTCGAGCGGACCCCGTCCCAGGCGTAGAGTGCGAGGTGGCCTAAAAACGTGGTATTTATAAAGATAACCTGGTGCTAATGTAGTTGGGGGGGGGCGGTCCGGAATTTATAGTAAGAAACCACAAGGCGATCCCCAAGCTACTTGGGTTTTTTAGCTTAAGCTTGGGCTGAACTCAGCTTTAACTAGGCTTAACTTAGCCTAAGCCCAAGCTAAGCTTATCTTGAGCTTTAAATTGCCTTGCAAGGTCAAAATTAAGTCATTCAGGGCTTAGCTTGATTCACGCTAAGCTTCGGCTTTGTTTTTATGAAGCCAAGCCTAGGCATAGGCTTAGCTTAGCTTTGCCAGAGGATTAGAGTTTAAAAAAAGACTTTTGGAGCGTCTTGTAGTCAAAATCCGGACGGCCCCGTCCCAAGCGCATTAGTGCCGATAACCTATGAGCCAAACCTTTTTCATCAATCGTCAAGTTGAATTGGGCCTTCGAAAAAAGGGCGTGGCCGTGGATCAGCGAGACGTTCGAGGACACCGTCTGAAAAACGGGGTTTTTAACCGTAAAAATAAAACTAGACAAAATAAAACTAACTTGCGCAACCTCGGGAGGCGGACAAATTTTTCATTAAAGGTGGCGATTGCCTTTCATTTTCCTTATTATTTTTTGCCTCGAGGATTGCACTAGCGAGGATTTTAACAGAGCGTTATATAAAATAAAGATAAAATTACCCTGAAAAACTACCCAAAAAATTGCGTAAAAATTTAAAAGTTGACAAAGTTTTTATTTTATTATTTTTGTAAACTTCTAATGCTATACAGATGTTTTACAATTTTCTGGACCCCCCCCCCCCTTAAAAGGAAAGAGAGGAAAAGAGATCTATTTACCTGAATGGCTATCCGATGGCAAACGTCCTGCTGGGCCGGGTTCTGCCAGGGGATCTCGAGGGACGAGTTCAGCGGCACCCACATACCGTATTCTAAAATCAACTATAATAATTTTCTTGACGCGTCCGTCTGTCCGTCTGTGTGAAGCCGAATTCAACTCGAAGGGGAAAGGAGCTAGAGCTTAGCTCTCTTCGGATTCGGATAGAGCGCCCTCAGAAACCCCTAAACTGATAAAAAAATTATGAAAAAGTTTTAGTTTAACTTATTAAAATTAACTTTGAAAGTTTTCTCCTTAGTAAAAGGGTGGGGGACGGAGGTTGGGCTGATTTTGGACATAGTGAGCCAGGTCGCGCGCGTTTCGTGGATGAAAATTTTCACGGGGGATTTCATTTCTTTTTTTCTCTAATTCCATCCGGTCGGTCGTTATTTTCGTTTTTTAAACGGGATTTTGGCTAGGGGAGGTATCTAAAGCCATCAGGAAGGTATTTAGGTAGTTTTTGAAGGGGATTTCAGCCATGGGGGGTATCTGTAGCCATCAGGAAGGTATTTAGGTAGTTTTTGAAGGGGATTTCAGCCATGGGGGGGTATCTGTAGCCATCAGGAAGGTATTTAGGTAGTTTTTGAAGGGGATTTCAGCCATGGGGGGTATCTGTAGCCATCAGGAAGGTATTTAGGTAGTTTTTGAAGGGGATTTCAGCCATGGGGGTATCTGTAGCCATCAGGAAGGTATTTAGGTAGTTTTTGAAGGGGATTTCAGCCATGGGGGGTATCTGAAGCCATCAGGAAGGTATCTAGGTAGTTTTTGAAGGGGATTTCAGCCATGGGGGGTATCTGAAGCCATCAGGAAGGTATTTAGGTAGTTTTTGAAGGGGATTTCAGCCATGGGGGGTATCTGAAGCCATCAGGAAGGTATTTAGGTAGTTTTTGAAGGGGATTTCAGCCATGGGGGGTATCTGAAGCCATCAGGAAGGTATCTAGGTAGTTTTTGAAGGGGATTTCAGCCATGGGGGGTATCTGAAGCCATCAGGAAGGTATCTAGGTAGTTTTTGAAGGGGATTTCAGCCATGGGGGGTATCTGAAGCCATCAGGAAGGTATCTAGGTAGTTTTTGAAGGGGATTTCAGCCATGGGGGGTATCTGAAGCCATCAGGAAGGTATCTAGGTAGTTTTTGAAGGGGATTTCAGCCATGGGGGGTATCTGAAGCCATCAGGAAGGTATCTAGGTAGTTTTTGAAGGGGATTTCAGCCATGGGGGGTATCTGAAGCCATCAGGAAGGTATCTAGGTAGTTTTTGAAGGGGATTTCAGCCATGGGGGTATCTGAAGCCATCAGGAAGGTATCTAGGTAGTTTTTGAAGGGGATTTCAGCCATGGGGGGTATCTGAAGCCATCAGGAAGGTATCTAGGTAGTTTTTGAAGGGGATTTCAGCCATGGGGGGTATCTGAAGCCATCAGGAAGGTATCTAGGTAGTTTTTGAACGGGATTTCGGCTATGGGGGGTATTGATGGAGGTGGGAAAGGATGTGGTAGAGTGGGACATGTAGGGTAGCCCGAAGCCCAGATGGTTGCAGTCGCGAAGCGACTGTAACCATCTGGTAAATAATAGTTATATGATCTTTCCATATTTACCCCGAGTACAGTCATTCCCTCCGAACGGCGTCAACGAACAGTCGCAGCGGTACGAGTCGAACCCATCGACGCATTGGCCGCCGTTGTGGCAGTAGCCCGGCTGGCAGTGGCCCACTTCGCCGATCTGAAACACGTTGGGTTGGTAAATAAAAATTTTGAATAAGAACTTTCAAAAAAGGGTACTGGACTGTTAGCGGGGGGCAGCTTTGTCAGATACATAAATGTTGCAAATAAAAACCTATTCTTATAGTGTTTTGAGTAGTTCCTGATGGATAGGGAATTACAAAAAATCCGCTACAAAAATTGAAAACACGAAAAGTTTGAATTGGCCATTTTTTGACAGATTTTCAGCAAGAAGTAAAAAATTTGTCGAATTTAAGTAGCGAACAATTCTCTCACCTGTATCCCCTGAATCGGCCCCTTCCGCGCAACATTGGCTAGCACGATCTCGTCTCCGCATAGGTAGATGTTCCGCAGCACGCCGGCCATTCCGGTGAGCCCCTTGCCCTCACGGGAGCCGAACACCCACTCGAGGACGCTGGGCAGCAGCAGCAGGCCCTTGTAGTGGGCCGTCGCGCCGTCGACGCTGAGCCGCATCTATAATGGCATGGTTGGGCATCCCCAATTGCCGCTTACCCCCAATTGGTCGGCTTCCCAATACACGGCATGCCATTTCCCGTCGTTGAACGCGTCGCGGGTCGTCAGCGTCACGGTCTCGCCCCCATTCACAACTTCGCCGACGAGTTGACCACCTAAATCCACATTAAGACCTCGAGGGGGCAACGCTTACCCTTGACGTAGAGCTGGAACCAGTGGAGCCCGTCGACGCTCTCCCAGGTGAAGATTGAGAGCAGCGGATGGGTGAAGCGGATGTGGAAAAGGAGTGAAAAGTGCTCGGATGGGGCACGGCTCTGCCCGACAAGTCGCGCGTTCTTCGAGATGAACGTGACGGGCTCGAAGACCACTTGAATCATGAATTAAATGAATAAGCGTGCCAAAAACCCACTTTTATTCCGGCATATCAACGGGCCAATCGTCACGTTGATTGCCGATGTGGCTGTGGTGCCGCCTAAGAATAGCGTGGTGACGGGCAGAATATGCGGAAACGGATTCCAGCCCGCGTCTACGCCATCTTCCCCCGAATCGCAGTTGCACATCCTAAAAGTAAGCGAGTAAAACGTACTATGGTACTTCAGGGAGAAATTTGGGCTCTAATCGATACCGATTGTGCGTGCACGTCGAGTTGACCGCGCAGCTGCACATTCGCGAATAGGGCGGGGCCTAAAAGCGTTTTTGTAATAGAATGACTAATTTTTGTGGCTTACCTCGCCCCACTGCAAGGCGTGCTTATCCCCGCGCGTCGCGTACCAACTTGAAGGCGTTCGCTCGTCGTTGTACGTCATCAGCTTGGCTCCGCCGCGGCATCCGTAGGACATCCACTAAAGACGCCATGCTCTGTTTCTTTCGCATTATCGGGGGGATCAACTGCTTTTCTTACGCTCTAATTTTTCAATAAAAAAATAGTGAAAGTGTTTTTGTTTGTTTGTAAGTTTTTCCTAAGCGTGTAAATGAAAAGATCGATTTTCGACCAAAAAAGTGGGATTATTTACCAAAATTTCGGCTTTTTAAAAGTTTTTCTAGTTAAATATTGTTCTTGTTAGTAAAAAATACTATTAAAACATTTGCGATTAAGCCACTAAACGTTTTCAGAAAGAACCCATGCTTTTAAAATCATTACAAACCTGTTGACACTCATCAAAACCTTCAACCAGCCCGTCCAGCTCGTCCTCCCCAATGCCGTAGTCGAGCGCGCGCTTGACCGCGCCCGGCGTTTGCTCTCCCTTCACGACGAGCGCCGTTTTCATGTCGTGCTCGAGCATGGACGTGACCTAACGTTTTAACATCACCGCAAAACTCGTAAAACTCACAATAACGTTCCCGACCGGATCCACGTCCCGCTTGCACTGCATTTGAAAGGGCGTCAATCTCGAACCACCGTCGATATCAACCGTGATATTTCTGAAATCGGGGTTTTTGTTAGGAAAGACTTGACATACCTGGTCTTTGCATTGCTCGGCTCGGTTTTCTTGAATTTGCGATCGCGGAAGAAGAACCATTCCTCGCAGGAACGGTAGTGCTCGGCTAAAAAGGTGAAAATTTCTTACAGCGAATCAAGATACTTACAAGTGTGACAATTATTTCCGGAAAACCCCTTCTCGCACTGGCACTCGTATTCGGTCAGCGACGTCTGCGAGCACAGCCCTCGATTAGCACAGGGATTCGGCAAACACCTAAGAAAAAGGCGTTCTCTTTGAAATGTCCAAATTCGCACTGTCGAATTCAAAATGTGGAAATTCACAAAGTTGAAACTTAATAATGTCAAAATGGCATAATGTCGCCGCTATAAACTTTCAGCATTGTGAGTTTCGACAATCGGATAGCAAATCCAGAAAAGCTTTCTTACACGTTTTATTAAAAATGTCAGAAATATCGGGTTTTTTACCAAAATTGCTGATTTTTGACAAAATGTTCGTGTATTTACGTTTTTAGATAGTTTTTCTAAGTTACCAGACATTTCTAGACTTCGACAAAAAAGTTCGGTCCCCCGATAATTTGGAAGAACCAACATACCGGTCGACCATGCCGCACTTCATCCGTTCCACTTTCCCCTCGGTGCGCACGGTCGCGAAATCGACAGTGGTGCTCCGATAGCAGCCAGCAGATGCTAGCACCAACGACGACAGTTGCACCGAGATTCGGCGGACCTGCAAATCGCGAAAAATGAGATTTTCTCCCCGTTTCCTACCTCGGAACCTTCCAGCCACAAAACGGTAAACCCGTCAATGTCGACCTCAAGCCGCGAGCCTCGAATTCTCAGAGACAGGCTGTGCCATCCTCCATCGGCTACCCATATCGCTAAAAAGCATTAATAAAGGTGCACAATCTGCTATTTCTTACCTGGATGTGAGATCTGCTTGAACTTGGTGACGTTCGAGATCAGCTGCAGCGTCTTGCCGTCTTCCAGCGATACCTGAAAACCGGGGATTTGTCACCCTAAAATTGCCTTACTTTTAAGAGGGTCCCATTCTTCTTGTCGAGCAGGTTGAGCAGCGTCGATGGGATGGGCAGCGTGCGGAACTCGAAGGAGAACGGCAGGAAGGAGAACGGGACCCACGCGGCGGCGCCGTGGTGCAGCGAGATTGAGGGCGGGCGGGCCATCTGAAGAATATATGAATGGTTTATTCAACCGGGTAATATAACGTAGGCAAAAAATGATAAACACGTAAAGTGAAAAAAAAACATGGGTGAAAGACGAGGGACGGGGATAATAGGTTTTTTGCTTAGGAGGGATTATGGGCTAGGGGAAGGGTTTCAAGACTTTTCCTAAAGCGTTTCGCGCTGGTCGGAGGGTTCAAGAGGAGAGGTGGCGGAAGTGAATTCCATAGTTTTATGATGCGTCGTGAAAAGATAGACCTAGGGGTATCTCCTACGCTGTTAAATCTAGTGAGCTGGAACCTGTGGGAACTCCTAGAAGGTCGCGTCGCAAGTTTAAGAAATTTGACTGGATAGCTCTGCTGGAAAATTATTCGATAGCACAGGACGAGGTCATTTTGGTTTCGGCGTGTTTCGAGGGTGGGGATTTCAAAAAATGCTAGCCTCTCTTCATACGGAATTACGGGAAACCCTGGGCAAAGTTTAGAGTAGGCATGAAAGGTAAATCTTTTCTGGACATTTTCGATCTTCTGAATCAGATATTTGCGGGATGGAGACCAAACTTCACTCGCATATTCCAGAATCGGTCTACATAAAAAAAGCGCGGATATAAGTAGTTTTATTGGGTACCTGAATCTTTTTGATGATTAAGTACGAAATTCGCGCCGCTCTTGCGCAGATTTCAGTGATATGCGGCTTGAAAGAGAGCTTATTTGTGTATCTAACACCGAGATCCTTGATGATATCGACCGTTTCGATTGGGCTATTTGCGAGAAGTAAGGGAGGTGCGGGACTTAGGGAAGTTAAGCAAAAGGTCTTATTAACGGCGAGGGACATCCCATTTTCCGAGGCCCATTTTTCTATGATAGAGATGTCGGACTGGATAGAGGTGTGGGGACTGGGACCTGAGCGCGGCCCAATACCTGCATAGATTTTGAGATCGTCAGCGAATAAGAGATTTTTGTTTACTAGAAGGGGTGGGAGATCATTTATGAAGATCAAAAAAAAGTATGGGCCCTAAGACACTACCCTGCGGGACCCCCGAGGTTTGAGGACGTGGCTTAGAAACTGAGTCTCCGTTCTGTACATGAAAAGTCCGACCGGTGAGATAGGCTTTCAACCACGAGTATATGGGAACAGGCAGGCCCGTTTGGGCGACTTTATCTAGGAGAATGTGATGGGGGACTTTATCAAAAGCTTTTGCTAGATCGAAATATATGCTTATTGGTTTTTCACCGGAATCTAACATGTTGGCAAAGTCATGGAACATTTTGATGAGCTGCGCGGTGGTAGAATGAGAGGCTCTGAATCCAAACTGGGCCGGGGAAAAGAACTGTTTAGCATCTAGAAAAGAAATTATTTTGTGTTTCAGCGCAACTTCAATAACTTTGCAAATCGATGATGTGAGGGCTATTGGGCGATAGTTTTGGGCCTTAGTTTCGTCGCCGGTCTTAAAAAGGGGTACTATTCGAGAAAGTTTCCAGTGAGCGGGGATATCACCTTTTATAAGATTTGAAACGGTTTAGAAACTCTTAAAAGATCTTAGACAGAAAAATATTTCATTTTGTATGTTTTTTACCTTAGTAAAGGTTAAAACCTTATCAAATTATCATATTTTCCTTATTCTGGATACTTGAATTTTCTTTATCTTTTCTTCACTTTTTCTTGATTCTTTATTTTTTTGTTGCTTTTTGCCTTTTTTTTCTTGACTACGAATGCTCCAATTTCCGTATTTCGTATTTTCCGGAAACCTGAATTTCGTTGATGTGAACTACCCTTTTAAAAAATTTGGCCTTATGATTATTTAAATAGTTTCCTTTTTTATATACTATCGCTTTCAACTCTTTTTTTAGATCAATGAAGCTCTCGGTCGCGCATGAAAAGCCCCTGCTCCCCGCCGAGGCCCCAGCCAACGCGGCGCCGAACGCCTGTGCAGAAACGCCGTCGCCCATCGCCTTGCCGAAGCTCACCCCCGGTAAAGTAAGCGCCTTAATCTTTTGGTGAAAATCTTCTTTTTTAGGATGAACCGGGCCCAAGCTGCTCCGCGCCTGCAAAGGATTCGAGGATGCAGTACGCGCGCGATCGCCTCGGTCTCTTGCTCGTCAGCCCAAACGTCAAACCACAAGCTTGGACATCATCGTAAATATCTTTTTGTGATTGACATCGTTTTTTATTTCACTGACGATTTGCCAGGCACCGACGCGGCATGACCATCAAACTTTACTGCCTTCAACATCGTGGGACTACTTTACAGTTTGTAAAGGTTTTATAGGCCCTCCTTGCCGGACATTGCTGAGCCGGCGCCGGCGCCGCCAAAACGAAGCCGCCGAAAAGAAGGTATGGCGCTACCAGAGGATTTGTTACGACCTTTTTTTAGACGTTCGCTGCGATGCCCTAGGCGACAATTTCATGGTTTATGCTCCACCGCAGGTAAGAAACTTCTTTTAACAATACATTCAAAATTAGGAAGACTCCCTCTACAGCACTCTACGATCCGCCGTCAAGGGACAACCCGATATCGACTATAGAGCGAGTCCCGTGCAGATCCGACTCAAGACGAAACAGCCGAGTAGCGAGGATCTGGTTAGCGCTCCTAAAGAATTAGAAAATATCGTGTAGGCGTCGCTGGCCAAAACCGATATCCACGCATTGCCAGCGCCGACATCTCGATGTTGGCCACCGATGCCTGGCCACGCATCAGTGTCCCGTGCTAAATTGGTGAGTCTTTTTTATTTCGTCGAAATTAGCCTCTTTTTTTCAGCGGCCCAACGTTTCCACGCCGCAGCGATTGAACGCGTTGGTGCGCGAGATGAAGCAGGTGAAACAGCAGTAAGTTGGCATCCGTTGGCGGTGATGACTCTCGCTTTCTAGGTGGATGGCGTGGGCACGGTTGACGAATCGGCGGAATCGACGAAGCAACTGGTTGCTGAGGGCGATATGCACACATACAGAAGAGCAGCCCCCGCTCCCACCAGATTCATGAGCTTCATCGTTGTATTTCTTGTATTTTGGGTTGTCGCAATTTTCCGAGGAATTCCCATTTTTCTTTTTTGTCACTTTGTGCTTTTATCGATTGCCATAAGACCAGCGGTCTTTGATTTTTCCAAAACCTAATTTGTGAACGTTGATGTTTTAGTAGCTTTCTATGTTTGTGATAAAGCCTAGTAAAGGGAAACCGGTTGATTTTAAGCGAGAAGCCACTTTAGATTCGTATGGATTTGCCGAAAATTCCAACCTGGCATGGCGCATCAAGATCGCTAGGCGCGTGCGACAGCAGATCGACCCCGTTGAGTAACATTCTTGCCAAGCAACCGTGAAACGAAGACTCGACGCCCGGTGAGAAGTCGTCTGGCGGTCGGCCGGCGACATGGACCTACAACAAAGTGGCCTCAAGTTGCTTCACTGGTGGCACCTGCGAATGTAGGTCCAATTTCCTGTATAGGCCCGTCGGGGTTGTTTGGTTTAGCATGACGCCGTCGATGCTGCAAGACATTAGAAATAAGCTTGCGGGTTTCACCAACCTCAGCTGAACTGAATCGAATTGGTGCACCCAGCGCATTTCGTGCCATTCCCCGTCGTCCAGAGCTCGGCCTCCCGAGATTTTTGACGGGGAGAGAGAGCCTGAAAAGGGTGAATGGGGGTTTTCGAAGTAACGGGCTCAGGTATAAGTTAAACTCTTCTCCAAGCAACCCACCAAAATCGAAGATGACTTGGATGGTGCCCTGCGTAATCTGGGCGATCAGCACGTCCCCGTGGTCTGACAGTGAGAAGAAGAAGAGTCCGGAGCGGAATGTTCTAAAAAGCAGGGTTCGAATTTGGTTTTGTAGGAACCTGAATTGGACCGTGAGCTCGTTCTCGTACATGGCAACCAGCGCCGTCTTCGAGACGTCCACGGTGAATGGGGAATCGACGAGTGAGAGCATCCTCGTGTCTGGAAAAGTGATTTAATTTTGTAGCGTTTTTGTCCACTAGATTTTGTAGTTTTATACGACATTACCACCTAGAAGATCTTACAGGAAATTTATAGGAAAAGATCTCAGGGTTGTTCAAAAGCACGTTTCTGGAGGGTTTTCGCCTTCAGAAATTAGAAACATAGAGAACGGATTGAGAAATATTATTCAGAACCAGTGGAAAAAGACCGCTTCGCCGCCATTTTCCACTGGACCCCGTCCAGGAATCATGAATTTGAATACCTTCTTCTTTTAGCCTGCGGCGCAAGAACCTGAGTAATGGCGCCAATAAGCCTGCGGCGCTAGAGCCAGCGTTCCGCTAGATCCTTTGAGCCTGCGGCGCTAGCTACTGGTTTTTCTCCAGGTCTTGCCTGCGGCGCGAGAGCCTGGACCAAGGACCTGTTGTTTGGCCTGCGGCGCTAGAGCGAGGGTCAGGCCTAAACCTCGCACACCGAGAGCCTAGAAATATGTTTAGTTGCTAGACTACCAAAAAGCAAAAAGTAGGATTTGCCCAGGATCCGAACCCACGACTATAAGCGTAGTAGGCCGGGCGTAAATCCACTACACCACGGGGTAGATGGGAACAGGCGGCGGGAAAGCCCTCTTCTGTTCCGGGGAAACGCGGGCGGGGAAGCACAGAAAAGGCTGACCCAATGCCCCGGGAGGGAAGCCTTCTGGTCACTTTACAAAATTAAGTTTTTGAGTCTGAATCTGCAGAAAATTTGTAAAGAGAATAAGATGCGCGTGATCCCCACTATCGAATACATAACTGGTCCAAATTTCAGCCCGAAATTCCAAACGCGAATCGAGTTATGGCCCGAACACCACGGCTCGTCGCCCATTTTGTTAAGGATTTTTACTATTTTGCTTGTAAAAGTGTTAAATGGAGGAATTTCGGAAAACAAAAAAATGCGTTTTTGGCGAATGTTGTTCTCCACATCCATGCCAAAAATCAGCTCGAAATTCGGCCTGACGGCCGAGAAAACGGCCGTACAGAAAACAAACATACTTTTCTCGCTTATAGGATAGGAGGATTCCCCATGTTCTCCGCTAGCTGCCCTGATCAGGGCGGCTTTTTTATTACACACCAGGGTTGAAAAACCGCTTCGCGGCTTTTCAACCCTGGCCCCGTCTAACGCACATGATAGTCAAAAATATGCATATTCTTCCAGGACCTTGATCGCAAAAAAATGAAAAGAACCCCTTTCGCGCCCTTATATAGGCTTACCGCACTTCCGGCGCATGCAAATTGCCTCCTAACAAAGAGGTTTCTCGATATCTTTACAAAAACTCGATTTTAATAGCGAAAACAGTAATTTTTCCAAACTTTTATGTGCGTGCACTTATCTCGGCGCCATTACGCATCTAATGACGTATCATATGTGCCTTAAAAGCCTTCCCCTGATCCGATACGTGCGGAACAGCCGGACGGAAGTTGCATGCAAATGCACACACACAGACACTATTTTTTTATATATAGTAGGATTTTCAGGGGTTGCTCTTGCTTTTTCAACGCCGAAATTTGTCGTTAACCTATGTTTATCAGGGGAACCCGTATGGTTAAATTTAGGCCTCGTTTTCAATCGCCAAAATAAACAGTTGGACCGGCTAACCATGATCGCAAACAGTGATGACGAGCGCTGGGGTGTGGTGCTTCTTGTGTTCGCTGCGGAACACGGGCACGATTCGGATCAAATTGGCGAGCAGGTCGACGTGCTGCCAGGGCGGAACGTGCGAAAGGGAAGAGTAGAGGACCTAAAATACAGTCTATTTGTCTTTAGGCTTTTTCTGACCATATTGCGCCCGGTGGCCGTCCTGATATTCCGCGGGGGCCCATCGCCCATCGACGTCTGCACGTAGAAGGCCGAGATTTGCCCGAGGACGGCTGGAAATCAGAAGCTCAATAAACGTAATATTAGCTTTTTTAACCCAGTTAAAATCTGAATTTTTCTGCTAAGGTCTGTTAATACAATTTTAGATGGACTTTTCGCCTTTAAAACTTTTTGAAAGATATTTGGAAAGTATTTGTCTTCACGTAACCGGAGTTTCCCGTCATTTTTAAAAAGTTTTAAAGGGTTTAGAAGCCGGTTAGGTGTATAAACGGGTTAAAGCAGGTCGATGAAAGCCGTCTTCTACTTTTTTCTCTTGGACACCTTTCCAAAACTGATCAAGCAACATTTAAGTTTTAAATACTTAAAAGTTACATTTTAATCAGCCTAAAAATATCAAAACACTAACCTATGCGGGTGACCCGTTTAATTTGAGGGAAGATGACCTCGGTGTCCGAGTAGGAGACATCCTGGCAGTCGGCTGATACTGAAAATGGGTTGCTGTTGCTGAATCTCAAAGTTTTTCATAATTCTTATGACTTTTCATAAAGACTACGGGTTTTAGAGTGTTTTTCCTAGGGTATGATATCCCGGTTTCTTCCGTTTAAGCTATATTTTTCGGCCTGTCAATGATCATATAGTGTATTTTATAGTGTTTTAGTAGTTTTGAGTGCTAGAAACTCTAAAAAATATTTTCTAATTTTGAAAAGGCGCGCATTTTTACCTTTTTTGGAAATTTTTCATAAATTCTCACTCAAAAAGTTTTCACGAGGAGTGCCACAACACCAGTTCGAACTTTCACTTTTCACCGGTTTATCCAATGTAGAGTTCTATCTCTCTCACTCGCTCTCTCTCGCTCTCGCTCTCTCTCTCCCTCTCTCTCTCGCTCTTTCTCGCTCTCTCTCTTTCCCTCTCCTGCTTATCCCTAATTCTGCCATTTCCGGGCCGCCCCTCCCCTCCGAAACCCCCGAAATCCCTTTGTCGTGCGCTTCGTGGAACGGCAGTTCCTCTCCAGTAGGTGGATTGAGTAGAAGAGGGGAGGAGGAGGCTTCACGATGGGGAGGAAGGGCCCAGTTAGCACTCACTCACCCTACCCCCCCTTGGGGCCTTGTCCAAATGTTCGGCAGAGGCCTCAAATTGAATCTACGCGCTGCTTCCACGAACGGCCAAGTAGGGCCGGGGGGGGGCACCGGAAAAAAGATGATCCATCGGTGGTGGCGACGTGTCAAGAGGTGTCATTAGGTGTCGCGTCTAGTTGCGCCTTTTTCGGCGTTTATTTTGGCAAAAATGTGGTAATTTTTTCTTGGGGTGATGGATTTGGGTTGTCAGGCGAAGGCGCGCGGGTCGGGTTGACGTGAATAAATAGCGTTCCCCGGGCTGACTCTTGGCAATGATCCATCTTCTGGTTTTTAAAGAAGCTTGGACCGGAGGAATTTTTAGATACGCGAGAGAGGGAGAGAGAGAGAGAGAGAGAGAGAGAGAGAGAGAGAGCGAAAGAGAGAAAGCGTCATTTGGTGCAACACGTATCTGTCAACACTCGGTGGACGACACGAGTCGATTCTCGCGGTTTCCAGTTCCTTTGAATTTCACTTCACTTCTTTTCACACGTGCGGTTTACGGCCCTCGCTGCCGCCTGCCCACCAGGATGTACCCTTCCAATAATTGCAGTCACCCCAGCCTAGGGAAACATTTGTCTTTGCCAGCCGCCTTCTTCTTCCCCGGCGCTCGTCAGATTTGCATAAATGTTAATTATGAGGTTCCGACCAGGCGGGGGCAATCGAATCGCTGCGACATCATGCCCCCTCCCCCGGGGCAGATGGGCCTCAACAAAACACTCGAACAGCTAGCTCGTTATCGGGTGCAAGAGGTTGTCATGTTGTATTGAGTGGGAAGATTAGCGTAATTGGAGCATTTTAAACGCGGCTAAAATTTGCTGTGAAAGGCTAGCTTGGCTTAAAGTGAATTTCTAGACTTCTGGCCTCTTTTTCTGGATTTTAGATGCCTTTGAAGGTGCAAGAAAGCGCGAGAATAAAGTTTTTTTTCTAGACTAGGTCTCGACAACTGCGCTACGCAGCAAAAAACGTTCGATTGTATTTCGAAAGGCAATCCAAGCAAGCTGTTTTGGGAAAAACGCTATGAGCTGCAAGCGTAATTTGGTGTATCGCGTAGCGGTCGATACCTAGGGAAGGAAGGGGTTGATTCTGCGACTTCCTAGCACCTTTAATGGCTTTGAAACAATCTGAGAACGTTTTGGGTTTTTCGTAGTTTATCTGCTAGATCTCTCTTGCTCTCTCTCTCTATCTCCCCCACTCTCTCTCTCTCTCGCTCTCTCTCTCTCTTTCTCTTTTTCTCTCTCGCTCTCGTATTTTCCAGTAAAGTGCGCAAAAAAACGGGTTGTTCCCCTCGCCCGATTTGGACGGCCCCCAATTTTCCAACTTGAAGCCCGCTCCCTCGGGCCGTGTATTCGTGTGTGATGGGACCTGGCCCTCATCCATTCCACCCCAATCCAATGGACATTATGGTCCTAGGGCCACTGCCGAGAGAGAGAAAGAGAGAGAGGTAACCTGAACTCTCATATATTTACTTTTAGGGTGGCCCCTAGATGGGGCAGTCCAGAATGGGACTCCTGCCAATGGCTTATGCAACATTGGTGAGAGAGAGAGAGAGATGGAGAGAGAGAGAGAGAGAGACAGAAAGACAGAGCCCGCTCGTCACTCGAGTGGAAGGAACCCGGGGATTGTGCCCCCGAGGGCACAAACCCACAGCCCCGGGGGTGCCAATGAAGTGTGACACTTTGTCGTGTTTGTTGTGTGTTGTTTGGGGAAACAAAAGAATAAAGAATTCGTTAGAGTACTCTACGCACCTATAGACACCTAGCCTGTTGAGAGTAGTGTGTCGGAATTACTGTTTCAGGAATTTTTCTTGAAAACCTGTTTTTGAGAGCCGGAAGAACATGGGTGGGGCCTAGAGCGAGAAAAAGCGAGATAGAGAGTGATAGAGAGCGAGAGAGAGAGCGAGAGAGAGAGAAAGAGAGAGAGTGGAGAGACTGCGACGAGAGAGAGAGAGAAAAAGAGGGAAAGACAGAGAGACACTCTAGAAGCACACAAAAATTGTTTTAATCCCTGTCATTCCCCCTCCTGTTATGGCCTCGAATCCGACTCCCCGACACTACAAAGCACATCCGGTTTGTTTTATTTATGGCCTGCCCCACCCCATCCCTCATTTCTAATATGCAAATGACATGGCTTATGGCCTTGGGCTGGGCCCTATCATTATTAAGGTCCCGCATCCACGGTCCACCCCCCGCTCTACCAATTGGAAATAATAAGGGGATGGCTGACCCCTCATCCGTAAGTCCCCAGCCTCATGCACAAATTCACACCCTGGGGCTCTGGTTGGGGCCAACATTAGGACCCAACGGCTATGATTTGACACCTTGAGGTGATGGAGGTTGATGGATCGTTTTGGGGGAGGTCGGCAGAAGGGATCTGATAGACCGGGACGTTGCGTGCGTGGGATAATTGGAATTGGGCTAATTAGAGAGATTAGAAGCAATTTGCATAGAAATGGTCTTTGCTAGCTTGCCTTGGGGAGATGTTCCGCAAATGGTTTCTGCTAGCTTGCCTCCTGTATTCTCTACCCCGAAAAAAGGAAAGCTCCAGCTGATTCTCCGCAATCCACATGTTGCAAATTCCGTTGGTTTTTTTTCGGACAAACCCGACACAGCTTGTGGTCTCTCTCTCTCTCTCGCTCTCTCTCTCTCTCTCGCTCTCCCTCTCTCTCTCCCACCCAAAAACAACAACTTGAGCGGCCAGGTGGTGGCGCGCACAACTTGGTGTTGCCGTTTTTATGGCTGGTGCTTCGGGATCAAAGCCCCTGATCGAAGGTTGTAAATCTAGGGCCACTGTGTGGGTCCTCGACCAGGTTAGCAGCTGCTTTTTATTCGGCACCATTCTCTCTCTCTCTCTCCCCCCTCTCTCTCTCTCTCTCCTTCGGATTTTAAGGTTTCGGCAGGGACTAAGCTGATACGGCAGTCTAGCAGAGATTCTTTGCGGAAATTGCGGCTTTGCGGCTAGCACAGATCCTTTCGGAAGCTAGCGGTACTCTATGAGCTTTTCGACGTTATGGCCCCTGGAATGAGTCTTTGTGCCGGCATTGATCCTTTAGGAGAGGGAGGCTGGCAGTGACTCTTTCGGAAAGGGTCGACTAGCAGGGATTCTTTGGGAACTTTCCTAATCTTATCTCGACGTTGTCCGGATCTCCGGCTCATCCGAATACCGTATTCGTTTCCTTTCCGTCCGGTTTTTGCTGTTTTTACCACCTATCCGGTGGAGCTCCAATTTTCCCGGTATTCATTCGGTCCCCAAAAAAATGGGATAAGTGCCCGGTAGATGGGGGTATATTTCTATTCCGGGGCACCCCTAATCCCGTCGATCCGGTCGCTAAAGTGCCGTGTGAGTGCCAAAAAACACCGGGGAGCCTTCTCTCTTCTCTCAAGCACTAATCCCCTCCATATCCCCCCCCGGGCATAACCACACAAAAAATAGCGGGATTTTTTCGGAGCGAGAGAAAGAGAGAGAGAGAAAGAGAGAGAAAGAGAGAGATAGAGGAAGAGAGAACGAGAGAGAAGCAGAGACAAAAAGCTATCCCAACAACTATGCTATTGGGACAAAGGACGGCGTGTGAATTTTTCACCGGCCCGTCCGGCCCCTGGGGGTTCACACACGTGCTCCTACGGCATAAAGGAGCTTATTTTGGGTACTGGCAAATGCATAAAAATAGCGGGATACCAGAGATTGTTGAGGAATTTTAGGAAGCGTCATTTGGGATGGGTAAGCTAGCAGAGACGCTGCAGGAAAATGCGGCTCATTCATGTGCTGACAGGGGATGGGCGAATTATCGCTTCCGGCTATTTTACTCCGGCTTTCGAGACAGGTGGTCTAGCAGAGACGCTTGAGGAATTCCAGCGTTGATGAAGGGCTAACTAGCAGCGACCTCTCAGGAATTTGATGCGGACGAACTACTTTCCAGAAATTTTGTCTAGGTTTATTTCATCGCCTAAAAATCCACGGTCCTGCCTTGCCGACCCCTTTAAAATCGCTGATTTGGGCCAAGCGACCCCAGGGAGTGCCCGCTTTGAATGTGTCGGATTCCCGGCTACAGCCCCGTTGGCTACTATATATTTGCGGATACATCCTATTCGATTCCTCACCCTAGTCGAGACAAAGGCAATGCGTGTTGTGTCGCGCGCGCTGAAATGCGACCCCTTCGATTCGGCTCTCCGCTCCGTATCTGGCCAGAGCCCCACCACCAGCTGGCCTCCGGGATGGTAGTCTTTTTTCGACGTTGAGAGAGAGTGAGAGAGAGAGAGAGAGAGAGAGAGAGACAAATTGGGGCAGGGCCCCCATCTGCTGTATGTATTGTCGACCCAATTGGAGCTCATTTCGGAGATAGAATCGTGAAATTGCGCAACCTACTGTTATAATTAGAAGAAAATATCGGGTATCAGATCAAGGTATTTCCCAAATTGCCACGGCTAGCTAGCCTAGTAAGAAATCTAAGGCGGCTTTTAGGTTAATTCAGCCTTTGTTGTTTTGTTGGCAGGCTTACGCGGGCGAAATCTACTTTCTAAACTTCAGCGAACGCAGTGAATTTCTCTCTCTCTCTCTCTCTCTCTCTCTCTCTCTCTCTCTCTCTCTTTCTCTCTCTCCTCATGTTCGACAAGGGCGATAAGGACCCCGGGTGTGTCCCTCCATTGCTCCTCCTCAGCAGCTCCGCTATGAAAAGGGGGGAAGGGGTTGGCCGCACGAGGACAAAATCCGGCGATAATGGATGGCCGTTGGGCCCTTCAGTCGGGCTAGCCAGGCTTTTCCCTTTGGTTTCGGGACCCTCTTCCCTCCTCTGGGGACACTCTCCCCGAATAGGCATATGCTAATCGGGTAGTGGCCACGGCCGGAAGGAGCTAGAGAGGAGGAGAAGAAGAGGAAGAAGGTCCTCAGCAACTCACAACAAATGTCCACGGTCAGCGAAGATGGGGTTGCGCAACATTTCGGGTTAAAGGGGTTGCGAGGCGCGAAAATCAACTCATTCGATCGGCTAGGTCTCGACAACTACGCTCCAAACGCGGAAAGTCATTTTTCGCTTAAAGATCGCTTCCTAGCGCCTTTAAAGGGGGCAGGACGAGCCGTGTGAACTAGCATAAAGGCCAT